GCCCTCCAGAGAACGGAAAATTGCATTGTGAATGTTGATGTTCGTTCGCGGTACGCCGAGCTCGATGGTATGAAATGTTTTGTATTTGTGTTGCGTAAGGCTTCGATGATGGTACAGAATGCTGCGTGGAACACTCAGTTCGAGCCTTATCGGAGGGATCTCTCTGACAATGTCGAGACTTCGGATGCTTCTGTCTATCCCGGACGCATAGAGAGGCTCAATGAAGAGTCATATAGGGCTGCTTCCACTCGATTGGCATATGAATATAGAGATTGATGGCGGTTGAAGCATCTCCGGAAGAACGACACGCTAAACCGAATCGACTCTACCGTGAGCAATCCCTTGCTATGCCAGCGGGGATGCAGGGGGGGAGGGAACGCAGTCGCGAGGGTGACGGGTAGGTGCCTCAGTTATGGGGGGCGGCCAAGAGGCGCCCAGAGATCAGGCCGGGCCAACTTGTGTGGTAGCCTTAACAGCGGGCTCGCCTGTCGATCTCTCTGATACGAGAGTTTCTGGCCTGGAGAATGGCGGAAATGACACAATTGTTCCTGTAGTGTAGGTTGGCCGAGGCACAACTACGTAGGGAAGTGTCTTGAGCGAGGTCCTGGTGCTGTACGACTGGGTGCCACGGAGAACCTAGAAGTAATGACAGATACACCTGTGTTTGTGTATCGAACTGTTTACCAGGGTACTGGATTCGGTATCAAGCGAGGTGTTACCGGGAGAGCAAGCCTTGTGAGAGCTTCATTCAAGATCGCCGATGACGAGGCTGGAAAGAATCAAGGCTTTCCCCGTGTTTTTGTGGCACAGGCGAAGGCCTTCCTAAACTCGATCGAACTCCAGTCGTGAGAGCGAGGTACAGAACTTGGGCAGATGGTACTGGTTGTCCGCTGTCGCGACTCTCATCGTCGGATGACGAAGCACACCAAGCTGATAAGCTGGGTATGTACGGAGTAGAATACGGTAGCCTCCGACACTACGAAGTAGGTTGTGCGTTATCTCGACAGTGCTTGGCTGCCCAGATTAGGTACTCAGTAAAGTGCTTTGAGGGAGAGGAATGATTGGACAGACCAGGGCCGAAAAGCGAACGGATAGTAGGTAGTACGACGAAACGGGGGCTGGCGAGCTTATTGCTTATCTCTGGCCAGCTCGCGGGGGCGCTCGAGATGCAGTTGGGAGGGACGGACGAGCTAGGCCCCACCCCCTGGCATCCAAGAGATAAGGCCCCCCCCGACTCTAATGGCTGGATGGCAGTGTATGCGTGAATGGTTTGCGTCGATCTCCGCGGGTATGTTTGGGCGTGGCGTTTGTCTCGAAGTTCCGGCTATATGCTATGCGAGCTGACAGCAGCTGCAATTTGTGGCGGAATCTCCTCGTGGCCCGGACGTGCGTACTGATGACGAGAGTGAAGCCTGGTGATGATTAGCTGGCGAAGTTCCGACTGAGAGCGATTTAACGTTGAGCACTAGATTGGCTCGCTTGGAGCGAAAACTAGACTAGGGCCGCAATTTGCATGGCAATTCCATGATGCCTTGCCCGTGCCCTAGCATAGAAGACATTGAAGCACGAGAATAAATGTCAGGCTTGCCATCCGCTGACTCCTCAGTGAAGCAGGTGCAGCGTTCATCATTGTCTTGAGCTTACCGCATCGTCCGCATTTGCTATTATTTGGCGGACGTTGACCAAGAACAGATGGTTTGGCGTGATTCGAAGCCTTACAATTGGGCAATGCCGTGGTTCCGCTCAAGTGCCCGTCTTCCCGAGTCCCTCTCTCTCCACATCATTGCCCCTGAGATCTACACAGGCACGGCGGCAGAGACTGAATGTAGGTGGGTGGGTAAAGCGATTGAAAAATTGGGATGACTGGGAGTTTGTGTGTACAGCTAGGTATGGGGATGGATGGTAGGTTGAGATAAGACAAAGAGATAGCGCAGCCAAGGGAGTCCCCGGCGCGTGTAGCACCACCCCACCCCGTTGACAGGGGTGAGCGGATGCCCGTGAGTTACCTAGTTACCGGTATGTTAGCCGGCTGTCCCCCACGTCGAATCCCGCATGTCTGGTTCAGGCTTCTGTCTCCCGTTGCGGCGTGCATCCCCGGCTTGCCGGCCTCCCTACGGATACCTGCCTTAGACTGAATTGCGATGGGGTCTGGACTCTCCAGCTCGGTCCCGTCTCCAATTGTCCGCGTCTGTCCCTTTGAGACTGTAGCTGCGTTCCAAAGCCAGGCGAAGAAGCGATACCGCGGCGCTGCCGCGTCTGTTATGGATCGGTTCGGCACAGTGGCCGTATGTTGCGGGCGTTTTTGAACGGTTCTTTCAGCCTCCACTTATTAAGACGGCGTTGCGGACCCCTTTTGCCTTTTTGCACATGTAAATCGACCTCCGCGGAGTTGCTCGTTTCAAGATAACGGAACGACCACTTCAAGCAGCCGCACAACACTCAAGGCGCCAGGTGGCCCATGCGTCATGTGTGTGTGTGTGTGTGAGAGAGAGAGAGAGAGTGAGAGAGATATCTTCAACCTTCTTTGCATCAATCTTCTTACACGTCTTGAGAACCAGTATCTAAAGATCAGACACTCTTACTCTGAGCAGGCTGTCATGGGCACCCGACGCGTGGCGATACCAACAAGGGAAGCAGACTCCTGAGTGCCTTCGATGCATTTTGGCCACAGCATGCATTAGCAACGTCGGCCGTGGGCTGATTCCCTGATTCCCGCCCCATTTGAGACATTCATTGTTATCCGGCGCGTTCATGCCCAAAACACATGAAATATTGGTCTCGCCATGCTGCGGGCTACGCAGGAAGCGTGGGGTTTAAAAGTCACCCCCTAAGCGCACCATGCTACCTCGGAACTCCACGGACCGTTCTGTCTACAGATCGCTCGCTCCCTTGCCTGAGTAAGTGGATCGGATTTGGCATCTCCAGTCGACGTCGACGTCCATATCCCTGCCCAACAAGAACCCCCCGCGCTCGGTCTCGGCCTACGGGATTTAATGTTCGAAAAGAAAAAGGGAAGAGAAGAGAAAAGAAGACTTATATGTGTTCTCATGTCACACGGCCCGATTGTTGCCACACCCTCTTCCGCAGAAACCGGAGTTACTCAAGTCGCGGGGATGAGAGGAATGCGGTTATCGTGCGGCACCGACAAGGATTGTAGAGCAAAACTATGCCATTCAAGGACATTCGCTCTTGGATCGCAACAGTTGTCTATTGCTACGTTCCAAGCCGAGGAGCGACCTTGCTACTCGGTGGGCACTAACGGTTAGAGAGGAGAAAGGCATCACCAGGAGAGCTATTCTCAGACGTCTTCCAGCGTATACGTACGTGTTTCATGGAATGGCTCCGGAACACCTTGCGCTCGGCGAGCTTTGGCGAACCCGCTAAACAGCACACCTCCCGATAAGCCAAGGTTGGTTCTCCAGAGGAAAGGCGTCTTATCGGAAGTTGGTGAAGAACGGACCCGAGTTTTATACTTTGACACACATTGGGGCGACTGGCCTTTGTCCCACCTGCAATAATCTTGGCTCCCGTCAGCGTATCCAGAAAAGGGGTTTCTTGAAGGGGTGACTTCAGAGACTGGTGTTGTGTTGGTCTGAGGTTCTGTGTTCAGAATTCTTCACCTCACCCTATGTCGGTGGACATCGTTTGGCCCATCCCTTCTCCTGTTCCATTCTCTCCTTGCCCCCATGATGCTGATGCTTCTTCTTATTCTGCAAACAGAAAGTTGAAGGACACGTTGCAAACTCAGGCTTTCTGATGACCTGGTTTATAGAACTTTGAAGTCTTTCCTTATTGCGAAAACGCCCATGGCCGGTTCCATCGCAGACCTACGAGATAATTTCTTCGGCTACGCTCCGAATCTCAACTTTGTCCTTTTCGTCCAAGGGTTGCAACGCCCATAGAAATCATATCCGTCTATAGCATCTCTTCCTCCTATGCTCCATTACGCCGCTATTTACGTCAAAAATAAACAATGACACCGCAATCGAAACCTCGAACGGCCGAGGGGCTGTTTCCGCAAGGGCAGCTCCTCATACTCTTCTACCACAGACGAAAAAGCTTCCCAGTCAACGGCAGATCTGCGGGCCGGCCATTCTACGGCCATGCGTTTCCGATGAAAAACTCGAAAGTCGCATACTCTTTCTACCGCCATTGTCGGCACCTTTCCCGTCTAGAGACTTCCAAGCCAGCATCGTAAGCGATGTGTTGATGGCTCATATTCACGCTTTGGGCGTGGAAAGTTCCGGTTCGTGGTCACCAGACTCGAGCAAATTCCGAGAAATCGCATCCAGCCCTTAGTCAGATATAGACAGAGTGGCTGAACCCATATACTTCCCAGTAAAGTTGACGGAAAGACCTTTGCTTGAAACTCGGGTTGAACTCTTTCCTCTTGTCCTGGTGAAAGCTGAATACACTCTCGTACATCGACTCTCGTGCATCGAGCGATACACCTCTTGTGGAATTCCTTTGTTGGTGACCAGCTCACAACTCTCGAGCTTCCTTTGCTTCGTTCAGAATAACCCCGCTATCACCTGCCCATGGTTAGCATCAACCTAAGGATGCCTCTTGACCTCTGCCGATATCTTGCCGTCCTGAAAAGAGGGTTTGTGGGAAACCAAAACCAAACAAATTCATTACTTTCCTCACCAACATTGCTTCTTAGAAATGACCTGAGTTGACTCATTCATAACTTCGTTCCGCATAACTCACACCCAGAAGTATGCGATGGATCGAGCCTTCGTGCGCTTGCTCGGCCTCCCGACTCGGGCCAAATGATCGTCATCTCAAGCAACACGACGTAACCGTTCGGGCAGAGACGTGATCTCGAGTTCACGACTTTAGACTTGAGCCACCTTCGAGGTCAAGCGAGACCGACCCGTCATCGTTGTCGAAGGATCCGATCCGCCTTTGTGGGACATGGCCGTCACTGTGCATAAACTCCTCCTGGCCGTGACCCGTCACCAACCATTCTACAGGCAGGATTCCATCCGCCCGGCTAGCTCAATCGGTAGAGCGTGAGACTCTTAATCTCAAGGTTGTGGGTTCGACCCGTAAGCCTCTCCAGACTCTTCCATAACTAGTGTTGTCATGACTAACATATCACAGCCACGTCGGGCTCAATTCCCGTCAGCGATTGACGCTTCCAATCTTTTTCAGACTTTTTCAAACTTTTTCTTTTCCACGGACCTTGCTCTTGCTCATGCGTCATAACAATCCGGTATTTTTGTGGCTTGCCTAGTGACCTGGAGTCGACTTGCTTCACGATATGTGCGATTAGGGCTTGTGGAGTGCTTTTCATCCACGACTGGGATGGACTGATGAAGGGAGGTACAAGCCTGTCTAGTGGACCCTCTGGAGACCAAGCCATACGTCTTGCTCGGGTTAGGATGTTCTATCGGGAAAGTGTCACGGGTTCGTTGTGTATTTCACTCACTCTGCTGAAAGAGCGTATTGTAATCACGATGGTGGTATTGCCCGCCTGGGAGGTGAGAATATCAGTCGTCAACCCAGTAAGCTTGGCGTTGCCAATCTCAAGAACGGTATTACCATTCCCTATGTACCTGTCATAGGGCTTTACAGCTTAGATTAATGTATTCTAGATGCGTTTCACTTAATATGGAATACTCATATATTGCCAGAGCAGCTTTTGCAGGAGCTTCACCAAGCCTCCTAGGCAGGATACTGAAACCTTGGCCGCCGCGAGCCGCCTGTGCTGAATGATTCCAGGTAATAAGTGATACCTGTCCCGTCGAATTATATAGAAAATACGATGTCATTGCCGTACTCGTTCCTTCAGTCAGTAGCTCGGAACAGTATAGTGCTTGCCATCGATCACTTTGTGCCTCAAAACCGTCCTAAGGTAATTGTGGCGGAGTGACCTCCTCCTGGAATTCTACTTGATAATGTAATGCTCTAGGTAGCAGAAAGACATAGTAAACCTCATTACACTAAGTTTGCCTCTGGAGCTAGGACGTCGTCTCTGATACTGGCAACCAGCTGGTCAGTCCTGACATATGTATTTCATCACCAAGAGCCCGGCCAGCTTGTAGGGCTGACGAACAGTCATCATGGCTCCAAACCAACGCAGCTAACCAGGCAATCACACCAAGAATTCACCGTCAACTTGCATGACGCGGAAGACGTCGTGTCGAAACGGGTAATTGCGAGTAGCACATGAACAGGACCACAATGTCTGCAGTCATTGATATATGGCGATAGCCGATGAAGAATGGCCACGTCTCGTTGATGGAACACTAAAAACATCAAGCACGAAGACGTGCAAACACTCATCGTTTTGGGAGCTACCAGCCCTACTATCAGTAGCTAAACCTTTCACGACCTGGTCCTCTAAAGTAGGCCCCGGCAAAGGAAATGGTTGGATTCCGGGCCGAGCCCAAGACTTCAGCAACATGGCCTCTCTCAATTTCACATCGACGTGGAGAGAGAGGGCTCAACCAGAACCCCCCTCAATCATACCAAAACAACAATGGAATATTTCCAATCCGGGGGGGAGGGGCGAATGTGCGTCCGCAACGGAGCCATGATATTGTCTCCGAGGCCATGTCCTCGTGGGTTTGGCTCTGCTTCACGCGTCAGTCACCGAGCCCCTCTCGCTGTCTCAACTGACGGTAGACACAGGTATCACCCGTTCCCAGAGACTCAAACAAGGTAGCCCCTTCAATGCGAAGCCCTTATTAGAAGCAATGCATTGGCTGCGTGATGTCCGGGGTAAGGATGTGACGTAAGGGGCGGTGATCTTGCCACGCCACAGGATGGCACATGCTCACGGGCTCACACCCGAGATGAGAAAGCCGAAAGTATAATACATTACACGGGGCTGAGTCGTAACCGCTCCGGTTCTCTGACGATCATCTCGCAGGTCAGGCAAGGTCGGGGGTGAAGGAAGTCATCCATCGTCAACCAACCAACCAAAAAAACCTCAAGTTGAGGAATGCGGGCGACAAGTCAAGATTCAGGTTGAGCGTCTCCGGAATCGCCGATTGAAGCTATACCTGGGGGAGAACCCGAAACAGAGACCACCGGGACAGGTCAGAAACGATGGTTAGGGAGTTATTAAAAACAAAAATAAAAGACGACTCCTTTTCGAGTTTCATAGAACGATGATCCCGGGTCGCTGGCCTCTGTTAGAGTTTCCCACCATCTTCAGAAAAACCGGGACAGTAATTTACAGACTGAGTCATGCGTTGGGGTCGTCTCGGACCCAGCCAGGGCGGCAAGCTTGGGAAGCCTCTTGGCCGGGAAACGTCGTAGGTGTTTAAAATGTAAGGTGGAGTTAGGAGGCAGCAGCTTGCAGGGACGAACATATAATTGTTCCCTAAGCCTGAACCGCCAGTAACGGCCTGTGTACTCCGTAGTGCGGTTACAATTGAAGGCCTTCGCAATGGGGGACATGATTAGGTAGGTATATATCTATGTTGACAAAGAAAACAAACAAGAAAAAAAAAAAAGAGTTCTTCAGTAACATTGAACGACAAGGCGCAAGCAATATTAGGGATGGTACGGAGTAACATGGATAGATAAAGATGACACCTCGTTTGTTGGTTATTATGCAAGGCTGTTGCCAAGATGTATGATTGCTGCTGTGGCTGCCAAAAACAATGCCGTGCGTTCGCGTTAGCAGAAAAACAAGTCCTTAGGGCCGGCCATGTTAGGGCTGAACCAATGGTATGCAAGATAATCGATCAGACAAGCTGTGGCCGCCACATGACAGCTGCAAGGTTATCCGATCGACATGCCATGAGGTGATCGACATCTCACTGACTTCAAGCCATCTTGGACAAACAAACTTCATTGGTATGAAGGAACTTTTTTGCTAGAAGTGAATAGACTGAATCATTCTTCTCTCACATTATCAACTAGAAAGGCATCAACCCATCCCTGTTGAACCGCACTCGTCCACGGGGAAACTGGTATCGGAAACACAAGAAAATAAAAAACGCCATGTGCGGGAAGCCCATTCCCTCGAGGCTATAATAACACGGATGTCCCGAGCTTGATAGCCTGGAAGCCGAGTCCCCGTCTTTTATCCAGTCATGACCTAATATGCACGTTGAAACCCTAGCCCATGCCCGAGGCAATTTAGCGAATGTAGAAAATCCGAGAAATGCTGCAAAGAGCGTTGTTTAGAGAAGGGCGGCGACGGCAAGACCACCAAGGATAGCAAAGATACCAGCGTGGGCCTTGGCACTGGCGTCGGAACCGGTGACAGTGGCAATGGCGCTGGTCGTAGTGCCGGTCGCGGTGCCGGCAGCGGTGGGAGTAGCGGTGCCGGTAGCGGTGCGGTTGCTGGCAGGGCGGGTTGCGCTGGTCAAGGTGGTGGCAGCAGCAGTGGTGACGGGGGTGGTGGGAGCGGCAGTAGAAGAGTTGGCGATGGCGCTCTCGGAGACGGGGGCGGCGCTGGTAGCAGAGACCGAGGCGGTGTTGGCGGACAGGGTGACGGTAGCAGTGCCCGAGGTAGCGAGAACGGTGGTGGTACCGGTGCTGCCGCCCTCGGCAGCAACAATGTGGAAGGGGTTGGAGTACTGGAAGTCAACCGAGGGGTTGGCTTCGGACTTGATGACGAGGCCGTAGAAGGCGTCCTTGCCGAGGTTGGAAGGAATGGCCCAGGTGTACGTCTTGGCAGAGTTGGGGATGCCGGCTGTGAGTCTTGTTAGCCTGGCTGCGCTCCACGGCCATGTCGGCGACAAGAGCAACTGGGTCTCCGGACGCAAGTCGAGGATACTCACAAACAATGTCCAGGAGGGGAACCTGGCCGCCCTGGGTGGGACCACCGATCAGGCTGAGGGAGACAGTGACGTCCTTGAAGGCATCGGGGGCATCCCACTCGATGGTCAAGCTGGTGCCAGCGTTGACCTTCTGGTTGCTGGTGGGCTTGTAGACGGGGTCGAAGTTGGGGTTCTGAGCCAGGGCAGAGGCGGCGAAGGCCAGGAAGGCAGCGGCGGAAATCTTGAACTGCATTTTGAGCGGTTAAGAGGGTTGCTGATGAGGTAGTGGTGGTGGTGATTAGAATTTAGACGTCTATTATAAAGCAAAAAAGACAGGGAAGTCGAGAAACGAGCGACGGGAAGAAGCGAGTAAGTTGTTGGAGAGGGAGAGCGGGTTTGGAGACGCGGTAATGAGTGACTATATAAAAGAGCGGCAGGCTGAAGCCAGGAGACGAGACACGTTTGACTGGGTTGGTTGGTTGGTTGGTGGTAAAGAAGGAGGGAAGAGGAAGAAAATACCAGACGAAGACGAGACGAGGGATAGGGAAGGAAGAGGTGGTGAGGTGAGCATGGCTCCTGCTAGCCGAGTGCTCCTGGGCGCGCGGCAAGGGGGTGCTGGGCGAATGGATCGTGGTCCCTGGTCCAGCGAGCATCCCGGCTCAATTAGGCATGGTCTAGACGATGGCCTCACGGACTTCACATTGGAGAGGGAGCGAGAGAGGGCCCGGGGACTGTCAGAGGAGGCACAAGGCATAGAAGGGGAAGCCCACACTACAGTTGGGCGAAATGCTCCTGTCGTCTTTTGCGTGCCATCGTCGCATTTGTGCACTGCGCCGCAACGGAGACATGGGTTGTGGAAATTGCATAGGTACGTTACTAGAGTGGCGCCCCATGATTGGTCTGTGGGGATGTCGAAGCAGGGGTTGTTAAATTTTTCCCTGACTCTCCGACTCCAGCTTTTGGCTGGTACGTACCGTCCTTCCCTCCCGAAGTGAGCACTATTTGAGGCGTGCAGCGCGTGGGTGGATGTGAGTATTGCATTAGCGTCGTCTCCAAGAGAAGCCACGACGCAGTACCTACCTTTTCATGAAGTGTGACTTCTGCCAGGAACAGACCATAACCGAGCAGGGCTGAGCCAACGCGCTTGGCGCTTCTTGCCTGAGCACCTATGTAGGTAGTTATTGTGCATCCAGGATGGGAAAAGCTTTACGTGGAGGCAGCAAGGTGTTTCTAACCGAAGCACGTAAAATACATAACATAGTGCTTCACCTGCACATCCATTCCAGACTCTGCTTCTGACCGAGTTTCCTCGACCATCCACCAATGGGCAGGCAACCCGGCTCGGCGGACGCTCACTTGAATCAAGTACACGCTAGCACTCGCCGTTGATGTGTCGCCAGATGAGCACGTACTGGACCGAGATGATGTGACGTCTGCAATCCGTAGCAGTACATGCGCACCTTGTGGGTTCGTTCCAGTGAGTAAGTATTGTGAAGGTTTGACCTAATCAGTTTACTCAAACGGGCTGGCTGAACATAAGACGTCGTGTATGCACGATGTAATTATTACTCCATCGTCCAGTTCAGTCTGCAGAAAAGAAGTCAACGCTCATGTTCATGTTCATAATATCCGTAATGGGGCCGCTGGTGCCTGTCGCAGGCACCAGGTTCCGTCATTCTATCCCCGCCTCGCCTTCAACCCCCCCTGGGGACCCGTCCAATCTGACGACGCTGCAGCCCACAAGGGGCAGCCAATTGGCAGTTCGAGCGACAATGCATCATGCATGCAAAATAAGGATCTTTTGTGTTGGTAGGCCCTTTCGAGAACCGCGCGAAGGAATGGCACTAGCTGCCAGCCGAGAGCAAGGCCTGGGTCAGGGAAAGAATTTCAACTCATGGGCCGATCCAATGTCCGAGCGCAACCTTTTCAACCGTCCTTTTTTACCGCCCCTTATTCTGAATGACAGAGACATGAAGCGGATGCCACCATCTTACTTTCGCTTCGTGTCGCAATCCCGAGGCAGACGGCCATCCCAAATGGCCAGTCGTGCTTCAACCATCTTGTGAACTCGCCAATCCGAAATATCCATATCCGTACTCTCACCCCGTCGACTCTCCTCACCAGCCTTGTCTCGGGTATGCATCCTCCTGCTACGCTTGGAAGGCACGACAGGGTCTGCGGCCTGGGTCTCAGCTTTACGCCCAGTCAGCCAGGACTCTCCGCCCCAGGCGCTCAACCCTATGCATGACGTCGGATAGAAACTGGACGCAGTCAAGTCAAAACTTAGTATCCGTACCTCGTGGCTTTTGCTCTTTCCTCCGTCTATTCATTAAGCGATGCTTCTGATATGCCGCATGCGGGTCTCGGCCATCGCGATGCCGCCCAGCAGTTATTACCACGCAGTCTTCCATCTCACATCGTAGAATAATCCGATGTCTTGCAGCCACCCACCCATTTGGGAAGGGAACGGGAACTTTGGTGGGAAAACTCACCCGACGCATCGGATCAGCCGTCAGCAAGGTCCCCCGTCTCTTAGCCCTGTCAGAGTTTCAACACAAAACTCTACTGCCTACAGCTGAACAAGCGACATCCTTCGTCAGCGACTCGCAACCCTTGGGCCGATGTTGTGAAGGCATAATGTCCTCCCGAGCGAGCCGCTATTGTGCAAGCCGACGTCATGAGCCCATAAAACTTTGCTTCGTAAAAGCAAACAGAGTTGCGATAATAATAGCCGCCACATGTGCGGGCAGTAAAGGGTGGGTTGGACCTCATCTACGTAAATGGAGGCCAAGCCAAAGACACCCACCCCACCCGACCCTGAGGAAACGTGAGTTCATCATTCGTCCTGGCACGGTCGTCATCCGCTGGGCTAGGTTGCTTTTATTCTGCAACTCTGTTAATGCAGTCAGCCTGGCTGTCGGCTCGAATACGGTCGAGTACGGACCATCGGTTCTAGGCTATCTGCGGTCAAGTGGCACGGCGATGGCGCTGCTGCAAGATCTGTATGTCAGCTCCTGCCACCGCTGCCGTCTTCGTCGACTCGTCACCGCATTCCCTTTGCGACCCATGCAGGTAGCTGGAACCGAGAAAGCTTCGGTAGTAGGTAGTGGTGCCACGATGCCCGACACATGTGCTGCTTTGGTATCATTCGATCAAACGACGGTGGGAAGAAAACAGTCACATCGCGGCCAACACGAATTACCTTGTCAGCCTCTCTGCAGCACCAAGCGCCGGCTGCACCGACGTGAAGTCCAAGTCAGCCAGCCATTATCGAATGCACCTCGGCCTAAGCCACACTGCGGCGCCCGAAAGAGGGGGAAGAGTCTTCCTTGGGTGAGGCATGGTACTTTCCTGGCTCTCCCTCCAACCAAGCTGCGCCAAGAAGAAGAGGAGGAAAAAATAAGAATAATAAAAGAACGAACGGGAGAAAGCGGGGGAAAGGGAAGTCAAGTCAACCGTCACACGATGGATGTATGGCAAATACTCGCCAGGGTGGACGCATTCCAGGTTCGTGCGCCCAAGCGGTTTCGAGGAAAGACAAGACAACACCCTCCCTGGGAAGGTAATTCACCCGGCCGGCCGTTGGAATGTCCTAGGTACTCCCAGGTAGCCGGGAAGGGGGTTAACGCTACCCTTGGCTCTAGTAGCGTCTTCCGCTGCTCTGTCGTCATAATTCTCTTGTTGTCGCAATGGGCAGGAGGATGCAGCATCGGGTTTCCGGGGCCCGAGGGTTGAACCGAAAGGGTCGGTGGTGCATCGCTCCTCGTCACCGGGCTGCCCCGTGATCTCCGACCCGGTCGGCCTTCACAAGCGGAGGTATATGCGGGCGAGAGTGGAGCCCAGACCGGTCCAGCAGAGCGGAGGTCGCGATATCTTTCTGGACCCCCCACCTCACCGGAACTCATCAGGATCAGGTCTCCAGTTATGGAGCTGTCATTTGACAGAACAAGAAGCGCGGGGGAATCGTGACTTGCAGCATTGTGGTCCAGTTTTTGTCGCCAGAAGGTTCGCCCTGCAGTGCGGAGAAGGCGTCCACGTGACCCTTCCTGCCCGATGCATCCGTCAACCGTGACGTCCCGCCCATGATGTAGAATTCTGTAGAATCTGCTAGCCGATCTGGAACACCCGAGCATCGTGAATGGCATCACATCCACTGAAGATAAAGTGTTGCCATCCCACCCCAAGCTTTGATTTGCATCAACTCCCACCTCATCGAGCTTCTCTCCCGTTCCTCACCCTCCTTCCAAGATGACCACCCCAGTCACGGAGTTTATTGTTCTTACACTCAAAAATCACGGCACCTCATCGGGTCCCCCCGCGGCCTGGTCGGACGTCACTGATACCCTGAAATCCGCACCCGGCGTCAGCGCCGTGTACACGGGCACCCAGAACGAGGACCCCTCCAAGACGGTCCTCGTCGTGGAATGGGCGTCGCCCGCCGCCTTCTCCGAGTTCGCCGCCTCCGAGTCCTACACACCCTGGTTCGCCTCCCTCAAGGCCGTCTCCGCCCACACTTCCCCGGACAGCCCGGGCGTCGCCCCGCCGCTCTTCTACAAGGTCCCCTTCACGGCCGACTCGAACCCGGCCGCAGCCCTCGGCGCGCCGTGTACCGAGGTTTTCATCGCCTACGGCGTGGACGATTCCTTCCTAGGGCAGACGGCAGAGTTTGCCAAGGATCTGACGCAGGGCGGAGCTTCGATGGAGGGGTACCACGGGCATGCGTACGGCGCGATCTCGACGCCGCTGGCCGTGGCGGGCTCCGGGGACGGGGAGAAGGGGCCCGCAGTAACACTGTTGCTGGGGTGGGACAGCAAGCAGGCGCATCTTGATGCCAAGGCAAAGGCTGGACGTGAGTACACACATCCCTGTGGTGCGCCATGACGGCGAGATGACCCGACGTGCGAGAGAGCCATGACTAACATGTCTCGCAGCGATATCAGACAACATTCATCTGTTGAGGTCAGGCCGCAAGGGCATTTCCATGGTATGTCGTCATTATTACAAGCCAGCAATTTGTGACGAACGCTGACTGCGTACAGTATCATGTGAACCTCAAGCGAATCTGAATGACGGCTGTAAAGAATTCAGAGCGTATTATTCAAAATGGCATAATATTATTATGGTGGCATTGGTTACGACTACGGGCTGTACTTTACGATGATATGACAAAACGAATCATATTGAAACACGTGATTACTGACAAGCCTCCTACCGTTCATGGTTTCCTACTTATGATGGATATGAAAACGCTGTGTATTCCATTCATAGCAGGCAGGAGAGGCGAGGGCACTCACTTACAAGCTGGTATAGATGCCGGGAGACGGATTGCACCGCTATCCTGGTCGAAGACCACCGCTGCCCGTAGGGAGTCGTGATGCCTGCCATGAACTTATTAGCGATTTGTTCTTAAAATCGTGAAAACCTTCTGCTCGTGGCTTCGAACCTCGTCCCCATCTGTTGCGGAAGTATGGGAAGTGGAGAGAAGAAAAAGGCTAGTCTCTGCCTCCATGAGACGAGGCGAGCGTATGCTATGGTAGAAAATGAGCTAGGGTAAGGCCAAGTGCATGGAAGTTGGTGGTGTACGTAGTACGGGCGACGCTGGGATTGGATCACGAAGTTCTAGGGCTTAAGGCCATAATGTCCATCAGGGCTGTGTATGTGAGGCAATGTGGATGGTAGGGCGGCAGGCAGGCAGGCAGACAGGCAGACAGGCAGACAGACAGGGCAACGGTTGACGGGGCTCGCAATGGTGATGGTGAAGATGTGGGCAGGGAGTCAAGATGTGCTGGAGAATGGATGAAGTAAGAGAGAGTAGTGCACTATTAAAAGTAGTACCTCCTCTAAAAGCACCTTTGATCAGACGAAGTTGATCGAGACCTGTCCCCCCTTCCAGATGTAGCCGGGGTTTCGCGGCGAAGCTGTTGCCGGAAACCAATCCGATATCCCCCAAACGTGGCGATGACGTTTCGCGAAAGAAAAGAAAATGTACCATTCCGCCCGAAATTTTGGTTTGCCGAACTAAGATTTGATAGTCAGTAAAGTCATAAACGTCGTTAGATCCGGTGTTTTTCCGATTCTATTGTCATTGTTAGCACTGGCGATCCCACGATGCCAAGCATGGGTTCTGTTGAGTTTGCGTACCGAGACGAGAATAAAGCATGTATAGCGCCATCCGATTGCACTCCTCCGTTCCCGTGATGGTGACCAGCCGTTCGTTGCTGTTGTCTTGAGGCTCGTTGATCTTAATCACACTGCCGCTGATCTGGCGTATTTCGTTGATCTTCTGCCCGCCTTTTCCGATGATGGCTCCAACCATATCGTTGGGAATGTAGATCTGCTGGGTCAAGGGAGCGCCGGCAACAGCGGCTCCGTGCATGGGCTGAGCAGGATGGGCGCCGTGAGGTTGGGGAACGGCAGCACCGGCGTGGGGCTGCATGGGAGCGGCAGCTCCGTAGCCACCGGCTTGCGGGGCGCCGTAATGAATGGGCATTGCCGGGTTTGGCTGAGCCGCATGAGGGGGGTATGGCTGCGCGCCATACGGAGCAGCGGGGAGACCGGGGTGCTGGGCACGAGCATCATGCCTGCGGTTGTAGTTCTCACGGTTGCCGTAATTGCCGCCGGTGGTAGGCTGCGGGCAGTACGGGACGACCTGCATGCCGCCGGGAACGACACCGGCAGGGCCACCGCTTCTCGTGGCGTAGGCAGAAGCGGCTGGACCACCGAATCGGTCGTTCAGCTGCTCGAGGAGAGTGCTGCCGACATAGTAGGTCGCGATGTGGACGGCGTCGGCGACACCCATGACCACGAGCGAACGCTCGGTAGACAGTGGCAAGCAGGAATCAGAAGCATTAAGCCGAGCCCCGGAAGCCTCCTGGATCTCGCGAATGCGAGCACCGCCCTTTCCAATGATGGAACCGATCAGGATGTGGGGGATTAGCAGGCGCAGAGGGTATGTCTTTGACTGGGCGCTTGAAGGCTCGGCCAGAGGCTCGTTGTTGAGAGTTCGAATAATGAGTCCGAAGGCCTGGCGACTCTGTTAGCAGGACAGCCTGAGTGGCTAGAGTAGCACTGTTACTAACCTTTGCAGCAGCGTCCACAACGCCGCTAACGGTCAAGATGCGCTCGACAGCCCCTTTCTGGTAGTCGCTCACAGTGCATTTGGCACCAGACATTTTGCGGATGTTGGAAACATTCTCCCCGCCTTTTCCAATAATCGTGGCAGCTTCAGGGCTGGAAATAACAGCGCGAATGTGGATCCAATCTCTCTCGTCGTGGCTCGCCGAGGGGGTAGAGGTGGCAGGGACAGAGCCGGCGACGGAGCTCTGGATAGGCTTCGTCTCGCTGCCCTCGGCATCGGCTTGCTCGGACTTGACGTCGGAGCCGTTCGTCTTCTCTGCATCGTTCGTTTCCGTGGTGGGGATGGCAGTGGTCTCTGGGGCCTGTGCCATTTCAACCTCCTCATCGTTCTTCACAATCTTGTCCAAGGCCGGGCGCTTCGCGTCGGGTTGGTCGTTGCTACGCGACGGGGAGGATGTTTCCTCAAGAGGGCGCTTGGCCGAGTTTGCGGGCTGGGGGGGCGACGCGGACATGATGGGCTAGCTGTTAATGTCTCACACAAGTTTTCGCAATTCCGTCTAGGTTCAAGAAGAGCTTGTATTCGACTATCTACACCACAACGGTTTTCAAAGGAAAACGGGCTGGTGTAGTGGCGTAGTCGGGATCGGGTTCAGAGTATATCTCTTCGGTGAAGTGGCTGTGATCGTGCAGGATGAAGGTCGCAGGGTAGAGGGTCGTGACGTTGAGAAGAGATCGGGATGTGGGTTTAGGATGACTCCTATCCTATCAGGGCCGAGGTAGGTGACTTCCGAAATCGTGAGAATCGCAGAGCAGAGAAACTCAGGTCAAGCGGAGGGAAGGCGAGACGATGCGGAGAGGCAGCAGACGGGTAGGATGTAGATGGAATGATGGAGAAAAGAGGTGGAGAAGGTGGGAGGGAAGGAGCTGATGGTAGACAAAGATTGTATCTAGGAGGCGATTCGGATGCAGAAGCTCAAACCTTTCTCCGTCAAACAACCAGTCCAAGCTGCGAAGGCAGAGCAGGGAGCTGCAAGGTGTTGCGACGGTTTGTCAAGTCTGCAAGCAGAGCTTTGAAATTTCCCTTCTGCGATGTCTCGCTTGTTCTCCTTTCTTGAGCTCGTCGAGCTGCAGAGCAAAACGGAAGACTGGCGACGCGCCGACCGTCGGGCCTGAGGACCTCAAGAGGGAGAGAAAGCTTGGTTGAGAGAAGCGACACGTGAGAGGGGAGAGCGAAGCTGGAACCGGTGCGCTGCGCCGTAAGATAAAAACAACCCACCAAAAGGAAGTTTCGACAGACGGAGGAGAAGGATGGGGGAGCAGAGTCGAGGATTAAAAGAGATGAGGGAAAGCCGTGCAAACAGATGGGTTGGAAGGGGGTTCCGGATGTCTCGAAGAGGTTTGAGAAACGGATGGGCGAGGGCAAAGAGCTTGTCGGAAAATATCCCAGGGCCAGAAGCGCAAGTGCCAGTCCCGGGCCAGGAGCCAGTCCGTAGCGGCCACCTCAGGCACAGCCAGAAGGGCAGGGCAGGGCCACTGCACCGTGAGGCCCTTCGGTACTTAATACGTAGGTAGATACAGTGTAAAATGCAGATGCACGGCCACATTGCCCCGACCCAATGCCCGGGAAGCAGAAAGTGCCGATACCACACAGTGCGTCATGATTCCCCTGCAGATTAAGCTACACAGGGTGGGGCCTGGGCCTCCTCCCAGCTTGATTCAGTGGGACAGATGCAGCGAGCCGCACAGTGTTTACTACCGTCTGGCCTGCCTCTCACCTAAGGACAACCAGAGAGCACTGCAGCCTGCCACCAATATCCGTCTGGTGTGCCCTGCCGTTTCCAATGCAAGTGGATGCTCAGGGGTCAGCACTCAACAACAAGGCATTTACACAAACATCTCATCGCGACGCCGCGTCTTGCGGTCCAAGTCACGTCGACGACCATCTTGTCTCGCCGACGTCTTTTTCGACCACACACCACACCTTACAGTCAACAGCCGCTTCCCCATCACCGAAACCTTGGGCGTCCGTCGGACATCACAAGACCTGCGCTGTCGGTGTCACTTGTCGGCGTGTCAGTCAGTCTGCTAGACAGCCAAGGAAGTGCACCATCTGTGCAGGTTGCGCGCTGTCCACCCCCCTCCCCCCCGGAATATCAACTGCGTCCGACACACAGTGACACCTCCTTTGAAACAGCTAGAGACAATCTAGCGCCCGAACACGGCTTGTTTTCTCTGACAGGGGTGAGATCAGACGCACGACGCTATTGGACATCTTGGTTGCTTCGACGGGCCGTGTGCTTTGGGAAGACTTGGAGGATTCTCTATTGCCGTTGCTTAAACTGTTTCGTTTCTTCCAGGGGATCCTCTAAAGGTCGCGTGTGCCTCCTGGTCCGGATTGCAACCGTGTCGCGCTACATAAAAAAACATTAGCCAACCATCAATGTCTGACCTTGGGAACCGGCACTTGACGCACTATGGACGGAGCACCTCGACCTATCGGCGATAGGTATGCCCTAAGCCTGGAACAGAGCTTGCAAGAACTACAACAGAACATCCAGCAACACAAGGAGAAGCTTGCAGCGGTATGCATTCTATTTCGTGGCCTTTTGATGACTCTGAGCTGACCGGGTGACAGCTTCAGGGAAACGTTGGCCACCGGAATCGAAATCTATCCGGAGCAGGAAGAGAACCTTATGAAGTGATGAAGAGTGCGTTCGAGCAAGTTGCTGACACGCCCCCCTTCGTACCTTTCTCGGAATCCGTCTTGCCCGCGCTCTTGGCCTTGCGGAAGACTCATCAGACCATTACTGAATCTCAGGCGTATTTGATTAGTCAAGGGGCCTCCCTCGACCGGACGAAACGCAGACTTGAAATCGAGCAAGCGAACCTGGCTGACCAGAAGCTACTTCAGCAGAGTCTAGAGAAGCGCATCCAGTCTCTCAAGGACGAGGCAGAATCTCGAATGGAGTTAACGCCTCACCAGGCCGTCCAGGAGAGACTGGATGAACTCAGGCAAAAGAAGAAGCGTTATGACAAAGAGACATCCAGACTACTCAAGGCCCTGAGGAAATTCATTGACGATCACTTGGCGGCACAGCTGGCTGCAGAAGATCTTGGTGGCCCGGTCGTGGGCGAAATGATGGAGATTGACTCTGACCAACTGATTGCGGGCTTCAATGCTCAAGGTCGACCGGCCAAGATCAAACCCAAGCCGGACGAGGACAAGCGACAACGGAGGCTTGAAGAAGTCTGGGGTCTGCCACAGGAGGACACAAGTCAGAAGCGCGGCCAGGCGGACGAGGCAGCAGCCGCCGGCCGCGAGATGCGGGCTTTGACAGAACAGCTCCTGAATCAGCTTGTGGAATCGGGGGGTGACAGCACGACGGCGTACGTCAAGCTATCCAAGGAGACGGCGGCGGCGCGGTTCCTTGTCAGATCCAAAGTCGCACAGTTCCATCCCAGGGACGCTACAAAGCTCAAGCTGATTGACTTTGGGAGGGAGCTGGACGACTAGGAGGGCCTGGTTTGCCGGACACCCGTGCGATTGTGACGCTCAAGCGCAGATCCCCCGTGTAGAGTTGTGGACAGACAGTCAATCAAACCGATTTTTTCCCGCAACGGCACATCTCTCCTGGGGCCCGGGAACGTCACAGAAAAGCTCCTGTTATTAAGCGTTGAGCATCTCGAGTCAGGATGGGTGGCTCCTAAAAGGCCGACAAGGCCCGCTGAGGGCAATTCGGGGCAGCTCGGGCTTTGGTGGCTACAGTGCGGGCTCGTACATGATATTGCGATTCACAGTGTCTGCGATTGACTCTGCACTTTCCTCCGGATCTGGACAGAAGGGCAAAGGTTGGTGTCGAGATTGGGAACTCGGCATATGCGTTGAGCGATTTCTAATTTTTCAATTCATTCTTTATTTGTTTTCTCTTTACCTGAAAGCATGTCATTAGACAATGCGCAAACACTAGGGGTCTAGGTTATGTGACTCGAAGCAGGTCCCGCGACCCTCTTGAGGCTATTCGGTTTCCACGACAGAAAATCGCAAGATGTAAAGAACTCTAGCAATGGTAAGAGCATGTTACAATATATACCTGTTCAATGACGACCTTTCCGATGTTAGCCAAGGCAGTTGAGGCAATTGAGCGACCCTGTTGAACGGCTATTTTCTATTGGCCAATTCGCCATCCACGTCGTTGCGCGTCGTCGCGACACCGCCGTTCCCCCCACCTCGCTACACCGAAACTCAATACATCGGTCCTATTGTGGTAAACTTTCCATCTTGCTGGATAGTCCAACACAACCCCCCAACCAAACGAAACAAAACATGAGCTCTTCTGAACCCGTCAGTGCACAGCAGCAACTCGACCCTCCCGCAAAGCGAGTCAAGACCTCTGCCGACGCCCCCGTCCCTGCCGCCATGGAGCCCTGCCCGCCTCTCCAGGTCAAGAAGCTGTCGGACAAGGCTCGTCTGCCCACCCGCGGCAGCCTCTACGCCGCCGGCTACGACCTCTACGCTGCGAAGGCTACCACCATCCCGGCGCGCGGGAAGGCGCTCGTCAGCACCGATATTGCCATCTCCGTCCCGGCTGGCACCTGTACGTTTGCACCTCGTTCCTACCGAGAGCTCTCTCCGGCACCGGCTCCAGCACCGGGCCTGCCTCTTCCCCCGAGCGACAATTTGGCTAACCATAGACCCTCTTCGTGGGTACAGACGGCCGCATTGCCCCCCGCTCTGGCCTTGCCGCCAAGAACTTCATCGACACGGGCGCCGGCGTCATCGACGCCGACTACCGCGGTGAGGTCAAGGTCCTCCTCTTCAACCACGCCGACGCCGACTTCGAGGTCGCCGAGGGCGACCGCGTCGCCCAGCTCGTCGTAGAGCGCATCTTCACCCCCGAGATCATCGAGGTCGACGAGCTCGAGAAGAGCGTGCGTGGCGCCGGCGGCTTCGGCAGCACGGGCGTCGCTCTTACGCAATAGATCGTCCCCTCCTCCCCCACGATACAATACAAAGAGGCTTTGTTGCATGGGAGAAGGGGTTCCTAAACGTCCAAGATGGACCAGATAGAATGGCACTGAGTGGGCGAACAGAAAAAGTGTTTATAGGACAAGGGTGCCAGAAGGGTAAAAAAAAAAGACGAATGATGACAGTGCTACGACCATGAAATGCCTTTTTCTATCCCACCATCCTACGCCACCCTATGCAGGTAATCAAAAAAGCCTGCCGAATACCCCTCGTGTGTGTAAATCTATATGTGTGTACGTGTATGTGTAGAAACCACCCCTCCCACCAGCGGCATGCGACCCTGTTCGGATATACTCTACAGCTACAGCTACAGCTACAGCTTCTTCGCCCGGAACTCTACCACCGGCGCCTTCAGGCTCGCCAGGTTCCTCACGAGCCTCAGCTCCGAGCTCTTGCTCTTGAGCAGGTGCAGCCTCCGTTTCCCCTCCTCCGTCGTGTCGTCCACCCCGGCGGCCCGCACGACCTCGTGCATGCCCCGAGCCGTCTGCGTCAGCACCTCGTGCATGCTCGCCAGCACCATCTCCGCCGCCCGGGCGAGTGGCAGCTCCAGTGCGCCGACCTCGTCGCCGCTCAGCCATGACGCGCGGTCCTTCAGCGGGCCCTCCCCGCCTGCGGCGTCGGGGCTCACGCTTGCGGAGGCAGCGATGACGGCCTCGCGCATGCGAACCGTCATCAGCGCGGCGAACATGTCGCCCGTGCCAGAGAAGTAGGCGTCCATGGCCGGAAAGACGATCTTGAAGAGGCGCGGCTCGCCGGTGGCGGGCGACATGCTGGAGCCGACGACGGAGAGGTGGGAGGGCGGATGGTCGGGCGAGGCGAGGGAGACGGAAGTGATGACGACGTGGGGGACGCGGTATCTCGTGTGCAAGGCGCGGATGGCGGTCTGGAGGGTCTGCATGTCTGTGATCTTGACGCCCGAGAGGAGTCTGGTAAGGTGTTATTCTGAGTGTTTGCGCGCGCAGGTAGAAAAAGATGAGTTTTGAGCATGTTGGCAACCACAACAGAAGTCGGGACGTAGACCCGGCGGGGGGGGGGGGGGGGGGGGGGGGTTGCATACTCGGCCTCAAACTGGTTCGGGAGGATCAGGTTCGCGTGCTCGATGAGTGACTGGTACGCGGGCACAACCTCCTCGGCGACGTATAGCCTCCCGTTATCGCCCATGACGGGATCCAGAACCCAGAAGAAGTCGCCTGGCGTACCCGTGGCGACTCGCTTGCGCTTGAGCTCCTGTGCGATGTCACCCACGGCCACGACGGCCTCGGCGCCCGGGATGTAGCCCGAGAGCATCATGTCAAAGTCGTCGAGGTACGACTGCTTAAGGCCCTCGAAGAGATCTCGGATCTCCTGCGCGGACACCTTGGTGCCCTTCCATTGTCTGTAGCCGGTGTGGTTGCCTTGGGTGGGGTGAGTCAGTCCCGATGAGAACCTTTCGGCCCTGCAAGAACAAAACAAGAGGCCAAGGTTGACGGAGGAGTGAGTGGATATGTTGGATGAGGAGGTCTCTTACTGAACTGGACGGTGTTGAGGGCTGCGACATCGCAGCCGAGAGACTGCAGCGTGAACACTGCGATTTTGTTTCCTACGTTTCTGGGTTTACCCATAAGCCAGATTTCTTGCGACTGAGACCTCCCCCCCAGCGCGCGCGAGCGCCCCTGGAAGACGGTGAGGGTGAGGACTCACCCAGACACAACCTTGAACGAAATGGTCAGTCATACATCATACGAGAGGCACGAAAGCCCAAGGGGTGGCGTATCTTACGTGACTGGCAACGGCCAGGACGCGTGTATCAGGAATGGGAAGCTCTGAGGACATAATTGCCGTGTAATCTGCGCGTGTATGGTATGTAAGATTGTGTCGACCAATTCTAGATCCCTCATATGGAGGAGATGATCTCAGCTACCAGAAGTCGGATATCAGTGGGGGCGGGACGCCGATATGCGGAGCGATCAAGAGTGCGATAACGTGATACTTATAATACAGGTAATAATCAAAAAGAAACAGGGAGATATTTGGAACTCGGACGTTACGAAACCAACAGCTAAAAGACAAAGGAACGGATTTCTTTATCGGCGCAAACCCCAAAGATCCGAAAGTGCGAAATCAGGCTGCAGTAGTGGAACATTTGGAAGTGGCTTGAGTAAGATTGGAGAGTGCCGCAGTTCCAGGTCATTCTAGCTTCGCGCGCTCCCACCCTGACTCCAAATCCAACATTTTCAACTAGTGTGGCAGTCCGTCTGGTGCACCATTGACTCAAAAGAGAAAGGTGAAGAAGGGGAAAAATAATGACCCCGCCAAAAGGGCACATCGAAGAACCCCGCACTAGTCCGAATTGAAAACACTGCAGCCAAAGGAGTGACCGCCAGTGCAGGTGTGGGCAGCTGGCGCACCTCGATCGAGAATTGTCATAATCCAGAATCCGTCAGCGTAATGCCTATGCCAAGAAATTCGGCATATCGGTATATCAAAGTATGAAGCTTGAAGGGTGTCAAGGCGGAAACAATAATCTCATTATCCTTCGTGGTTCCCAAAGTGCTTTTTTGCCTTTCGTCTACCAACGTATTGCGCACATTCTATAGAACATGCAAAACTCAATCCAGAGTAAAAAGGACAGGCGCTTTTGTCCCATCCCACATCCCGTGCAACGCCCGCAATTTCAACTTTATTCCATCGTCAATCGCCGCTCTACTCCTCATCACCAATCTGTAGGTTTTTGTTAGTTCTAGTCCCGCCTCAGATATCGTGGGTCAACTTGCCTTCGGCGCCAGGTAGAAGCGCAGGTGGCTCTGGCCCACCAGGGTGTACTCGACCAGCAGTGGCACCTCGTTAGACAGGCAGATCTTGACCTGCTTGGAGATAGCGGCAGCCTTGCAGAAGTTGACGAGGTACTTGAGAGAGAAGGTCAGGGAGACGGGCTCCGACAGAGCAATGTCGACGTTGAGCTCCGGCTTGTCGACGTTGGTGTGGCTTCTCAGGGTGACGGATCCGTTGCCGATGTCGCCGTTGCATGCAAACTTGACACCGTCCTTGCTTGCGTCGATCGTCACTGTATTATGGTTGTCAGACCATGGTATATTCGGGACCGAACGGGATTCGAGGCTACTTACCCGACTCGCTCATGGCCATCAGGTCCGCGCAGATTCGCCTGAATTCGCTGCTGGGCATGGTGATCGTCGCGGCGTAGTCCGTCTCGGGGATACCCAGGTGCTCCTGGTCAATATCCATCAACTTGAGGTCGTACTCGCTGATGCGGTCGTTCTCGGAGCTTTCAAAGAGAATGTTTAGGCTGTCGGGCGCGTCCTCGGCCTTGAGTGTCAAGACATCGTCGCCCTGGGCGGCGCGGAGGACCTTGGTCAATGACCCCAGGTTGACGCCGAGCGCGATGTTGCGGTCACAGCGGAAGGGGGAGAAAGCCTCGGCCTTGAGGGCCATGGACACCAGAGCAACGTGCGAGTTGTCCATGGCCTGGAGCATGATGCCGGAGTCATTGCAGTCGAAGTTGCAGTCCTGAACGAGGTCCTTGATGGCATCGACAACCTAGATAGGTCAGCGAAAGAGATCCTTGACACGTGTGATTGTAGTGTTTTGTAGTTATGCAGTACCTTCTTCAGGATATCGGCCTGGTCAAGTCTGGCTTCCAACATCTCTGTGCAACGTCAGTACCGTTTTCATGCTGCGGTAGTAAAAAACCCAAGCATGCAACAGCGTGGGGGGCGAAGGGACCAACATACTGGCGAAATGTGTGCGTGGCTACAAATAAAAAAGAGGAGAGGGGTATCTTCAGAAATCAAAAAGAGACGGAAGAGAAAGACGTAGAGGTGATTCTGTGTTCTTGCGGGAAAGTTGGTCGTCAAGATGTGTGGTGGAGGGGTTGGTGAAGAAGAGAAGGTCTCGTCGCGGCAAGCACTTTAATGGGCAAACACGGTCACGCGTCGTAGTGGGCTGGTAAAGAGGAGACAACGCGTCAAGCGTTTAATAGGGCACGACGCCAATCTCGCGCCGGGCCAAAGAATGCTGCCTCGACTGCCTTCAGTGGCCTGTCTTTCCTGATCGATGACAGCTGGACCGTGCGCTAGGTACACAACCAAAGGACCAAGCACACCTGCCCACCTGAGATAGTGGCCCGGGCTAACCGGGCTCCAGCTCAGGGGGCCGCTGGCTTCCAGCCCCTAATCGTGGCCCCTTTCTTCCCCTGGCAGCCAGGGGTCCTTTGTTTAATATACCAATGCACTGCATAGTACGGATATATATCCGTAGTATATAACGTAGCAACGCAGCTGACCTATGCATAGCATCGAATTGAATGTGTGGCAAGTTCCAATGTAAACAAAGACAAGTAAACAAATGATTAAACATTTTGCTTTTCTTTTCCAATTGTTTTTTTCTTATTCAGTTAGAGAACTAGCAATGGTCTGTACAAGCCTCCTCCGGCCCAAATTGGAACCTGCACCAAACGACCATGGTGCGTATCGGTGTCATCATAAATACAATTGAGCAATCCGACGAACGATAACTTCCGCCCGTGTGTCCTTGAGCCCCTTTCTATATGCAATCAGTGAATAGTGACTATGTTTGTAGACATTATGTATCAGAAATCAAAAAGGGAAAAACATAGGAAATCAAAATTCCAGTGACTGTAATTAGTTAAGAGTCTTCTCACCCACAAACGCCGTGTCCATCATCAAATGTCGTGTCCTCGTCACATTGAAACGACGCGCGACGGATTCGGCCCAGTCCGCGGGCGGGGCCGGAGGTTGATGACCATCTCGAGCTCCTTCATCATACCCTTGTTAGCGTCGGCCTTTTCTTTGGCGATCTCTCGCTTCTCTCGATCTTCTCGCATCTTGATGATGCGCTCCTCTCTGGTCAATAGGCTGCGAGGCCTAGGCTGGGCGACAGCCTCAAAGACCTCTTCCATGTCGGGTTCCCCTGTGCTGCCGAAGTCTGTGCTGGAGGGCGACTCTCCATTCAACGCCTTAAGAGCTTCGGCTGCCCCCCCTTCCTCGACTGTCGTCAGGCCGCTGAGTGAGCTGGTTGGAGAGAGCAGTGTGCTCATCGAAGACAATCTCCTCTCGTTCCGGTCGATACCCATGGCGAGAGCTGCTTTGCCCTCTTCCCAGGCCTGCATCAGGATTTTCAAATCCGCCCCGATAGACTCGTATTGCAGCATCAGACTGGAGCCGAGCTCAGAAATGTCGTCGGACTCGTTGAGGCTACGATCAGACTCTTCTCTCAACAAAGTCAGCTTGGCTTGCAAGCCGCGAATCCCGCTGGATAGGGAGTTAAGTTTCCGTAATTGCGATCTCCATCTCTCTCGGCCGGGCGTCAGGGGTACCTTTGGAGTCGGCGGCGGCGGGAAAGCTACAGTTTGTCAGTTGCGAGTCATCATCGCGCCAGAAGGAGACTACTTACACTCCTCATCGCTCAAAAGTCTTCTCAGACTCTCGAACGCTTTTTGAGTGACCGTGTTGAGAGCGCGAACCGCCTCCATCGTTGTTGTCCATTTCAAGAGGTCTCTGCTGTCGCCGCTTGCGTCCAGGGCCAGGAGCGCACACAAGAACATCTTGCGAATGGTGTGAAACCGTGCAGCAAGAACCTTGAGCGTCCGAAGTGATTCGTTATCCTCAAACTCATTCTCCTGGAAGCCCAGCCTAGCATCGGACATGTCGAAGTCGCTGATGTCGTAAATGTCGTAATATTTCTCTAAATCAAGTTGTTCCGAGAAGCCTTTAACTACCGCAACGGTCTGGTCGTATGCGGGAATGACATCGGCAAAGCACGCCCTGAGGGCCCTGCGCAGCCGCACGCACTTGCGCGTCTGTGAGCGATCCTCTATACGGCTGATAGGTGGAAGTGGCGCACTCCTAAGTCTTGTGTCAGCGCGCCCATAGACCTTCCGTCGCATTTTTTCACAGCGAGTCAGCCTTGGAAGGCAAAACTTACAGACGGTAACCTCTGGAAACAAGTTCCACCTCTTGTACCAGCGCAATGGCTGCACCAGTTGCACTGTCGAATTCCTGGGAGTTTGAAACAAACGCAGTGACCTCTGAAAGTGCCTGCAGCCGCCTGTACCTCAGCCATTGTCTCCGGGCGAACACATGGGCGATCCCTGCGGTGATCACAACTACCAGCAAAATTATAGCAGTCCTTCTCTTGTTCAATGGTCCTGCCCCCGCGAGCCAGTTGATAGAAACAGCCAGAGCCAATGCACCCAAGACGACGACGACCGCGCCGGTCGAGTCGAGCAGCTTGTCAGTTGGATTTCCGTCAATGGCAGCACTGGCGGACCGGGATGATGCATTGTGCTGGGATAATATGGAGTGCCCACTCAATAGCTGGGATGCGATAATAGTATAGCGAAATTGCTCAAGGAATTTGGAGTTGTCGGCTCGGTCAATCCTGGACGCTACCGCAGTCTGGAGGACACACAGGTAAGTAATTTCCCCATGTGACACACATAGGGGGTTTTGAGTGGTGCGCACCGAATAACTTTTTCGGTATGACTTATCAGAGGCCGCCTTCGTAGGTATGTCGACTCGGAGGGAATTGTTGCGGAATCTCGATCTGACCATCGGCCGACCCGTTGGTGCGAATTCGGGGCTCGAGGGAGGCGATGCATCGTAAGTTGAGTCGTCGTGCGCCCATCCCACCTTCTCGTCTTCGCCTTCGTCTGTCGCACGCGCGGTTCTCATCAGCGGTCGGTTTGTATGGGGGGTTGTTGGATCGCCTCTCGCGATGTTGCACTTACCACGAAGGTACTCGGCGAGCGGCGACTGGTCAAACACGACTGGCTCCATCTAGCGACCGGGCAAGTATAGACAAGGCACCTGCAAGCAGCAGCACGGCCATCTGTCGCTTCAAACTGTCGGGTTTGGTTGATGCGTCGTGGAAATGGCGAACGGAAGGAATGAGGGACGTGTTGCGATCGAAAAGCAATTGACAGACTCAAAAGAACGCAAAGACATGTGTAAGCGATGTATGGACGACCACTTCGGCTTCGGGGATATATACGGATCGCGCGGGCGGAGGCGTTGTAATTGCGGAGGTTGCACAGGGGGCTCAAGAAGTTGGAAGGGAGAGTTTGCTCGCACCGATAGCCCGAAAGTAACCAGCGGCATGACGCTGGACCCCTGCATGTCCCGATTAAGGTGCAAGGGGAGGCCGGAGCCTCGGTGGGGTGAATGCATATGATCTGCCCCAGCCAACGGAGCGTTCAAACGGTGCTACTCGCTTACGTATGGTGAAGACAGCACGCAAAAGGCGTGGCTTGTGCACTGTACCTGGTCATCGTCTGCATACTTATGAAATTTGGAACCAAATGATAGCGAGGGGGCGGAGCCGACACCGACCAGATTGCACCATGGCAGACTCCCCACTCGATCCGGGGACACGACCTAGGTACCTGGTACCTGCCTATCTTAGGTAGTTTAAACGACATGGAACATAATGATGCCGGATCCCGATCCTGGGCCTGCCTGCCTGCCTGGGCCTTGTCCGGTCAAGCTCCACCAGCACATGCTGCTAATATTACCTAATCCAAGGCCTGCAGAGTGACAGAGGAGCTCTACGAACATAGGCTACTACTGTCTAGCCTTCACGACAGGAAGCGCATCGACGAAACGACCGCAACAACGCAACAATTTACAAGACCTGAGACATCCTGGTGTCGCCTCAATTAAACGAGAGAACCCGACGACTGGAAACCCGTTACACGCCAACGCACAAGACCGCAATAATGCCGTCGGAACGCGACTATCAGATCTCTCCCATTGTGCAGGAATCGGTGATGCACAACACAAAGGTGGGATAGCTTCCCTCAGCATTCGCGACCGGCGCAAGCTCTTACTAACGCTCTTCTCCTCTGCACAGGTCCTTTCGAACCTGCAAAGTCTGACGGCGTCTCTCTTCGGTGTCGCGGCCGGCATCCTTGGTCTCGAATCATACAACGGCTTCCTGTTCTATTTCCTCTTCTCCTTCCTGACCGTCGCCTTATTCTACATCTTCCGAATAGCCCCCGAATCTATGTCGGCAGGATTGTCGTTTCTTGACACGAGCCGCTACTTCAAGGGACCGTTGGACGTATGGACGAGTGGATTGTTTGGTGGGCTACCTGGCTTCATTCTCACCTGGACCTTATTCTACGGCATCGTGAGGGCATAACAGGCTGCTATGGGTAAAAGTGGCTTTGCTGGCGTCGGGACATTGAGGGAGCTTAGGGCAAAGACTGAACGCAAATCATATTCCATGACGTACCTAAATATCAACGAAGGAAATAATGCTGGCATGACGCTACAAACGAGCAATGCGGCACCCGCAATCGATAACGCTCTTGCTCTTCGCATGAATAAATGCGCCCCAAACCCAGCTCAGTCAACAATCTCCACAACGGTGCCAACGAAACCCTCTAAGCCAGATCTATCATTCCGTCCTCCCTCGAGCACCAGTATCTGCGAACCCATCTCAACCCATTCTCTGCTAGTCAACAGCTCAAGCGTTACCTGGACCCCTCCGGAGACCTCTGGCACGGAACTGCAAGCGTACTCTTCGTGCTCGTTCATATTGAAGATCTCTTCAGCCTCATCCGTGGCTGAGTCTCTTAATCCATCCTTGGTTGGTAGCCTGGTGACCCCCTTCACTTTGGCGGCTGCGCGAACACTGCCGACATAGACGTTGACGAGGGAGCCGCACACCAAAGATGCTGCGTTCGGATCGTTGAAAGACACTGTTAGCCCGCTGGCTGCCTGGAGAGACATGCCTGTGTCTATCATATGTTTGGACGGAATGGCCAGGACCATGCCTTTGCGAATTCGAGGAGCAGTCGCTGGCGGCTCAACGGCCCCTTCGGCCAAATCATCCGAGGGAATGTCTAATACGATGCCAATGGTACCGACTTGGCCAGCTTCGAGAGTGTTGACGGGCAATCGCAAGTTGCGGACGCTGACAATCTTTGCCTTATGCCACTCTCCTTTGATTGTCGAGGCCGCGACCGTATTGCGGATCGCGATCTTTGCCAGTTCCGCCGACGCGGGATGAGATATTGACAGACCACAGTTGCCGGGAGAGGATCGATCTTCCGGTGTCATGCCTTTGAAATCGTCATCACCCGAGGGAAAGGGTCCGACGACGATGCTGTCGCCAACCGAGAGCTGGCCAAACCGCAAGTAACCAGACACGACGGTTCCCATGTCGTTCTGGTTTGGGTTTTCGGCGAGGGAAGCATAGGAAGCTGGAAGACTAAACGTATCATCAATATGAAAAAGACACGAAGGTTGTTCCGGGTTGAGTGCCGGTCCAACGTAATCCTGTGCAGTAGGCGCCGGTGGAAGAGGCAGGCTCTCCAAAAGGGCGTGGGTCAAGCCAATGCCAGCACCACTGACAGCACTGGTAAGGATAATGGGAACAAATTTTAGCAAATCCCCATCCCGCTCCATCTCTGTTGTGGCGGCCTTGACTTTGTCGAGGTCAGCTGAGGAGATGTTGGTCCACTCCTGGGCACCATGCAGAGCTGGCTGAAGAATCTTGGGAAGTCGCCCAGCCTCTTTGATGTGAGTCAGCAGCTGACCAAGGATTCGCTGAAGACTTATTTTGGTAGCCAAGTCCAGCTTTGTGATGACAACAACCAAAGGGGTCTTGAGCTTCAGACACAACTCCAGGTGGGCTTTTGCAAGGTCAACGCTGGCACCCGCAACCCCTAGGACCTCGTTAGCCGAGGAACTAGCTCCGTCTTTGGCTGAGTTTGCGTCTGCATCATCTGCAGCGATGCAGAGAACTGTCCATTGAGGAGCCCAGCCGAAAAGGCCGCGAAGGATGGTTCGGCGGTAGCGGGGGTGGCCAGCTGAATCAGAGACAAACACAAGGCGTCCGTCCTCGGCACTGTCGTGGATATCGATCCATGATTCGACGTGGTCCTGCGAGTAGTTGAAGATACAATGGTCCTTGTATCCTATAAGCTCTTGTGCAACAGAGCTGGTGAGCCCCGAAGCTACCTCATGTCGGTGCTTGAAAAGACTAATGCGACTTTTCCCGCGCCCGTTATCAACCGTCCCCGTGGAGAGTGTTCCCAACAGTGTGGATTTCCCCGACGTTGTTGGGCCAGTGAGAGTTATTCTCAGCTGATCGGTAGTGGAACGCCCTCTGCTTGGTAGCACGACAGCCTCCTTGGCTCGTGGGGATTGATTGGTTCCGTGGCGAGTGTCCCGAGAACCTTCTGGCTCAGCATGCGGCGTCGAGTAGTCAGGAGTGACCAGTGCTTCCACAACCCAAAGCCTTCCCTGCCGGGCAACCTGAACAGGTTGGGTCGCCTCATTGTCGACCAGTTCAGACGTCTCCAACCATTCGCATTCGCCTACAACAACATGGCGCAGGATTTCCACCCGGCATCCTAACGTAGCGGCCATGACCCTGAGGGTTGTGATGCTCTCATCCATCTCGTCCCTAGTCAAGCCTACGAGGGTACCATCGTCGGCTACTCCAATCTCGTATAAAGCTCCACGAGATTCCTCCAAGCCCGGAGGCGGTTTCTGTGGCGTCATGGCCTGGCTCAGGTCGTCTGTGTCATCGGGAAGCTTTGGGATAATGAGATCTTTGGCATTCAGAGCATGGTAGGCGCATGACTGTTGAAGTCTCCAAAGCAATTGTGTCGTCAGTTGCTGTAAACGCACTTGTCGACTCTGGCTCGAGGCCGATAGAGCTGCCGATGCGATCTTGGAAGCACGAGAGACCGGGGTTTTAGAATTATAAGAGGAGTCAATGGCGCTCATGGACGTGTATGTACGTCGTGGTCGCAATAAGAGATGAAGCTTGTATTCAGTCGGGCCCTCTTGTGGCTCGGCCTCCAACTTGGTCACGCCATAGTCCGAGATGTGTCCGGGCTGGACTTGTCCATCGTCGGACCTGGGCTTCCTTACCGAGTCCTGGGGGGCCAGCCAGGGAGAAGAGACCCGCTGGGGGTCGGTATCAAAAGTGAAGATGGAGCCGGAAGCCATATTGGATAATTGGGTATGGTTAAAAGAGTGGCGAATGCGCCGAAGTTGCGGAGTAGGTGTAGTTATAATCTCAAGTTTGTAGTATCGAGGAATATGGATGTATAAGCCGGATATGATGAGCTATTGCAGTGATAAGCGCAGAAGAACGAGATGCTATACGCGGTATCATCTTGATGATCAAAAAGTCGTTTACTGTTTTGCGGTCAATGTCAGGCGTCAGTGCAGACGTTGAAGCGATAGGGGGAAGCTCAGCGAGCAGCCTAGTAAGAGGCCATGGTGAAGCGAAAAATCGAGTAACTGATGGTAAGCAGGTTGGATGTCCCAAGGCACATTTGAGAAGCGAATGGCTTGGGCGATGATGAGTATTTGGCGCTGCGCCGTTATGGTTCTGAGCATGAATGACTCGAAGGCCAGCAGGTCTCGGCGTATCAGCCAAGGTGTGACGCGGTCGGTCAGGAGGTAAGCTCTGGCGCCACTGAGTGGCTCAGCTTTGCGGAGAAAGTGCGGGTAATCCACCGCTTAGCGGGATAGGTAACTAGGTACTCCGTAGTGGAATACGGATACGGATAATTACTACACAGTAATTGTGGGAAAGGCTTTGAAATGAGCGTTATGAAAACAGACTCGGCTCTGCCTTCGCTGCTTGGGGCATTCATGCTCATCGCACTTTCTCTTCTGAGGGTCACTCGCATTGCGTGTTGTCTACGTATAGTACTCACCAATCCATCCAGTACCTCAAGTCAGACGAGGCAGAGCAAGATGGACGGACAACCTAGATAGCCAGCCCACCTGATGAAATTGAACTTGAGATTCGCTGCGAAGTACCTACTGGATCCACTTGGATACCCACCTACCTACGTGGTAGGTGGGAGGCTAGGAATTATACCGAGTCTCTAGTTTGTCTTTGTCTTCGCTATCGCTGCAGACTGCAGGGACTTCAGCCGCAGTACAACCACACCCACACAGGGCCTTTTTTATTTTTATTTTTTTTAACATATATATCTTACAGCTGCTTGGCTATTTATCACCAGGAATGGAGTCCTGGTTCTTAAAAGACCAGTGGAAGGGACTCTCTGCATTGACCTGCACTCTCTCTACTTTTGAAGATCAGGCCTTGCTGATCTCCCATCTCCTTTTCACTGAGACGAACTGCGGAACCACAGCATACCATGCCATACATCCCAACAATTGGAAATGAGGGGACGAGCAGAGCCGCTGCTGAACAGTCCGGACGGTGCATAGATAGGTAATGCAACGTATGACCTGAGGAGCACAGGCACACCGGACTTATTCAGTCAAACACTGCAAGAGTAAGCACGCCTGCCGCTCCTTCTGACGTTGGAATTTGGTTGCGGACAAGACAAAACACTCGGAAGCGGCCACAGTGTACAAGAGAGACACAAAGCTTCCAGCGCTACATTGAGGCTTGGCCTACCACCAAGGCATGCCATAGGCCCGTGACCATCATTGTCCAACCCACTTGTGCGCCATAAAAAGATTGCCGCCATCACAGCAGTGCTGAACGGCGGTAACTTCGCTGAACCCGGATCGAGTGGTGCACATCATAGGTCGACAGTATGTTCCACCGCCCTTAAGGGTCGCTGGCCCGCAGCCCAACCCAATCCCTCCGTCAGGTCCAAACTATCAGGATGCTTTATGGCTTAGACCCTGAGGGGAACCCGCTCCCCTTCGAAACACACCCAAGACAGGCCCGATTTTGCCACATCAAGCTGCTACTTGACCCCCCCCCTTCCCCCCTGCACACACCCGCCCGCTGGGGAAAGCCCGTCCCCTCCCGCTGTATCTGCATCCACGACCGTTCTGCTACCGTGTCGTCGTCCCTTTCTCTCCTGATCTTCTCTCTTTACTTTTGTCCCTCCTGCCTCTCGATCAAACTCTGGATGAGCACGTTGCGTTTTGTGTTTTTCTAGAATTTCGACAGTATCCTTGACTTGAGCTGTCCCGCAAACGTAGCTCCCCCACCATCTGTCGGCGTTTCGTGTAACTATGAAGAAGTTCGGTTTCGGCAAGAAGGGCGGCGACGACGGCGATGATGCCAACCGCTCGGCTCTCTTCGGTCGCAAGAGCAAATCCCCGGCCTCCGGTAACGAAAACCCTTACGCTCAAGCCCCCGCCGGCAACGACCCTTACGCTCAGGATGGAAACAAGTTCGCAGGCATGACGCCCTACCAGCAAGCGCGAGCGGGTGCAGGTGTCGGTGCCCCTGGAGGTCTCCCCGGCGGTCCTCGAGCTGGCGCCGGTTACGGCGCTCCCCCTCCGGCTGCTGGTGGTTACGGCGCCGAGAAGTATGGAGCTGCGAGCGGCTACGGGGCAAATCGGTACGACAACAACCAGAATGCTTATGGTTCGAGCCAGCGACCAGGCGCCGCTGCTGCTGGAGCCCGCGGGCCTGGCGGTTATGGGGGCTTGGGCCGGACCAACAGCAACGATACCGACGCCGTGCGCGACGAGCTATTTAGCGGTGCGCAGGGCAGACAACAACAGAACAAGCCTCAGGCTGGGGGTTACGGCCAGTCTGCCGTCCCTGGACAGGATGGAGGATATGGCGGCTATGGAGCTCCTCGTGAGCTCACGGCCGAGGAGCAGGAGGCTGAGGAGTACCGCGCCACTAAGCAACAGATCAACGAGGTCAGACAAGAGTCTGTTCAAACTGTCAACAGAGCTCTGCAAGCCGCCATGCAGGCGGAAGAGACCGGTCGAGCAACCCTCGCCCGGTTGGGCGCCCAAGGCGAACGCTTGCACAACACGGAGAAGAACCTCGATATGGCGACGAACCACAACAAGGTCGCAGAAGACCGAGCGAAAGAGCTCAAGACACTCAATAGGAGTATGTTCGCCGTTCATGTCAGCAACCCATTCACATCAAAGTCGCGTGCAGCGGATCGTGACGCAGCTGTCCTCGAACGACACCGCGCCGAACGTGAGACTCGCGAAGCGACCAGAAACGAGGCCTTCAAGTCCAATCAACGACTCGAGGAGAGCTTCAAAGACTTGACTCTTTCCGGTCGGCCGCAGCCCAAGGCAAAGGCCAGCGCAGCTGAGCGATCCAAATATATCCTCGACGATAGTGACGACGAGGGTAATGAACTCGCTCAACGCCAAGAGGATCAGATTGAGGATGGCCTTGATCAACTGAGTGGTGCCGTTGGACGTCTCAACGGCCTCGCCAGGGCTCAGATGAGAGAGGTTGATCAACAAAACATTTTGATCAATAAGATTGGTGAAAAGGTATGGTTACTTGTTCCTATAGTGCATGGCTTGAATAAAAGTTTAACCCTATCATAGAGCGATGCTGTCGACGACGGAGTCAGAATGAACAGAGAGCGCCTGAACCGCATCAGATAGATGCGGGCATCCACGTTGCGCAAACATTGAAAGTCTACAAGAGGAACATTATATTTTTTATCGACAAGCCCAGGCAACTGGATTTATCACGGTGCCGATTAGGATGATGTGGCACCACGCTTGGCACTCACATGTCCTCCAGCTTGTACACTTCGTACGCCGGTACCTCATAAGGATGCGTGCTATAGAATGATATCGGTCAATAAATTCATTGTGCCCATGAATACTAATGTGCTTACCTCTTGAGAGCTACCACCGCAGCTTTGGCAATATCTCGGCCAGCACATAGGATCTCAACACGGTATTCGAGCACCCGCTCAAGCTGATCGACGGTGCCGGCATGGGGATCCACCCCCGCTGCTGCGACGGGCATGAACTGGCCCTGGCCAGTCAATTCGAAAGCAACTTGGACATACTTGCCCTCGTCGTAGACCCCTGCACCCGTCTTAAATACAGCGTCTTTGGTCGCGACCAAGTGAGAGGCTGCCGATGCGATCGGAGCAGTCAGCACGTTTGTACTTGAATTGGGCTTCTCAGATGTTGCCCTAACCTGGCACGGTATAGATGAGCTTGTATCGGTCCGCCATTTTTGCGACTGAGCTGAGGTAACGATGGGTAAGTATTCTCAATGAGGACTTGCTGTCCGTGGGAACCTGACAATATGGCTTGCTGAAGCTTAGGCGAGAGAGGGGAAATGCTCGAGGGCGGTACAACGTGCAATTGAAAAGCAAGATGATGCCCAAGGTTGAACTCTGCGCTGGCATAATAGCTGCAGATGGAATCAGGTGGGGAATGCCCATGATGCAGAGAGCGCGTCCCGACACCCGGTTACACGTTATTTAAAGACTGCTCCAAACACTCGAGGAATCCACCTCGAGTTGCTGCAGCTGCTGCAGGAGCGTTGCACAGTGTTGGCTGGAAAATGCGGGGCCGATGCCCAATCAGGAATTCTCCAGGTGCCGGGTCTGAGCTGGGTGACCCTCAAAAATTCTAACATCCAGTTCTCCCATTCTTGGCTGACCCTTCAACTACATGCGGCAGTGAGACCCAACGAAAATCCTATCATGTCACCCACCCCCGATGGCGAACGTGACGCCAAGAAGCGGAAGCTTAACAACAAAAACGTTATCAAAGTCGGCAACAAAGTAATATCTCTCGAAGGCTACCTTAACCCTCCTGCCAAGAAGGAGAAGGTAGTCAAGCAAGAACAGGCAGTAGAACAGCCCCCCGAAAAGATAGCAAATGAGGCATCAACGTCTGTAACAGAGGATGAGAAGAAATCAGAACACACAGCACCATCTTTCATCAAGCACCAGTCAAAAAGACCGTACGACAAGGGCAGGCCGAGATCAGAACGCGGGCCAAGATGGAGGGAAGACCCGGCTTTGCTTAAAATCCGGCAGAAACTGCCTATTTGGGCTCACCGCGAGGACATCCAGACCCGGATGCGGCAAAAAGACGTCCTACTTCTCGTTGGTGAGACTGGTTCCGGTAAAAGTACTCAGGTGCCCCAGTTCTTGGTGAGGGAACCGTGGTGTAGGAGGCAGGTGGTCAACATCGACGGACGAGAAGCCAGCGTCGGCGGCATGATCGCGGTCACGCAGCCCCGTCGAGTTGCCGCGACGACTTTGGCCCACCGGGTCTCGCGCGAAGCCGGGACGCCGCTCGGTGAGAGTCGTGAAGGCATGGTTGGTTACTCGGTTCGTTTCGACCATCAAGTACCCAAGGGGACGAAGATCAAGTTCCTCACCGAGGGCATGCTTCTACAGGAGCTGCTGCGAGACCCGAGTTTGAAACAGTACAGCGCGGTGGTTGTCGACGAAATTCACGAGAGAAGTGTCGACGTCGACTTGGTGTCCGGTTTCCTTAAGCAGATTCTTCTGAGCGATCGGAAGGGCCGTGGCGGCATCCCCCTCAAGGTTGTCGTCATGAGTGCCACTGCCGACGTTGAACGGATTCAGTGTTTCTTCAACACTGAGGATGGGAGCAATGCTGCGGAGGCCGAGGGTGACAAGCCCAGCTCCGTCGAGGTCCTCAAGATCCAGGGCCGCCAGTACCCGGTCAAGACGATACACACACCCAAACCGGTGCCAGATATCCAGGAAGCTCTTTTGCAGACCATTTTCAAGATACACACAGAAGAGCCGTTGCCAGGCGACATTCTGGCCTTCCTGACTGGTCAGGAGGAGATTGAATCCGCGCAGTCGCTCATTGAGGAGTACGCTGCAACATTGGCTTCCAACGTTCCGAAGATTAAAGTCCTTCCTCTGTTCGGTCAGCTATCGATGGAAGGCCAACACGCAGCTTTTCAGCCTGTCAAGGGCGGGTTTACCAGAAAGATTGTGTTGGCAACCAACATCGCCGAAACGTCCGTCACGGTTCCTGGCGTGCGGTACGTGGTGGACGGCGGTAAGGCCAAGGTCAAGCAATTTCGTGCGCGTCTTGGCATGGAATCACTTCTGGCCAAGCCGATTTCCAAGTCGTCTGCAATCCAGAGGACTGGTCGTGCCGGCCGTGAAGGGCCTGGTAAATGCTTTAGGTTATACACTGAAGGCGCGTTTGGCTCTTTGGAAGAAACTGACCTACCGGAGATCCTGAGAATTGATGTCCTCGGGGCTGTCCTGACAATGAAGGCCAGAGGGATTGATGATATTCTCGGATTTCCTCTGATGGACACCCCTGATATCGATGCAATTGAACGGGCGCTGGTCAGCCTTCATGGCCTTGGCGCGCTTGCAGACGACGGCACGATTACCGAAGCAGGCCGCAAGATGGCTGGTTTCCCTATATCAGCACCCTTCGGCGCGGTCCTTCTTGCCTCGGCCAAGCCCGAATTCGACTGCGTGCTCGAAGCAATCGATGTGATTGCCTGTATTACCTCTGGCGACGACATCTTCCACCAGCTCCAGTCCGAGGAACAGCGCGAAGAGATTGAAGAACTTCGCAAGGAACTGTACCGTCGCGAGGGTGATATCCTAACCTACCTTACCACGATGCAGCAATACGCCGCCGAGAACGCCGACCGTATTCAGTGGTGCAAGCAGAGAAAGGTCAATATCCGCAACATGAAGACAGCCCTCAACATCCGCAAGCAACTCCGCAGCCTCTGTCTCAAGGAGGGCTTGCTCTCGGAAGCACCCGCGCCAGATCCTCAGCCTTTCACCCCTTTGGCCCCCGAGCAAGCCGAGGCCCTGCTCAAATGCTTCCTTCGCGGTTTCGTCTCCAAGACGGCCGTTCTGGCGCCGGACGCAAGCTATGTGACGTCTCAGGGCAAGCATGTCGTGGCGATCCACCCATCAAGCGTCCTGCATGGGCAGAAAAAGGAAGCCATCATGTTTCTGGAGCATGTGTTCACCCAGAAGAACTATGCCAAGAAGGTCAGCGTCATTCAGGCGAACTGGATCATAGAGGCGCTGGAGGGTGCCACATAGATAACGGGTATAGATTTGGATGTAGTTTAGATGGCTCTAATGGTTTTTACATTCTAGCTAGACGTACTCATGAAATTGTACATGTGTAATCGGACAATCTTCCTCATCTGTACTGTACACTTTGCCCTCGAGATGTCCCTCTAACCCCTTGGGCAAATTTCGTCTGGCCTACCACTCCATCTTGAACTTCAATGCTTCAGCAATGATGGTCCAGGGTGCCTAGTTTGGGCTCAATACCAAAGGCTTCTGGGCGATACTCCATATCGGATCATCATGGATCATCATGACTCCTCTTCTTGCTCGCCCCGCTCGCGCCTCTCGCGAATTGCCTTCATCAACTCGTACAACTGCCCAATCTGCTCGTCTACAACCCGTACTGTTAGCCGCTCGTCACTTGTTGGTTAGACTGAAGCGTGGAGAGGAGTTACCACTCATCTTGGCGACTTTGCCGGGGTCGATCTTCTCCCCACGCCATTCGTCACCCTCGACCTTCTGAGCGTACAATTGCCACTCTGTCAGGAAGCCAATCTAGGTGAGGTGTCAGTGACATCGTCTTGTCTACATTTTTCTTTTTTTTTAAACTGAAAGAGACTGGTCACCGCAAGTGATGCGAAACAAGGATAGAGAAAAATGCGAAAGAGCTATTCGATGAAACGAACAGGAAGGGCCACGGGTGAGTCTGACCAAATGCGCTGGGTTGTCGACGTTGCGGTGCGCGCGGAACTCGGCCTTGATGTACTCGTCGCCAAGCACCCGCATCTCGGAGGGCAGGTACTTGCGGTGTGCGCGGAGGAGGCGGCGGTACAGCGGGATGGGTGGCAGCAGAGCCATCGGCGCGGGACGGAGGCCGTTCCCCTTGGGCACGGAGGCCGAGGCCATTCTCATGACCGATGATGACCGCATTGGCAACGACCTCTGGAAGTCAAGATGAGGAAGGGGGGACACGGTTCTCGAAAGGAAGGTTTCTAGTTGTTGGGGTATGAAGGTGTGTTCAACATTGAATGCAGTGAACGGGCTGTGGGTTCAACTTAGAATCCGTTGGGCTGCTGAAGATTGTCAAAGACCACGACATTGAATGACGCTCGTTCCCTAATAGCTCCCAGGGCACTATTTTCCCGAGGTGAAGTCGTTGATGGCCCACACAGTGTCAATATGATAGCCACTTGCACTGTTCCGTGCCTCCTGTGGTATTCGCATATTGAGGCAGGCAGTGAGTAAGTGGCCATCGGCACCTCTTCTACTTAGGCTACTTGCTACGTTTGAAGAAATAGCATGTCTTAGATACACGTTAGGTAGATACACGTGATGGACATCTCTCCTTTCATCAATAAAGATACCTGTCGTTCATGCCTTGCAAAGCCATAATGCTGTCCCCTGGTAGCAAAGCCCCTTCACTCTGCCAAATCACCTGTTCCGCAATGGGTATGACGGCGCCCACCCTCATCTTCTCGAGCCATTCTCTGGTCTTGATAGTCAGGGGTGATCTTCCCCAAGCCCGTGGACTCTTGCGTCTAGGCATTCCTCCTGCAGCTCCAGTGCCTCTTGCACGTCTCCCGTCATGTACAGCACGCCGGCGAGATGCTCTATTGCCACGAGCATGTCAGGATGATCCTGCCACAGCACCCTCTCACCAACGTCCAGGACTTCCCGGACCAACCTCTCAGCCTCTTCGAGGTTGTCCAACTTGACGCACCCGATGGCCACGTTTCGCTTCGACTGCAGCGTGATCGGGTGCTCCTTACCCCTGAACCGCTCGTCATCGAGCACGTGCCGCCACATTTCATCCGCCGACTCGTGCTGCCCCTTGGCAGACCTCAGCGTCGCGATGTTGCTGATCGCCCTCATGGTCGCCCGGTGGCCCTCCCTAACGTTAGGGTTCTCTCTGCACCACGCCAACGACGTTGCCTCCAGGCTCTCGGCCTTGTCGATATGGCCCGCGAGCTGCATCGTCGTTGCCAGCGCCGCGACCGCACTGCGAAGCTGCGGGCTTTTGGCGCCCTTCTCTTCTTCGCACTCCGCGATCCAGGTGAGCATCTGCTCGGCTGTCGATCGAATCGTTGTTGTCGAATACCAAGAGCCACTCTTCCTTTGTATTGCGCTCTAGCCACTGGAGCACACGCCCGATGTCTGGTTTACTTGGTTCCCCTCCAAACAGTGTGGCTGTCATTAGCCTGGGGGACTCGTAAATGCAGTCCTCAGTGGCGGCGTTGTTCCAAAAGACCCGGGCAAACCTGAGATAACTGGTGTCAAAATTGGCGAACCCCACGGAAAGGGCAAGAGAATGAACAGAACGAGCACACACCGCGATCCGTACAAGTCTGTAAACTTCAGCGCAATTTGCGTCTTACCGACACCACCCATACCCCAAATTCCGAGGTATCTCCTTGGTGATGGCTGCTCGCGCTGGCAAAAAGTGGCGGTTCATCTTCTCGAGAATATCTGTTCTACCAGTGAACTGGGGGCTAGCGATGCTTTTGATCTGATTCTCCTGGGCGATGACCTGTTTCGATGCCCCCGTAGGAAACCGCGCGACCTATCTGATATCAGAGGTGCGAGGGTTACATGCTAAAGAATAAACTTACACGCGGCATCCAGAGGCATGTTGACACCTTCGTTATTGTGCAACATGCTTACCACTTTATCGATGTCCGCGAACACCTGAACTTTCCGTAGATACTGCTCGGTGGCCGCTCGTAGCGCTTTAATCTTCTTGTACTCATGAAGCTTGATATCCGCGGCGCCGCGGTCCAAGTTGAGACGGAAGTAGGCGTAAGGCGTGCCCCGGAACCGCTCTTCTAGCGCGCTGTGCGCCGGCTCCGGGTCGGTTATAGATTGCTTTGCATGTTTGAGCACCTTGAAGGTGCCCCTTGACAGCAGGGCGCCGCTGTTCTTTCTCACGGGCTCGGTGTTTCTCGCCACTTCTTCCATGCTGGGAACGACGTTGGATCCTTTGTCCGCGGTTTTCAGCCCGGTCCCCAGGCTCAAGACAAATCCCAGCTTTCTTCCGGAACCAAATTGTGATTCGGCTTCGTTGAGCACAAGGCGGGCGGGATTGTTGAACCTCAGGGCTCCGTCCACGTACGCGTCCATTTCCGCTTTGATTTTGATAGAGATGGGATGGAAGAAAGTCGGTGCCGCGGTCGTTGCCCGAGCAGCTTCCCATATCTCGACATGGTGGGCATGGTTATGTGTTGGAGTCATGGTCCCAGGCGCGTCAGCAACTGGAACGGATTGACTGCTGTTTGCCCGATATGTCCGGAAGAGGTAAGGGGTGTGATCGTTATAGGTAGCGGCGCAGACGAAGGTGACGCCCTTTTCACCGCCGGTGTCGAGCATGACGGTCTTTTCTAGCCTCCTTTGTGCCACGATGTCTCGAATGACTTTGTCGAGCGTTGCCTCTTTAAAAGTCCTGTCGAAACGACGGTTTTTCGTACGAAATACCTTCTTTCAGAATTTTTCGTAGCAATCGATAGCCTCCGTAGCTGTCATACCCATGCGACCAAGCATGATGGCAATCAAGCTTTAGACGTTGGCTGGCTGTCAGCGGTGTTCCTTTTTCCCCCTTCGCCAGAGATCGGCTGGGTCGGTCGACTAACCCTCCGGTGCTTGTGCCACCTATCAAGTGGAAATAGCCCCGCGGCTTGGGCTCTTCCTTAAGGCCAGCCACTTCTTTGAGCCGTTTCATAATCTCGTGTAGTATGACGAGTTCCGATATGCCCCTGATTCCTCCACCATCTATATTGTGTCAGTTGATCATTACTGTCAAAGCATCTTCATATTATCTTCATAGACTAAGAATGATACGCCAGAGAATCGGGTTGAAGAAAAGAACATGGCAACAGCAACGCTTCGCCATGATACTCTCTTCATTGTGCAGCCATTCACGCGGCTAGAAGACATACCAAGAGATAGCAGGTAAACGAGCCCGTCGTCCGCCATCGCGGAAACGGTTTGGTGTTACTACAAAAACGAGATCGAAATGGACAAAGGAGTCCAGTGAGATACAGAGTCCGAAGTACTGGTAGACATTATACGCTAGTCTAAAATCAAATTATGGAAATGATTCCAACAATCATCCCGACAGACAGGATAGACAACGCGTGAATGGGTATTGCAAGGCTCGGTATTGAAAGGAGGGGGACATGCAAGATCTTTGCAAATGGGAAAAGAACCGGGCTGAGGGACTTCTTCAATGAGCCCAACCAACAGACATTTGTCGGACTCGACCCTCCGATGGAGGCACGGAGGCCGTCGGTGGCCTGTTTAGTAGTCCGCCTGATGCACGATCCCTGATAAGCGCCTCTCGTTCTCCAGGGGACGAAGGAGGGTTACGGCCTGGCCACACACCAACAAGCTTGCTATGTCCTTTCTTGGTTGTCGGCTCCGGGAAAGCATCGTCCCTGTGTTTCATTAAGTAGTTGAGTGTTGGCTGTGTGAACTGCATAGCCACTCCCAGAGCCTGTACTGGTCCGACGCGATGGGTCGACCGCTCTGCTTGTGCGCCTTGAGGGGCGAGGAGATGGCCAACTGGATTATCTGCACAGTCTGCTTGCCCGCAGACCCCTGTCTAACGGGGGCGGCAATGCATGCTGCCATCCTGTGTCGACAAGGGCAAGGCGCTGTGTCTTGAAGAGGCGAGAGAGATGGAAGACGTAGACTGAAATAGGGTAGATCTCATGAGCCTGTCGCACTTGCGGCCTAATGTCATGGAAGATATCTGTCCTTCAACGTTACAGGGCAGGCTGTGAAGATGGCGTAACACGGGGAAAGATGATCATGACAGGCAGCTAAACACCGACGGTGTTTGCTCGTAAGCGCCGGCCGCCATGGGGCGGGTCGGACCGCTAAGCGAACTGGCGCTACGAGGAGGGGCATTGGCCCCCCACCTTTTCTCATCATCACTTCAATCCTCGTAGTCTTGGATGATACGGCGTGTTCTTCTGCATTTCTTCTGTTTCCTCCATTCTCCTCAAGTTGACCTATTGATCTATCTTAACTATGAGAAATCTTATCAAGCTTTCCAGATACTGTGTCCAAGGCCCTTTTCAATCCCATCAATCAGGCAAGTGCATGGAAACCGGTCTTTGAGCGCAAAGAACACTCTATGTTAGCTTTTTTTGTATTTTAATTCATATTTTGCTTCTTATATCTGTCAAGAACACAGATGCCACAGTGACATATCATGGCCGGGATGCGCACAAGCAGTGACTATGGGCATAGACATAGACCTGGGAACGAGAGCCAAACAACACTCCGTAGCATGCCCCTTCATGTTGCATTCTTTTAGACATAGCGGTGGCCGAAGTGTTACTCAATTATTACTGTAAACGCAACTCTCGTAGACGTGAAGGGCGATTCCGGGAGGCTTTTGGATACCGCTAGTCTCATAGTAACAGCGCCATTTTGGAGTTGACACAGATAGGTATGTGCCTACCTCGCCCCTGGTGAAATCAATCGCAGCTCACCCGGGTCGGTTGTAATAACGATGCTCGTGTGGAGAGTGACGTTGTGGGTGCCGTTGACGACGAGCCCAAGGACACGGCTCATCAAACACAATGTCTATCATCGACCTCCCCCAGTAGGCTGGGGAGCCGGGAAGCAGCTTGATAACAGGAGGAGCGCGCTGGCCAGATTCGGAATCTGCGTTGATGTGTGTGAAAGCGCACTAGGGTGTTATCGACCTTATACGTCGTCTGGGTCAGGCGTGTCGAGCAGAAGTTCTGTTCCTCTCATGCAGCCATGCGCTTTTCGACTGTCCTCGTCCTGGCTTCTGGCCTCAGCAAACCTAAAACCGCTTACCAGAGTCCAAGACATGCATCCCTCCCAAGATTCATCCCTTCCCACTCAAACTAAACCTCCTCTCCCGCCACGCGGCAACTCCGCCACTGGCGTCGACTATCATGGCGCGGGCTACCAGGCCGCATAGCGACACACAGCGCCAAGTCGCCTGTATCCGGCCACTCAGTGGCCCGGCAACAGAGACATCGAATGACTTCCGCATGCTGCGCCTTCTCCGAGAGGTCTCACTTCAGGAGGCGAGGCAACATCTATCAACAGGGGGCTCCGAGGCCGGTTGCAATCGGCAAAACGCCTCGTCACATATCACCACTGGCGCCTAGATTGGACTCGTTGGGAGACAGATTTCATGTTCGCCGTGCCTAGATCAAGAGTTCCCAGCCGAAATCAACGCCTGCAGAACCGCCCAAAAACTGAGCCGCCCAGAATAATTCTAGCCACCAAACCACACCCCTGTCTATGTAAAAGGTCATATTAAGCCACTCATATTGAGCCATGCATCCGGCGGCGTCGCCTTACGAACCAGGCGCTCCAGCCTTGAGTATCGCCATCTCCGGCGCGGTGAACCCGTTGCCCAAGTATGCAAACCGGTTCTGCCTCGCGTTCTCGTACGTGTATTCCCAGTCCTCGCCCCTGAAGTGCTCCAGCAGGCGAATGAAGTGAGCACGGCTGCCAGGGTGCAACGCCGTCACAGGGCCATCGACCTCGCCCTGCTTGTACCAAGATCTGCAACCCCCGGCGAAGACCGTACGCGGCATGAAGGTGGTGGTGTGCTCAAAGTAGTCCTCGACGGCGGCTTCCGACGGGACAATCGAACGGATGCCCTGTGTCTGGCACTTCTGGATCGCGTTGGCGATGTATGTGGCGATGTGCTCGCTGAGTGTGAGAACGTCGCCCTGTGCAATTGGGGCGTTGGGGCCCAAGAACTCTGCGGGGACCATTGTCAGCATCAGGTGAGTGAGCGGTTGCGTAGCCCGACTTACTAAAGTAGTTGGGAAAGCCTGCAACACCAAGGGACATGTAGGCCTTCGGTGTTTGCTCGGACCAGATATCCTGCAAGTTGCCGTGCCGACCAACAAGCGGGAAGGCAGGGCGGAACGAGGAATCAAAGCCTGTGGCACAGATGATGGCATCGACCTCGAGGACCTCGCCGTTGGCTAGCTTTATTCCCTCGGGGACGAAACTCTCGATGGTGTCAGTGTGAAGAGCGAGCTTGGGGTCGTGGAAGGACTCGAGATAGCCCGGCGCCTGAGTGAGCCGCTTGCATCCCAGGGAAAAGTCGGGTATCAGTTGCTTGCAGAGTTTCTCGTTACCCCTCAGCATCGCCGTCATGAACTCTTTTGTCTTCCCCAGTGCCCACGCCTGTTGAGGACTGTCGGCGATGAGCGAAATGGCAAACTTGATGTTTGAATCCAGCTCGAGGGTCTGCGCGAACTTCTCGTAAAAGGCCGGGTCGTTCTGGAACTTGGCAATCGTCGCCGCCGAGAAGCGTCCCTCCTCGTCCATTTCAATTTGTTCAAGGAGAGAAGCCGAAGGGCCCATCTTCATTGTTGTAACGCGAGGCGGGATGACCAGGGTTGGCGTGCGGATGATGTGGTGTAGTCTCTTCACGTCTGCCTGGTGTAAGCCTCATGTATCAGCTGGGCGGCAAGCAGAGCAACTCACGGGCGCGGATAGCTGGTACAATCTGGACACCAGACGCTCCGTTTCCAATGACGGCCACCGTCTTGTTGGCGTAGTCGAAGTCTTCGGGCCAGTTTGCGCTGTGGATCAAAGTACCCTTGAAGTCGGACAAGCCCTTCACGTCGGGGAATTTCCATTTGCTGTAGCAGTCAGATGTCGATCTTCAACCACGAGTGCCTGCTAATACATACTTCAAGATACCGGTTGCGTCGATGAAAAAGTCGGCATGATCTTCGAAGACCATATCAGTCGCCAGGTCCCTGATCTGCAAATCCCACCTGGCCTTGGGCTCGGACCAAACGGCCCCTACGATCTGATGCGAGGTCTTGATGTGAGGCCGCAGGTTCTCTTCATCACAAACCTGGCACAGGTATTGCTCGATCTCGGCTGCGGGGGCGAAGAAGCTTGACCAGGCCGGGTTCGGCTTCCAAGTGAACTGGTAGTTGTGACTGGGCACGTCGCACTTGCATCCCGGATAACGGTTCTCGAACCAGGTACCTCCGACATTCTGGTTCTTTTCGTAGACCACAACCTCGTATGTCGAAGCACCAAGCGTGTTTCTGAGGGTGCGGATCAGGTTGATCCCGCTGGCTCCAGCGCCGACCCCGATGATACGAACAGGTCGCGGTGCTGCGAACGGCGCCTCGCGTATTGTGTAGGCGGCGTTGCTTCGGGTAGCTTGGCCAGATCCGCTGCCTTGAGCATCGACATGCCGAGAGAGTTGAGGGTCTTGTCGTGTCATTGCGAGGTTGTGGTGAGGTAGATGATGACTAGATGGAGGATGACGAGGAGGGATGGTGTGGTTTATATCTCAGTCAAGTTGCAGAGGGGCTTTAAGATCCTTGGTGAAGGCGCCAACAAGTGGCAGAACTGTAAGGAGTCTCCCCCCGAACGAACAAGCGCACTTCTTTTGTTTCTCTGGTGGAGTTGCGGCTGTAAAGGGCGGCGAACGTGGTTTGGCACGCCGTGGTGGGTTGGGCTTGTTACGGAGAATGGCCAATGAAGACAAAGAAGTGTGCAATCGAGGGTATACTGAGACAAACGGACTAATGAGGAAGAAGCAACGAAGGCCCCGTTGAAATGGACAAACCCCAGGAGACATGAAGCTCTCCTCCCCGGCAATAAGCAAATTCCGAGGTGAGTACGACGGTGCCCGCACGACTAACATGACACCTCCTCACCTCGGACTGCAAAGTAGTGCTGCACGACTTGCCGTCGAGAAGCGCGGACTTGACGGTGACAGGGAAAGAGCCAGCTCACTTGGACAGGCGGCATCGATGAGCTCCAATGACTGTTGGGCCCCATCAATCTTCAATTGGGGGCCGAGTCCATGGAGGGTCTGTCACGGGCGTCATTGTTGGCTGCTTTACGACCGCGACGTCGATAAACCTTGGCAGGTGGAACGGCACATGGTGTGGCTGCACCTATCCAAATGACTGGAACAAGGCCGGCCCACGAAGTCCGCCGGCAGAACGGGTGAAATGGCGTATTCGCACCTCTACTAGCTTGCTATGGTCAGGTAAGGTCCGATTAGAAAAACGGCACTGGCTGGATAAGATCGTAAACCATCCAACCACGACGAGAGGCCGGGCCGTGGGGTGCCCGAGGCATGGGAACCAGAACGGTGAGTGGCAAATCAGGACGCTCGCCGCGCTGAAGGATGAAGGGCTGGAACCGGAGCCACGGATCGTAAGTACAATGTATACTACATAGTATATAGAATGCGTTGGTAGAGGGGCCAGACGAAGCGGGTACGGGCTGTGCAGAGCAAGGTATCCGTAGTGTACTAGAACAGGACGGAGATGGTCGCGGAGTGGGTGGAGGCTGATACGGCCATTGGATTGCGGCGGCTTCGCCAGTGCCAAAGCTCCCTTGCTCGCGTTCCGGTTTGCTGGTGGACACCCACGGCTTGTAAGTCACAAAGTCTCATTGTGCAGATCACCGCCTGAAGAAATCGCGGGTGCCGAGCTCAGCATTGACCAGCGGCGAAGCTGTTCGGTGCCGTATGCTAGGATGAGGGACAAGACGGGCATTGTCGCGCGTTTGTCGACCACTGAGACATGAGATCTAGCGGAGCACGATGCCTCGGATGCACGAGATCCTCCATGTCTCAAAATGTGGAGGTGTGTGGGCGTCTCTGTCCCGTCTTCCTGTCTGTCTGACAGGCATTGTGCAGCTGGGTTCTGAACCAAGTCGGCAATGGCTTGCAGGATGGCGCAGCAAGACAACCGCTGTTCAGCTCGATGCTGTTGTGTGCGAGTCTCAAGAGCACGCGTGGACGACGCAGTAAGATACACGTTAGGGATAGCGCTTGATAGCGGGGAGACTTTCCGAGCGTAGGTCAGCCTATCGGGGCTGCAGGCAGTTTTATTATCGCCTTTTCTTTATTCGCATTCAGCACGACTAGGATGCACAGATAGTAAGCATGCGATTTGGAGACCGAGAGGAGAGGCATCGAATCAGAAAGACGACAACGGTTCCACAGTACATCTGTTGCCTTGATGCCACGCTGCAGAAAGCCTCTTCCGGAGTTGTCAATCATCGAGTGTTTGGCCATTGGCTGATTTGCGACCAACAAGCGCCCCGTTCTTGATTGGTGTTTGTGTTGGTGCAGAATCGAAAGAGCCTCGAATTACGAGCGAGGCACCGATACCGACGAGTCCGTCTGATAAACAACAGCCATTACCAAATCATACCGACAACGGTGGATGGATGGGCTTTGAGTTGAGCACCAGTCGTTGGTCCGACACAACCCGGCTAGCCATTACAGCTCGACGACGACGCGAGCTCCGCGTCGTGCTTGATAGCTCCCGTTCCAACGGACAACGCTGTGAAGTCTCAATCCAGGAAACATGACGACGAACATGGGAATCTCGTCCCTCATTCATTGTTCGACTTGGTCCAGCACACCTACCGGCCAGTCCGTCCCCGGTGAGTGTCCAATAGAAGACGGCGGTCCGTAGCGCTCTGGTGCGAGCCCGCCCCCACATTTCCATAAGGTACCTCCATAGGTCGCTCTCTCACACTCACCTTTCAGTACGTACAAAATTCCTGCAACCCCACGCCGCGTCCCACTTCACAAAAATATGTCATCTTCAGCATTCTCTTTCGGCTTCGGCGGCGATGACATAGAGGACGACTCTGTCCCGGTCGCCGAGCCTCCCCCGCCGGTGCCCGTCCCGGAGTCCGAGACCCCGCAGTCCGCTGTTGCCAGCGCCTTCCCGGTTCCCGGCAAACCCCAGCTGCCGCCCACCAGTCACGCGTTGCAGGAGATGCTCGCAAAACTGCCTTCCAAGGTCGCCTTCGGTCCGCTCGACGTTACTCTTGACGACGGCAGCGTCATCAAGATTCCTCGTCGAGAACTGTGGGACGTGCGAGTGCAGCTCATGGCCGAGGATGAGGTCGCCAGTGAGGGTACCGAAGCCGAGGGGCTTGGCAGCCACGACGTGAAGACGGGCGTCTACGAGGGCGGCTTCAAGAGCTGGGAGAGCAGCGTCGATCTTGTCAAGGTCCTTGCTAGTGGCCAATATTTGGACTTGCTGAAGCAGCGGCCTCTCCGAGTGATCGAGGTATGAGACTGACGCGCGTCTCCTGCTCCCTCCCAGTGGCTACGAAAAGCTAACATCGCACAGCTTGGATGCGGCACTGCACTCCCTTCTCTGGCCCTTCTGCAGTGGGCTATGAGGGACTCGGCCCCGAGGTCCCCGCTTCTGCTCACCCTTGCCGACTACAACCCAACGGTTCTGCAGTTGGTGACGCTGCCCAACTTCATTCTCGCCTGGGCTCTCGAACACAGAGACCAGAGCCCTGCTCTGCAAGAAGCATTCGCGCTAGAGGACGAGCTCGAACTTACGCCCAAAGTGGTGCAACAGTTCCAGGACTTCCTTACGTCTTCACAAATTTCCCTACACTTCCTTTCTGGTGGTTGGTCGGTCGAGTTGGTCGATCTCTTGTACGAGACTCGGTCCAAGTTGGACAAGTCGGACAGTTTTGATACCCTGCTCATAGGCGCCGAGACGATATACTCGCCATTCGCGCTGGAGGCTTTCAATGAAATGGTTTTCGCCATTCTAAGCAGAGAGCAGAGCGAGCGCGGCAACTGCCAGTCGCAGGCGCTGGTCGGGGCAAAGAAGCTCTACTTTGGAGTCGGCGGTTCACTCGATGATTTCGTCGACAAGGCCAAAGGAAAGGGCGCCACAGTGGAACAGGTCAGAGAGGAGGCCGACGGCGTCCGGCGAGGAGTCGTCCGCTGTACACTCAGTGCATCCCGTTAATAGACCTCGTTCAAGTCCGAGCTGTCGATGAGGCCCATCTCCGACAGTATTGCTACTCTCATGGCCTTCGTGCGACGTGTGCGCCGTCTCGTGTCTTGGGGGACAAATGTTTTGGCGCAACAGTACATGCTTGGACGGACGAATCTAGCAATGATGGTCTAGTTGAGAAGCCCCTCGGAGCGGGAAACGGGACGTGGTGTGCCGGCGTATGGCACGGCAAGGGTCTTCGTTGGCACCGTGGTGCGTGACTCGTTCAGCAGCTCGAGGCCGTGAGAGACTGGATGAGGTTCGGGGCATTCGTTATACGTAAGCCCTGTTACAAGACACTGTCTCTTCGTGTATTTGGGACCGATGACACAGCCTATGCACCATACGTGGACTTGTTTTGAACCCGCGAGAGGTGGCGTTACAGAATCCCCATCGTCCCAGTTTCAAATACTGGAGAATAGCGTTGGCAGTCGCAGCGCCGCGCATTCTCGCCATCGCCGTGGTCGTCGGCTATCGTGTTTACTGTTGCTTTCGCGTCACCTGGGTGCAACGAGAAGAAATCGCATTCCCGGCGCCGTTTCATTCCAACAGGGTGCCGAGTGAAACGTCCTTGGGCATACAGGTTTGATCCATTTCAGCCACGAGTGGTTTGCCACCAGGTGTCATTGCGACCAGTGGTAGGAATGCCGCGAGATCCGAGTACTGCATACGCGGAGTGTGGAGAGTGGAGCCGATGTGCGGCGTGCTCGACACTGAGAAAACGGCGACAGCTTGAAACTCTAAGGATGCGTTGAGAATGCGAGCGACTCGTTGCATCCGATGATTTGGTCCGATGGACCCGGTGTGAAAGCATCTCGTGTCAAACATCAAACAGCACCGATATCGACAGAACCGTTGAAGAGTTCGGGTAATGGTGGAGCTAGGCGACTCACCACAGACGCCGCTTTCCCGTCGACGGTTGCCGACTGTGGAGTCCCTCGAATAGATGTTTCGCCAGGTTATTTCTGGAGCACACATTGCATGGACAAGGCGGGGAGAATGTTCCAATGGCAAATCCGACGAGCTGTGTTTAGTGTCTGAGCCCGTGGGTTGGAGCATACACTAGAAAACAAGGACCGATGCAGGTACCGCGCGCGATGGGTACCTCTGCCAATGGTTGTCCCCACAACGGGGCCCAGTCAGAGATGCGCATTGAAATTGGACTCGATGAAAGGAGAAACGCCTGACGTCGTTGTGTCTTATTGTTCTATAGTGACCAACTTTATATGGAAGGGGACCCACCCCAGTCCGCCGAATGAGAGTAAGATTGCCGCCTTTGCGCCAATGTTATACTAGGTAGTAGGCAGGCATGCGCGTATAATTACATAATATGGATACGCTAGCACTGATACGCTAGCACTGATCGCATGACGAGAGGGACGGGATGAATGGCGGCACGGGTCACATGGCAGGTGGGCGATGGCGAGCGGACGACTTTCCGCCCGGTAATTAGATTCTTCTCGTCGTAAGTAGAGAAGCCACCCCATTTCGGACTCATGTGCGTCTGACTACCGTCGCGAACTGGGACCGAGACGCACCCTTCGCAGAAGCATCAAACCATTACGTCCACCCACCTCATCGAGCATCATGACTTGGTAATCACCTTCCGACAAGAAAGGACCTGCATTCTTGCAGCGGGCCCGATGTTCTGCATCACATCCGTGCTGCCACAGGAGACGCATGCTGGCCCGAACGTCGTGGACTCGTCCTGTATTCGTACCAGGGAAGGCGGCTGTCGAGATCAACCCACTGCATAGGGATTTCGACCCATTAAGGTTTTGGCCTGTCGCGTGGGAATTGAGAGCACTGAAATAGCATTGATTGTATTATTGTCTGTACGCATAGACTTCGTCATCGGAGGGAAAGCTTTGAGCTGTCAGTACTACTTGGCGTCGATGGCCGGATCGTGGGCGGCTCGTCACTGGTCCGGGCCAGGTGGAGTTTTGGCCACGAAATATCGAACACGAGCGGGAAAGGAAGGTGGAGGGATGGACGCTGTTGGTAGCACACGCAATTGGAGGCCTGAGCCGGGCGTCAGCCGCAGCCAGTCCTGTGCAGTAGCATCACTTTACGCATTCCCATGGGGGGCGAAAATCTGTTACCTGTCCAATGCGAAGAGGAGCTCGGAAGGTGGTCGTCGTCCAAGTGCGCGAATGGGAAGTCTCTCAGATCTCCCTTGCTGCGCCTCGAAAGACCCAGATCGGCATGAGCCTTGCGCATCACCGGGCGAGAAGGAGAAAAGCGGCGCAATGCGAGAGCATGGTCGAGAGTCAGGGGTGTCATGCCATTCCAGCTGGGGGTCAGTCCCTGTGGACAGACGTCTGATGGAGAAGGAAACCAGGCACCCAAGGAGTAAACATGTGGAGGATTGTGACATTTCCCAGGCGCATTGTTCATCGTGCTGACAGTGACCACTAACGGCGACTCGGGAGGACCCCGTCGCAGGCAAACATGGACCGTCCAGACCCAGGCCACTTGCCTGCTCTGGAAGGGTTCTTTCGATAACCCCAGCAGAGCAGGCCAATGTATGGGGGCACGGGCAACTCCGGGGATGCCATAATGGGTAGTAGTGCGAGAGTTGAGCTTCGTTCTGTTGCTGTGTTGCTTCGTATCTGCACAAGTCCAGTAGGGATCTCTCAAGGGTGCCCTGAACCGAACACACCGGAAGTTGCCACGCAAAAGGTGAGAGGAGCGAATGCCCAGCCAGGTAAGGCCTGGCACGGTACGGCTCAGCTCAGGTGTCTAGGTAGGAAGGAGCTGCTATTGCCGCCACGCATCGTCGTAGCATGTCAGACGCGAGGAGAAGCAGAAAGAAAGACACAAAAAGTTAACACAAAGAATCTGAAGCTTGGTGCTCTCATTAGCGCTTCTCTGGGGTTCGCCAGGTTCCTCTCTGCAACAGGGGTACCTCTGACAATTTTCCGCCCTAGTCCCTGACCGGGGCTAGTGCCACCCTTGTTGCTGCGGTTCTGGGTCAAGTCAAGTGGGAAGCAACCCGTCGTTGCATCCCTCATTTGCGACGAATTGCGCGGCGCTGACCGGTCGGACGCCTGGCGCGACTTTGCAGGTCGCGCCATTCAGTGTGCCAGTGCCATTGCAAGTGGGAGCCGTGATGCTGGCCGCGGCTTCCTTGACGTAGAGACAAGGTACGCGGTTGCTCCTGCTGTTGCTGTGTCGGCTGCTTGTTGTGATGTCGACATCACTCTCTCAGTGGCTACCTACCTATACCGTAGGTAGATAGCAGAAGAGTCGCCATCTACCTTTGCGGCTCTTGCACCTCATTAAAACTTGAGTCCGCCCATCTTGTTCCGTCTTACAAAGTCTATCCATTCCATCTACACGCTATCCCAATAAACATCCGTGTCTACAGACAGAATACTTGAATACCATCGATCCATACCCTTCCGCACCGCGTTCGGGTAATAATAGGGAAAGGCTTCGTTTAGGCACGTAAGTCATCTCGTGCCTCGTCAAACCCGCACACACACCATCCTCCACACCCCCCTTCGGGCTCCTTCCATGCTTTACCCCTGATTTCGCTTCGCCTAATTTCGTGCCTGCGAGATGGGGAAACCTTTTTCTACTCCTCTGCCCCCCTTCCCACCGGTACTCATTTCTCTTTCTTGTTTCCTCACGAGCCTATTCCCGACATTCATTGTTGACAGTTTCTTTTGACAAATTACAGTAGTTCGATACCTAATACTCCTACACTCGCTCACTTAATCCACCCCAAAGAACCACCCAATCACTCACAATGAAGACCTTCGCCTCTGTCCTCGTCGCCAGCTTCGCTGCCCTTGCCCAGGCAGTTAAGCTTACCAACAGCAACTACGATGTTGCGGCCGGCCAGCCCTTCACCATCACCTGGTCTGACGCTCAAGGTCCTGTCACTCTCACTCTGAAGAACGGCCCCAGCACCAACCTGGCCACCGTTCAGTCCATCGCAAGTAAGTCTTCTGTCAACAGCTCCTCAAGTCATAACGAGCTCGAAACCTAACAGAAAACACAGCTGGCCAGAGTGGTACTTCCTTTGTCTGGACCCCTCCTACTACTCTCCCCTCCGACCAGTACGCCATCGAGATCTCCGACGGCACTGGCACTCCCAACTACTCTGAGCAGTTCAGCCTGGCCACCGACGTCAGCGCCTCTGCTTCTGCCTCCGCCTCCGCCACTGCCTCCGCCTCTGCCTCTGCCGCCACTTCGGCCTCTGGCACCACCACTGCTTCTCCTTCCATCACCTCTTCCGGCTCCAGCTCTTCCGCCTCTGCCGAGAGCAGCTCTGCTGTCTCGTCGGCTGCTAACTCCACGGCCACGACTGTCTCTACCAGCACCACCCATGCCAGCACTCGTATGTATTGTTTGTCGCAAGGAGATGGAATGATCTGTCTAACCAGTTTAATAGGTCACAGCTCTACCAGCGAGCCCACCACTGCTCCCACTACTGTCCCCGGCAGCGACTCTGTTCGCCTCGGTTCCCCCATTGCCCTCATCGGTCTGACCGTCGCGGCCATGCTCTACTTCCAGTAAGCGCATGCTTATGAAGTGAGGGCATCGGGATTGATCTAGAGTCCTATGACTGGTATATGATGCGAACCACGGTTTATAATACAGTAATGCGTTCCAAGAACAACTGGGATTAGGCGTTGGATTTGAATTGAAGCAAAGGTCGAGTAGCAAAAAGCTACCTAAGGCACAGAACAAATTAAATTGTGGGCGGACGGCGTGCGACTTAGGTGTGACCTAGTTAGTTACCCGGGTCTGTATACAAAAATCAACTTGCAAAATCAAAGGGTTTTGTTGCCTTTATCAATCTTTTTAATGAAATTCTCTGTCCGCCTGTGACTAGAAGGTAATCCCGAAGGTGTAACACAAACTCCACAAACCCCGCGTCTTGTTTTACCTGATGAAGCTGCATGCATCGAACGACTGCTGTTCCGGGTGACTGTTCACCTCTTACTGTCGCCCGTGCTCCTGTGTGATTCGACATGCATGTCACTGGCGCAGGATGGTAGCATGCACTGTGTGTGGTCTGGGACCTGGGGTGCATCTGACAGGACAAACTTCGAGGCTTAGTGTACACTACACAGGCAAACAGGATCATCAAAAGGCAAACTCAAAATCCGATCAACGGTTCGTCCGAAGTCACCAGGGACCCTTTTAACCCCTCCCTAATCACCAGGGTCTTGTTTTTTAGTTTTTTTAGGCGTGAACGCTTCCCGTTTCGTCCACCCCAGAAGTTTGAGCCTGTATGATGTTTCCCATCCCAGGTCCCGCCGATTGCTGTGATGTCTGGTTCCCACGTGGGGGGATAATATGGAAATGGCGCATCACAGACGTGGAGACTGGGAAACCTTGAGCCGCCGCCGCCGCCCTGGAGGGCAGGATGAAGGAAGAAGCAAGGGGGGGCGGTTGGGATATTGCCTCCGTCACAACCCCCCCCTCTCCTCTCAGCGATTTGCGTGTCTTCCAAAAAAAAAAAAAAAAAAAAAAAAAAAACGCACGGAAGAAATGAGGAAACAGGGACGTTGCCACATGGCATGGGATTCTATCAAACGGCTCGCCGCCGATCCTGATGATGGAAAAAAAAATTGCGGCGGTTTACTCGGTGGAGAAGCAGAGGACGAGACAGGCGGTAGCTGTGGCAAAGCAACGCCGACAAGCCTCGAAACGTAGAAGCCTTGGAGTGTCATGGCATTCGCCCATGGCAGTTTGGGAGCAAGCGTTGCACAGATAGTCACATGTAATCCTTCAAAAATCGACTTGCTTTCCATTATTTACGTCATTACTGCTGCGCACCAAATGGCTGGACAGGCAAAAACTACGACATATCTAGAAATACGGCGGCAGCGGTGGCGCTCCTTTTTTGAATCATCTAAGTTGGAACAACGTGCGACTCGAACTTGGAAAAACACCCGGTGCTGGGGGGGGGGGGGGGGGGGGGGGGTGTTGCTAATGATACAATTACTTCATAGGCGGCTCTTGGGTTCGGCCTTATTGTCCTCGGACGCGACAAGGACGAGGGTACAAATGTCGTCGATTTTGCCGCCATGCCAGTTTTCTTGTGGGAAGTACTTCTGCACGCCTTTGGCGAACGGGCCGTCAACCTTGCGGTTGAGGCTGGCCGACTTGGCGGCGGCTGTGATCTCGGCCGCGAGCACACTCTGCAGAGTTAGAAACTTGGAGGGCGGTCTCCCAGTGGCGTCCTCGGAGGGTTTTGTAAAGGGCTTAAGATTGTCGACGACGCGAACGCCGTTCCTGGTCATGAGCCACGCACCCGTAGAGGTCATGACGTGGCTCACAATGCGGAGTATGTCCTGGTTGAAGAGATTGTCCCAAACGCCGTCTGTGGCGAAAACAACAATGTCACCGTGGCGGAGGCTGTGCTGGGTGACATCGGCGTCGCGGGGGCAGTCGCAGAGGTTGGCGCCGCCGAACGCTGCCATACGAGCAGCGACGCTTGGAGGCACGATGGAGAGCTGGTAGGGGGTATTGAAAGCGTGTGTTTGGGGTTCGGAGTAGGTGTGTACGGCGTTCAACCGAAGCTGAATGAAACCTGAGTCGCCAAGGTTGGCCACGTCGAGGTTGCCGTCCGGCGAAGCAACGGCAACGCAGGCCGTGCTACCTCCGGCGACGACGGTGCTGTCTTCGCATATCGCCTGGTATCCCTCCTGCATGAGGCTCTGCGCTCGCAGCGACTCCTTGTCACCCGTGCTTTGTGTTGTCGGGTCGTTCTTGATCGCGCCGTGTCCGTAGGCGGTGGAAGCCATGTAGTCGCAGAAGCCATGCGAAAAGTCTGCGGGGTCAACCCCGGAATCGACCCAGCCGCCTACACCATCGGCAACGCCGAGGGCAACTGCGCCCGAGTCGCCCACCCTACTGACAAAGAAGGCATCGTGGCCGCTATCTGGTCGGGACCTCTTGTTACGGTTCTGGTTGATGCGGTTGTAGGGGTTGAAGTGGAAGATGTGTGTTGACGGATCATACGGGCGGTCTTTGGCCGTGAAGGAGGCTGCGACGTGGAAGGAGAGCTTTGCGGCCGAGGCGGAGCTCATGCTTCTTGTTGTCGAGAGACACCGATGGGGGGCGCGGGCTGGAGGGGTCATTTGTTGCCGTGCAAGATATGTTGGGAGATGAGTGGAAGCTGCAATTGCCTCCTCGTCAGACGCGGTCATTCGATAAGCAATTCAAACTAACAGAAAACATACCCGTTGACAGAGGCCTTGATTTAGGGAGGAGGACCAAAGGCTGGCGCAAGATTGTCACCGTTGCGGCCATTGCTTCCAATGCGCAGCGATGTGTAGTGTTTCCTGGAGATGCGGTGCTTCCGCAGTCCGCATGTTAACTAGACCGAATTATTTGTTAAAATCGTGACAGGAATCACATAGCGAAACGCTGCTGGTCCTCGTAAGCTGATTATGGAAAGTCCGGGAAAAGAGCTTCGCTTGACGCGCAAGGTTCGCAAATCGATTGGCCAGATGATTTTTGATGGGTGGTCTGGTCTTAAGGGAGTGTAACATGCGTTTGATGTCATTTAGAAGGCCCAACCCCAGATTTCATAAGGTTATCAGCCGGGGTATTTCCGCTGAGTCAGCTTGCGATCACCTGCTCATCATGATGGGGCACTGTCTGGAACCCACCCCTCCCGCATAGGTAGGTAGGTCTCTACCTAGAGCTTTCACTATCATCTTATAACTTGGGGTTCAAATCTAGTTCAAGAACACTTGGTGAATTCTGAGAGGCGTAGAGTGAAAAGGGGGGCTTTGAACTCAGGCTTTCTTTCGTTCTCGCTAGTCTACAGTAACTCATATAAGAGCAGCCTGCCACGGGCAGGCCGGCAAGTCAGACAAGCGCCAGCGCCTTGGCGTAGAGCTGTGCTTGTTGAGAATTTGAAACCTGTATATGCCACCAAGGTTCTGCGCTGTTCGAAATGTGGCAAAGAACAGCAGAAACGATGGGCGCTTCTTGTCGTGAAGTCATGGACTTCCACCTCAGCAACGCGATTTGGGAAACGGGAAAGCAGCACGCGTACGCTATTCACTTGAACCGGAGATTGGGACAGCATAAGACAAGCAATCGATGAACAAAAGGCCAACTTAGTTGTATGAAGTTGTAGACCAAACAGACTCCAACAGTTGCTGTCCTGAATCGGAAACTCGAGTTTGAGTTGCTGATCAACAATGGAGACTACGGACCATACACCCATCTCGTCGTAATGCAACTAGAACCTCTTATCCCTCATACCTTACCGTAGTACCACAGCAACATTTCCATTCAATTCTATCACAAATCCGATTCATGTCAAGAAGATGGACCTGGTAACACCCTGGAACCATCTACGCTGTCGTTGAGTGAGACTGTCGAACCCGCCGTTGCAACCAGCTCGGTTCTCCACAAGTGCCACACGCAAATACGCATATACGCATTCAGATAGCGGACCATTTTGATGGAGAGCAGGTTTTCTAGTCGCTCATACTTCGCCAGCGCGGCTCTTTTGAAGGACATCTGGGGGTGGGAGGTACTCGGGGCCAAATGAGAGCGGGAGGAGCTGTTGAGGACATTCAGCATCACGGTTTTCGTCATTTCTATCTGCTGGTATCAGACTTACCGCCTCCAGTCTCATCGCAGCGTACTTTCCATCCTTGTTGAACATGAGGATGGGCGTCTCCAAATCCACAAACTCCCGGATGCTGTTGGAGCATGTTGTCAGCCTGCGATTGTCTTGTATCTCAACCCGTCTGGAGGGAAATTGAATGATAGTTGCCGTGTAGTTTTGAAAAAATAAGACTCACAACTGTCGGCACATGCCACATGGGCTGCAAGGGGCCTCGATATCTGTGGCAACGGCAACGGCTTTGAACCCCCGAATACCCTCCGTAATGGCCTTACCGAAGGCTACTCTCTCTGCACAGGTACCAACGGGGTATGAGGCGTTCTCAACATTGGCTCCGGCAGTGTACTGGCCATCGTTGGAAAGAAGCGTTGCGCCCACGCGGAATTGGCTGTACGGGCAGTAGGCCGTCGCCTTTGCTGCCGTCGCCCTCTGGTGGAGCTCCTTCACCTCAGCGGGCGAGAGTCCGTATTTCTTGGCTGTCTCAGTTGTCTGGGACTCATTTGCGATGTCAAAAATCTCTGGAGTGAAGGCCATATTAGGATACTGTATGCGAGAGGAGGTGAAATCGAGGTTGTGAAAAGGTGGGGTTAGTAGGTATTATGGGATGGACTCAATGCGGTTGTTGTCGATAATCCAAGCGGGCGGTGCTTGCCGGTTGTAGGTATGTACAGTATGTATTTATTTGCTTAGCTGATGATAGCTCCGTGAGTTGGTGCACTTTAGTGTGTTCCCGCCCTCTGGAGCTGCCACTGGGGTGTTCCATTTACGGGGGTCCGAGTGCCATTTGCTAACCCAACCCCCCGCGGCCGTCTCCGATTTCCGTTTGCGTTGCCTCAAGGTGAGGTAGCTTGATAGGTAATCTTTCTTTACTATCGGTATTGGAACCGAAGCCCGCAATTGCGGACATCTCTTGGCCAACCATTGCAGATGTTTTACTTCGGACACCAAAACGTCCTGCCTATCTGGGCGGCTTACATTCCGAAGAGACGGCGCCAGATTGGGCGGACGTTTCCCGTATGACCTGCCATCCTGCTACGCACTCCCCGCGCCGTGTCCTGCAACCGTAATCCCGCAGTAGTCTACTCCTGGTTACCTTTTCACCCTTACACTACGCCTTGCCGAGGGGTACCGTGAGCGGGTTCATGGCACTAATCCATGTCGATGAGCTAACCTCCTGGTCACGAGCTGCATCCGGGCGAGAAACACTTACGATGAGCCGCCGTCGACGACCATGTTCGCCCCCGTGATATAGGAGCTGAAGCCCGAGGCGAGGAAACCGGCCACGCGGGCTACCTCTTGAGGGCTTCCCGGTCGTCCGAGACCGATGATGGCCTCGGCCGACTTTTGCGACAAGTGTTAGTCAGCCGGAAATGCGGATGGACTCTCGATGAGAACCTACTTCATTGCCTTGCGATCCTGCAGTGGGGAGCTGGGAGTTCACGCCCTTCACATTGGCCTGGACTTCTTGTTAGCATAATCTTCTTAACTTGATCGTCGCTAGGCCACTCTCACCCCGTTCAAATCGAGCCCAACATCGATTTGCCCTGGCGAGATGCAGTTGATCCTCACCCCGGTGTCCTTGAGAACTGCGACGCCCGCCTTCACGACACCGAGCGCCGCATACACGGACATGGTGTAACTTGGCCCCCACGACGCCGCACTGTTGATGACGATGATGCTGCCGTACTTCTGCGTCTTGGGCGCCGCGTTCGGGTACGACTGTTTCTCCGTTAGCTTGGCCATGGCCGGGGGTGCGTACTTGAGTGCGAAGAAGGGCGCCATCGAATGCCCCTCAAAGCACCGCTGCAGGTCCGCCGGCGTCGTCTCGGCAATGGATGGTGGGCCGAGCAGGCCGGTTGATGACACCCAAATATCGAGCCGCCCGAATGCGTTGAGCACCTCGTCAATAAGGACCAGCGTCTCTTCTTCCTTGGCCACGTTGAAGGGGTAAGGAATGACTTTGGTGTTGGGTTGGTCCCGGTGCACGTTGGCGACGAGGGTGTGGAACGTTTCGTCGCTGGTCATCTTGTCGCATGCTGGAGCGTGTCAGTCCTGCCCAGAAGACAGTTTCTTGTTCCGGATCCACGTCCGGGAAAGCCTTACCATATATAGAGGCGGCACCATGTGCTGCTTTATTGTTAGATCTATACTTCGACAAGTGCAGGTGCTGGAGCCCATACCTGCCAGTTCTTCAACAATGGCCCGACCAACGGGATGGGCAGCGCCAGTCACGACACAGACGAAGCCATACTTGCCACAAAATCAGCCCTCGTAAATCCAAATTGCCAGCGGCGTCATGTCAACCTACAAGCTTGCCATCGGCGCGGTAAGGACTAAAGTCAGGAGTCGAATCCATCTTGCCCAAGGGTTGCCGAACAAATACAAGGCTTTGGGAGTTTTCAAGGCTGTCAGAGAATCGCGAATTCCTTCGGGGTCTTCCGTATAGTATAAGCAATTAGACTGTCTGGTCTCTTGATGGACAGAAGGCGGCGGGATATAGGGTAAACCAAGTCGAGACACGCATGGGCCCAGACTCCGGGCGGCTCAAACTTGCATGCGAGCTTAGGATGGTGCTTCTCCGAGGGAAGACTGGCCGACGAGTAGGCCGGCTCAAACCATCCCAACATTGCCCGTTTGACCTTTGATAAGAGATAAACTACCGCGCTCGCTGATCCCAGGGATTTTGTCAGGTCCAATCGACAAGTTGCAGATGCTACTCTCACTCACCATGATGTCTCAAAGATGCAAAATTCGATCCAATGGGAAGGGAAACATATGGCATAATGATCGGGGTCCATTCAAGATCTGGGAAGCTGGGAATATCACCCCCGGTCTGCGGCCCGCGCGGGGTGTTAGGTATCGGTGACATTCGAACCGCTGTTGTCTGATTGGGCGGAATTCGAGTCGATAGCTAGGCGACGGAGATGCTCGTATTTCCCCACACTTCTTATTCTTGACTGTTTTCACGAGCGGGCTTCGGACCTGTCGCGTCTTTTCATCATGTGGTTTTGTGTTTCTCATCCCGAGTCATACCGCGGCCAAAAACAGTAACAAAGCTGACTGTACATGGTAGGTCTCGTTAGAGACCGCAGAGGTTATCCCTGCCAAGTCCTGGTCGGTGCTTCCGCGCCATTCTAAGCCAAGATGTGCATCTCTGTATGACCGTCAGTTGTCGGACTGATGCCACTAGAGTTTGGAACATAGAGAAGACACCGTGTTGCAATGATAGTCATGCTCAAGGATGCTGAAGGTCTTGGTGAAGGTCCCAAAGCCAACAGAGCCGACGATGCAGAGTCAGTGACTTACCCACTGTGGCCCTTGCGTTGATGGCCTTTCACTCTGCCACAAGACATCAGCAGGTAGAACGGCTGCCATTTTCTCTCGAACCGGTCGTCGGCCCCGTCCCGGAGCTGGTGGATCCTTATAGACCTCAAAACAAAGGAAGGGTCCGCGACATGCCTGTGCCTGCGACGCGTAGCCAACGTGCAAAGGGCTTGATAAGCAACTATAAGTAGCATTGGGGAACAATCGAGAAGCCAGTCGAAACTTCGGCTGTAATGGTGGAAAGTCTACTTGATGAAATTGCCAGACTTGTTTGATTCTAGGGGGGCATCTGTTCCAGCCACAGGGACCTCGTCAGGAGGGGAACTCTAGCCTGGGGCACCGATGGTTCTCGAACTTTTCCGGTACCCATCGGCCACCTACCAGCAGCTGGGGGGGGTACTAGGCCTTCTGAAAAGTCTCCAGTCAGTTACGGCAGACTCGGCGCGCTTCTCCTCGATGAACCCCGACCGTCATTGGCGTCAGTGAGGTCGTTCCCACCCGATAACGGTATGGGTATCAACGTGTCCAGCAAACGGACTTTGTGCTCGCCAATCTTCCCCAACATTTGTCAGATTCCTCCTTTATAGCAGACATGACATGATCAATTTTTCAAAATGAAAATCAACCTAGAGGCACATGAGCTACTTATACCACCGGCCGCACCTCGGTTTATCCGTGGTCTGATTTATACTATTTTGTTGTTTCGGTAACAACACTTGCCAGGCGCTCAAGATGCGCACTGATGTTGCGTTTTTTTCTAGATCACGCACACATAAACGGGACCGGCCGTTCAGGTGATGGCGCTTGATACCATATTATCTAGGACACACAACTCAACGGTTTTCAGAACCCTGGCAACGGAAATGAACCTGCAGGCCTTGAGAGGACTTCTTAGTTGTGCAATATCATATGTTGAGAGAAGAATGATGAAAAATTGGCAACAAGAGGGGACCACGTTGTATTGTAGCACCGAGCCGATCTCGCAGGGGTGCCTGCGTACGATGCCCTCCAGTTTCGAGTTGTCCCTTCAGACATCTAACGAGCTGCACGAAACAAACGTAGGCAAACACGTGTTGATTTGATGGGCTGAAAAGGGCATTGCAAAGCCACAGGAGCGCAGGATCCCGGAAGCTGAGAAACCGTAGAACCGATTAAGTAATGACCTGCTCTTTGGTGAAAAGAAGCCAGAACGAGAGGCACTGGCTTTATCGGTTCGTTTGCTCAGAGTTGTTGAGCGTCTTACATGGGCTATCGCCGAGTAGGAGTAAAGTCCGCGGGCGAAGGCCGCTGCGGGTACCTCCATAGTAAGGTGCACTCCAGCAGGATGACGATGACGGATGAGAAATGCACTTCGCTTACATGAGATTCTCTGGAGATGGTGGGGCACAGATTTCAGAAAATTGTTAAGAGGCTACTTGTGCCGGACCACGGTTGCATGGGATAACGATAGGCTTCGGGGTAGCCTAGGAGAGGGCAATTAGGTTGGTATTTGGCAAATTGCAGGACGAATCCTGGTGGCTGACCCCTGAATGCTGGGACAAACAAATAGCATTCCCTGGAGGCTGGAGCAGGACAGATCAGGGGTCCATGAACCCTTCGGACCAGATCTGGAAGGACGCTGTAGGTATTGCATCATCAGCACCGCCACAGTGGCTGAAAAGAATTCCATCTTCTTCCATCGATTTCAACTTTGGACCATTTCGGTGCAGGCAACGGACAAGGCGACCCGCCTTTGCAGCCTGCTTTGCCTGCTTTTCTCCCTTTATTTTGAAAAACCCAGCGTCCCATTGTCTCGTTACTAGTGCCGTCGGTCCCAAGGTACATTTCCACCGTACTTCTCCCCTCCAGAAACCTTAGCCGTCAATAACTTCTTTGCCAGCCCGGCTCCTTACTTCCCCTCGACTTTTTCCCACCCTTACCTTCCTACGTCTTGTCCAGTTTACGTACACCAGATACCCCGTTGCGCAAATCGTCTCTGTCGACCTCTTTTTGAAAGAGTAAGTAGACACGTTGTTCTCGTCTTGCGGCGCAAACGAAATTTAGCAGCAGTTACGCTGCTTTGCCAATTCCATCCTGCCTTGCACTCCCTCACCCGTGTCAGTTTGGCGCGCTGGGCCTTCGACGCCCCAAAACCCCCTCTTCTTGATCTTTCGGTCACTCTTCTGTGCGTTCAAGAACGTGTGGGTGCGAATGAGAGGCTGGATTGTTCTTTAGTCTTTTCCTCGATCAACTTAACTGACCGATTTTGGGCTCCGCAGACCCCTCTATAGACCCCTACTTCCAACTCGGACTCCGGAGCGCCAAGGCCTTAGATAAGGATCAGTGTATCTGCCGGCATCATGGTCAAGGAAACCAAGCTCTACGACACCCTCGGCGTACGTCGCAAAACGAATCAGCCGAAATTACGATGGTCGAATATTAACGCAGAATACAGGTCGCGCCGACGGCCACTGAGCAAGAATTGAAGAAGGCATACAAGACAAATGCTCTCAAGTACCACCCTGGTATGTGTCTATAGGCCCGCTGACTCAACGCACACCTGCTGACCGGGCCCCAATAGACAAAAACGCCCACAACCCCGACGCGGAAGAGAAGTTCAAGGAGATTTCCCATGCCTACGAAATCCTCTCTGATTCCCAGAAGCGCGCCGTCTACGACCAATATGGCGAGGCTGGCCTTGAAGGTGGTGCCGGGGGCGGTGGTGGCATGGCTGCCGAGGACCTATTTGCTCAGTTCTTCGGCTCTGGCAGTTTCGGCGGTGGTCTCGGTGGAATGTTTGGCGGCGGCGGCGGCATGCCCAACCGTGGCCCCCCCAAGGCCCGCACAATTCACCACACCCACAAGGTCTCACTCGAGGATGTCTACCGCGGAAAGATCTCTAAGCTGGCTCTTCAGCGCTCCATTATCTGCCCCAAGTGCGAGGGTCGTGGCGGAAAGGAGGGCGCGGTCAAGCGCTGCGCCGGCTGCGACGGCCACGGCATGAAGACCATGATGAGGCAGATGGGCCCGATGATCCAGCGTTTCCAGACGGTCTGCCCTGACTGCAACGGAGAGGGTGAGATGATCAAGGACAAGGACCGCTGCAAGCAGTGCAACGGCAAGAAGACCATCGTCGACCGCAAGGTTCTCCACGTCCACGTCGACCGTGGTGTCAGAAGCGGTACCAAGGTCGAGTTCCGCGGCGAGGGTGACCAGGCCCCTGGCATACAGGCCGGTGACGTCGTTTTCGAGATCGAGCAGAAGCCCCACCCCCGCTTCACCCGCAAGGAGGACGACCTTCTGTACCAATGCGAGATCGAGCTGGTGACTGCGTTGGCTGGCGGAACCATCTTCGTCGAGCACCTCGACGAGAGGTGGCTCAGCATCGAGATCCAGCCCGGTGAAGCTATCGCACCAGGTATGCTCAACCCTCTTTCAACTGTAAGCTGTGCATGCCGACTAACTTTGTTACCACAGACGCTGTCAAGATGGTTCGTGGCCAGGGTATGCCCTCTCCTAGGCACCACGACTTCGGAAATCTCTACATCCAGTTCAGCGTCAAGTTCCCCGAGAAGGGCTGGACAGAGGACCCCGCGGCCTTTGAGGCTCTTCAGAAGCTGCTGCCTCCTCCCTCGCTGCAGACCGTGCCCCCCCTGAGGCTATGACCGAACCTGCGGATCTTGAGGATCTGGATAACACTTCCCAGGCTAGAGTCTTTGGCGGTAGCGGCTCCATGGAGGAGGACGACGAGGATGGTCACCCCGGTGCCGAGCGCGTGCAGTGTGCCTCTCAGTAAACAACATATTCGATGGAATTGACGTTACGAGCATCTTTGGCGTGGTGAGGGGCGTGGGTCGAGACACTTCTTTTCACATTTGTTCCTCAGAACAAAGATGCATATTTCCCAGTCACGAATGGATGGAAACGGTTGCATGGAAATGGTAAAGGGGTCTGGCTGTTCGGGGGCTGCTAGCATGACGGCGGCAACCGACTGGCTGCGATGCCTCGTCTGGGCGTGCCAAGTCGGGTTCGTCGAGAATGGAGGCTGGTTACAATTGGGCCAGCAGAATAAACAGGGAAATCTGGTCCCAGCGGTTGCGTTCTTAAAAACATCACTTGGCTTCTTTTGCTCGACGGACATTCGAGACTTGGTAGGGAGGCGTTCACGGTCATAGAGAGGATAATCCGTTGAATCGATTTGATGACGAATGCGCTGTTCTCTTTTGACAATCGGATTGTGCATTGCGGTTTCGTGGCTCAATGTCACCCCTGCTTATTTTATAAAGTTTCAGCTGGCTCTCCCCCTCCCGGCGTGTGCTCCTCATGCGGCGGCTGTTCTTCCTGCTCTGCCTCGTCGCCTTGCTCATCCTCACCCCGCTTGCGCAGATCCTCAATGTTGTACAACAATTTCCGCACTTGTTCCCGCGGCATGTCGAACTCGCCTTCGCTGACGGCTGCGTCCTGAATCCCAAGGTCCTGCGACGAGAAGGCAGCGCCGGTCCATCTGAACGACACAATCCCGCTGGGTGAGTTGTCGTTCTCTGCCGGGTCGATAGCCGCCAGGATGCTCGTGAGGGAGCTGTCGCTGGCAATCGGCGCCACGTGCAGGGGGTTGCCGGGAGTGGAAATGGTCTGGACGTGCGTGAGAGTGTTCTCTTCCGAGAGACGAAGGACAAAGATGGCAGATACGCTGAGACTCGAGGTTAGCCGCCGTTGATACACGACCGAACAAGACAAGGAATCAGGCATACCTTTCGCATACTGCCAGGACCACGGGCACCTGTATGCCGTTGGCTGCGACCGTGGCGGATAGGAGGTGAGAGACGGCAACCTTGGACACCTCCTTGTCCACCTGTTGGGCCTGCTCCAGGAGGTCAAACTTGGACAAGACCTTGCCAGCCTCCCAGTCCCAGACGAACAGCTCGCCGTCTCCGCCTCCCGAGACCAAAACATCCTGGCTGGGGAGCGTGAGGGCGCTGACGAAGTTTGCGTGTCCGAGGCAGAAGCCTTCGATGATGTGCGCGTGCGGCATGAAGCGCGAGACGCGGATGTGCTCGTCGCGGTCCGCCGTGATGATGTACCGCCGGCTGCCCTTGGAGGCGAGCGTCAGCGCAGTGAGCATGGAGACATGGCCGATCTGGAGCGTGTGCTCGAACGTCGGCTGGTCCTTGGGGCTGTCGCGGTTCGCCTTCTGCTGCTCGCGTAGCTGGCTCTGGAGGGCGCGTAGGTTGCTCTTGGAGTGCACCGTCAGGGGGTTGGCTTCGGGCTGGAAGGGCTTGGGGGCGGCCGACGGCGCCGGAGATGCCGTCTCAGAGGCCGCGGAGTCCGCTGCGGCGGCCTCCGAGGCGATCAGGGGTAGGGAGTAGACGTCACCGAATTTGTCCGCGCTCAGGATAGTCCGGTCGTCCGGGCAGATGAGGACGGAGCAGGGCCGTTTGGGCATTTGTCTATTGCGAGGCGTGTCAGGGGCTAATCTACATGACGGTGTAAGTCGGACAACGTACCTCTGGCTCGGCTTTTTCAGATTCCCCTTGCCGTCGTGCTCAAACACCCACAGGGACTTGTCGTGGCCTGAAATGGCCAGCAAGTAGCTCCCGTCACTGGTCGTCGTCATGATGGTGATGACGGGATAGTCCGGAACCCTTGCGAACGCGCCGCCGCGGTTGTTCTGCTGCTGCTGGCCGTCCCGTTGACCCCGTCTCACCTGCTTGTTGCCCTTTCTCCTATCTCTTTTTTGTTGCTCGGGCTTCGCTGGCTCACTATCGACAACCATGGCGTCGCCGTCCCTGGTTTCCTGACCATCCTCACCGGCTTTCTCCTCGGTGCTCTCGACTCTTTGACGCTTGGCAGGGGGTCCATCATCATCATGGACCGGGGATGAAGACGTAGGCACACCGGAGCTCACTTCAATCTCAAGCTTTGAGGCAGCGGCCGAGGCGGCGGCGGCATTCACCTTTTCAACGTCGGGGTGTTTCCACGTTGAGAGATAAGAACCATCCTCCAGGCTGAAGGAGTGGATCTTCCCACCCCGAGCGGCAAAGACGACGTTGCCGGACGGCTCCAGGCAGTTGTAGGGGACCTTCATTGTGATACCGATGGATCTCTAGAGTTGTCCCGGCTCAATTGGACTGAGTTGCGGCTGCCTGTAAACTTGGCATGAGGTCAAATAGAACTTTCACCCACCCAGGACACATCCGCAAGCTTCATAGGTAGACCCGCCCCACCATGGATTGTGAGAAAAAAAAGCTACATACAGCATGTATCGTTCCCATACGCTCGGGCCACAACGTTCTCCCTGCGAGCTGCCCCGCGCTTGTCCGCTTTCGGCTATAGACCCAATCGGTTGCCCTAACGGGACGGCCTCTGGGCCTGCCCGGAGCACACAGTCGCAGGCAAGAGAGTAATTTTCGGCTGGTGAAGCAAAAAGGTCGATTTCTGATGAGGCGCTCTTTTTTCTCTCCTGCAACACATCAACTTTTGATACCCAAATCCCATCAATCACTACCACAAAAATTCATTTGCCCTTAAACAACCTGCCTTCATAAATAAGAAGATATGGGGGGCAAATCTGCGAACAAGGCCGGCTACTTCGACAAGCTCAAGGGCTTGCTCGAGGAGTACAAGTCCATCTTCATCGTCACCGTCGACAATGTCAGCTCTCAGCAGATGCACGAGATCAGACAGTCCCTTCGCGGACAGGGTGTCGTCTTGATGGGTAAGAACACCATGGTATGTCGCAATCCTCACATCGCGCGAACGTTCGCTCTGTGTGGCCCGCTTGAAATCGACGCGCCTTGCTAATCCCCCTCCAGGTTCGTCGTGCCCTCAAGACCTTCATCCCCGACTCCCCCGAGTACGAGCGCCTTCTGCCCTACGTCAAGGGCAACGTTGGTTTCGTCTTCACCAACGGTGAACTCAAGGAGATCCGTGACAAGATCCTCGCCAACAAGGTCGCTGCCCCTGCCCGTGCTGGTGCCGTCGCTCCTTCCGACGTCTGGATTCCCGCTGGCAACACCGGCATGGAGCCCGGCAAGACCTCGTTCTTCCAGGCCCTCGGTGTCCCCACCAAGATTGCCCGTGGTACCATTGAAATTGTTTCGGACCTGAAGCTCGTTGAGGCCAACAACAAGGTCGGCCCCTCCGAGGCTACCCTCCTTAACATGCTCAACATCTCCCCCTTCACCTACGGCATGGGTATTGCCCAGGTCTACGACCAGGGCAACACCTTCCCCGCCAGCGTCCTCGACATCGGCGAGGAGCAGCTCCTGAAGGCTTTCGCCGGCGCCGTTACCACCATCGCCGCCGTCTCCCTGGCCATCAACTTCCCCACCCTGCCCTCCGTCATCCACTCCTTCTTCAACGGCTACAAGAACGTTCTGGCCGTCGCCATCGAGACCGAGATCTCGTGGCCCGAGATCGAGGAGCTCAAGGACCGCATCGCCAACCCCGACGCTTACGCTGCTGCTGCCCCCGCCGCTGCTGCCGGCGGTGCCGCCGAGGCCAAGGAGGAGGCCAAGGAGGAGGAAGAGAAGGAGGAGGAGTCTGACGAGGACGGCGGCTTTGGCGGTCTCTTGTATGTGTCACTTACTCCCTCCCGCTTCTCGTGCATGCTAACGTTGCGTCCAGCGACTAAATATAACGGGAAACCGGTGACGACACGGCTACTACTCTCTAGGCTACGAATAGGTTTACGACGATGCGTGGATCTTGGAAGGCTTTATAGATGGGTTGCCGGTCAATCAAGCACATCGCATTTGACGGCAAAAACAAGACATTTCGGTCCCCGAATTCCTTGTGTGACGTGTCATGCTGATATGAGCATTCACTCTCCATCATGGCCAAAGGTTAGTCGCTTTCAGTTTCTCCGTTTATGTTTTACGCCCGCTTCCGATGATTTTATAAATGTTCAGAGCTTTTTAACCCTGATCTACTTGATGACAAACACACAACCGTATGAGGGAGCACTCAAACCCGTCCTTTTTTTAACTTTATTATATACACTATTGTACAGCTTTCTTTTGGCTGGGTATCATGGCTAACATACCAAAGTGTGCAGATTTTTCCCCGTCTCTACGTATCGTCCAGTGAATCCATGCCCGCCCGCCACCCTTTTATCGTCCGTATGCCATGAGTGATGTCTAGTTAGAGCTTCTGATGAATACCAAGAACCTTTTGCGCAACACTTATTGCTTCCCCTGGCAGGTTGGCCAATCTTGCGACCTTGAGCGCGTGACTCTGCCGGTTAACCCCCTTGCGTAGCTTGTGAACGTAGACGAACCCTCCATCGCCATCTTCTTCCACGTCCGTGCAATACATATCCACTCCTCCTCTCCCGTCGTCAGCGAGCCCCTCCGCGACAGCAAGGTCCGCCACCTTGTGGAAGTGCGTTGCGAACAGCGTCCGGCACTGGTTGACCGTGACCAGGTGGTGCAGGCACGCGTATGCCACGGCCGTGCCGTCCTCGGGCGTCGTGCCCCTGCCGATCTCGTCCATAATGACAAAGGACCGCGGCGTGGCCCCGCGCAGGATCTGCGCCGTCTCCATCATCTCGACCATGAATGTGCTCTGGTCGCGGTACAGGTTGTCGGCGGACCCGACGCGGCTGAAGATGGCGTCGACGACGCCCAACTCGGCGTAGTCGGCGGGCACGTAGCACCCGACCTGCGCGAGGATTGTAATGAGGGCGTTCTGCCGCAAGAACGTGCTCTTACCTGCCATGTTGGGCCCCGTGATGAGCCACAACCGGCCGCCGGAGCTCCCGCCGCCGCCGACGAGGCAGTCGTTGCGGACGAAGCTACGCCCTTGCTCGTGAAGCCCGCCCTCGACGGTCGGGTGCCGGCCACCGATGATGGTGTGGGCCGTCGAGTTATTCAGGAGGGGCCTGGTGAGCCCTTGCTCAACGGCGAGCTTAGCAAAGGAGGTGGCCACGTCGAGCTCGTCGAGAACGGCGGCGTTGCGGCGCAGCTTGACGAGGTTCAGCACGACGGCGGCGCGGAGGGCGTGGAAGACGCGCAGTTCCTCGGTGCGGATGCTGTGCCGAGCGTGCTCGAGCTGCTGGCCGAGGCGCGTCCACTCCGGGGCGTGGAAGGAGCTTGTTGACTTGCTGGAGCTTAGGGCTCTGATGCTGGAGGATATGGAACGCACGTCTTTTCCTTTGATGTGGCAGAAATGGCCGAGGGCGGGGCTCCAGCGGAGTGTGAGAGAGGTTGCGCCATGCTCATCGCGGAGGGTCTCCGTGAGGGTCTCCCTCTCGGCGTGCAGGGCAGCAAGGTCAGCGTGAAGTTGACGGAGGACTGGGCTGGCCTTGGGCTTCATGATCCAGGTCTCGTTATCGTCGGCGTACGCCTCTCGGACCGAGGTGGGGCGTTTCTTCTTCGCAGCACCCTTGGGGAGGACAGCGGCGTCTTCCTGCGTGCCTTGGGTGCTGACGATCTCCTGGGCGAGTGCCATCATCTGTCCTGCCTCGCTCTCTTCCATCTCATGCTGGTGGACGATGCCCTCCTCGTCGATGGCTTCCTTGATCCGGCGCGCGAGCCTCAGGGGGCCCTTGAGGTCCAACCGTGCCGTCATGCGCGCGAGGCAGCTGGACTCGTCAGTGACCTCTGTCAACAACTGTCTGATGCTGTCGGCGGACTGAATGGTGTTGGCCAGCGCCACTAGGTCGTCTGGATCTCCTCTTCCTAGGGCGAACTTCTGAACTAGTCGTTGGGAGTCATGGCTGCGGCGGAGCAGCAGGACGATGGCATCGCGAAGGTCAGGCTCCTCGATGAAGCTGGCAACGAGGTCCTGTCTGAGCTTGATAACATCGAGAGATGTGGATGGGGCGCTGACCCAATCGTTGAGGAGCCTGGCGCCACTTTTGGTCACCGTCCGTCTAATCGCATGCAAGAGACTACCCCTAAAGTTCCCGTCCCGGATGGTCTGCTTGATCTCCAGTGAGCGCATGCTGTTTTTGTCTATGCTCATTATCTGCATGTTCTCGTGTCGCATCGGCGGCTGCAGCTTCATGCTCAAGCCCAGCAGCTGCTCCTTGACGTAGTGCAGAAGCAGGCTGCCGGCCATCACCTCGCCCTTAGTGAAGGCGTCGCGCGTCGCCGGGGGGATGTCGCTCTCGAGCATGGGAGCCCAATCAGAAAGACACCTGATTTCGCCGAAGGAACTATAAGTGACCAGGTGGCGGTCCTCGGCGAGGATGGAGAACAGGCCATGATCAGTCTGGGCCTGGATCCCGCTATCGATCACGACTTCCTTGGGGCATATCCTTGAGAGGATCGACGAAAGCGCCGAGAGATCGGTAGCCTGCGTATAGAACTGGCCGGTGGACAAGTCCAGCCACGCAAGACCCAGGGACATTGGTGGTGCGGCCGTATCACCGGGTGCCGACGTCACGTTCCGGTCAGTCGCTGAATGGGACGACGAGTGTGGGGCCCCTCCTTCTCCTTCTCCTTCTCCTTCTGCGGCCGATGTTGCTGCCACCCCATCTGCCCCTTCCCCCGATGGGGTTACCATCGCGTGGATTGCCAGGACGTAGTTGTTCGCATAGGGATCCATGAAGTTCTCGTCAATCAGGGTTCCTGGCGTGATGATACGAGCAACTCTGCGGTCGTGCATCAGCCCACCAGATTTGACCTTCTCTGGCGCATTATTGGGAAACTCCTCAGCAACAGCGACATAGCGATTCAGATCCTGGACCAGGATCTTGAGGAATCGATCCAGCTGGAAGAAAGGAAAACCGGCCTAACAAGACAAATTCGCACATCAGACCCAGGGAACATAAAGAGACCAATGACACGCGTATGATCCTAGCAGACGTGTTGCGGAAAACGAGAAGAGATATAATTTACCATGGAAACCAGGCCAGCATTTGTCTTTTTCTGGGCGACCTTGAGGTTTAACAGTGGGCCGTACTCCTCGGCGTGTTCAAAATACAGCTCGTAGAAACCACCAACGCGCGTTAGAAGCACGCAGTTGTCAAACTTCCGCATGTTACGGCGCGCCTGAAGCACGACTGTTGGGTAAGCCGGGCCCTCATCTTGCGCGGGATGGGGATTCAAAGGCAGAGCCCCTTGGGGTAGATCATCAAGCTTCACTGTCGACTTAGTCTTCTTGCCCCTGGAAAGGATGGAAACGTGCCAACTGGTTCCTACCCTCCCGCGCGTCAAGCCGGCAACCCCAGCTTCTCGACCGAAGCTGAAGCTGGAGCCGCGTATCGTTCCATGGGCGCGACGCAGGCGGAGGTGGGGTGCGGAGGCAGAACACAATCGGGCTGCGGTCAGTGACGGGGGAACCAAATCATGACAGGCGACTGTGATGAGTGGTCGGACCAACATGTGAGCGTATCATGAAGTGGGCTGTTTGGACGCGATGTCGAGATCGTTCTCTTCAATGGCCGATTTAGCGGTTCCGGTATCACAGTGCAGCGAGGAACGCGACAATGTAACGGCAGGTAGAGGGGATCCAATGACGAGATAATGAGCCGGGGAGTTCGGTAACTACTGGGGGTTGGCATGGGATGGATGCGAATCATGCGAGCAGCAGTGTGGACGTGGAATATCGCGAGATTTTCCGGGACGATGATCGAATTCGCCCGATTCGATTGGGGCCTATTGGGGATTCTCATTGCTACTCCCTGGGTACCTACCTAAAGGTGGAAATGCTTAGTAGTAAGAGTACAGCAGGGCCCGGCCGCCTGACAGGCTACATTATTATGTTGCCAACTGCTCTGTGGGGCGATGGTCCAGGCGCCTGGGTCTGGTTCCCATCGCCTGTGCCAAGGCACGTACGAATAGAGCACACACAAGGTTAGGTAGGTAGTATGGCACGACGCGCGGATGGGGTTGGAGAGGGATGGCGAGAGAAGAATGGCATGTTGCGACGATGGAATTTGGCAAGGGTCCTGCACGGGTCGGAGGGAAAATGCAACAGTCCCAATATAGCACTGGGTAAACAACGACCGACGCCGACCTGGTGGCAAGCATGATTAGCAAGCCTCGGTGGTAACGGAATCATCACGGAAGTTCCGTCAGCCGGACATGGGACAAAACAAGACGGCAGCTATGCGAGCGGATAACCAGACCGGGATGAAATGGAGAAAAGGAAAAAAGGGAGGAAGAAAGAAAACAGTATACAATGTCGGAGTTAGGAGTACTGTGCCTGGCAGAGCTTGAACAGATAGATACCAAGGTACGTAGGTCGTGTAAGCAAGACACGTTGCTGAGAGGATCAGTGATGACTCTGAAGCCTTGAACAAGAACAAGCCCCGAATAAACTCGATCAGGGTCGACCGCCGGCAGCCGTTTGCTACCGTTTGCGTTGGTCTATTTCTTTTTAAATGGGCGCCTGCCTGGTGTTGCATCATGGTCTTATGATACGAGAGTCTGTTTCGTCTAGTGTCATGCTGTTGGACCGGCCATCCGTAAGTACTTAGGGTGGCAGGTAGAGAGGGAGCATAGCAGTGGAGGCCTATCGGAGTCGCGGACCACATTTGCATCTCTGAAGAGCTGGAAAGCCTGACAAGTCGCCTGGCTGCTGTTGGGCTGCGCTGCAGGAACCAAAACCTATAGACCGCAGAAACCACAGTGTTCGTTGGACATGCTGGATGCCCGCAGCGCCTAGCCAACCAGTAAACGCCGGTCAAATGTACCAACTTTCAGCGAGGCTGTCGATGCAATGCATTGCCATGCGGGCGAGGGTCGGATGATAACTTCGTCATGTCGAGATTGACAGAGCGGGGGTCGCATCGTAACACAGAGGCCATGGCCGCATCGTGGCTCACCAGCTATAGCGATCAACAGGACAACCGAACTCCTCGCTTCCTGAAAGAGGGCGGCCAAGTGATCGCAGGAAAACAGACGAGGGTGGGCAGGGGATAATCAAAGATGGGCAGACGACGGTACAGGATGCCGCCACCCCAGACCATTCCATCTCATCTCCTTGGGTGGCAGCACCTTGCATATTTTGCCAGTCCCTATGGCTAGCGTCGTATCACGGCCTAGACTACAGGCACAAGGCCATGGCACTGGGCGAACGGCTGGGGCACCGCGGTTGTGTGCGGTGATGGGTGGAAAGATGTGGGCTGCCTTGTCTCTCTTGTGTAAAATGATGGATCGATGCTAGAATCGCGTGTGGCTGCCGAGACGGCGTCAACCTACCTACCTACCTACCTATGGCGGGGTGCTTGCTTTGCCACTTGCTGCTGTAGGACATCATCGCTACATGAGGACACGGACGCATATCTTATTTACACGGGACTTCGGGGAAACGGGTAGTTCGGATCGAAGCATGCCATGCAGAATAATTAAGAAGGATGCTACCATGTGTAAGCGTTTGAGGCAAATTTCCTCTCATAAGGTTCCCCCCCGCCCCTCCTCTCTGCTTGGTAACCTTCCCGGGGCCAGGACGGACGAAAAATATAAACAAGGGACAGAAAAGAGGGACGTCGAGTCTCGCTCGTCCGCATCTCACGGGATGACCGTTGTAGGCGGAGTTAGGAACTAATTAGGCACATAGGTACTAGGCGGCCAAGGCAAGATCCGAGAAGTCGGTGAAAGTATCTGGCTCGCCCGTCGTGCAGCATCGAGGTACGTGGAGATACGTACCGGGCCCAGGCCGCTAAAGCCACGGCGCGGTTGCCATTCGATTCGGCATCAGCCGATTTCGACTCCTCCTCAGCCCATTCCCGCTCACTCCCCAAATTTATCGCCAGACCCTTGGCCCAAACATGGCAGCATACACCGTCATGTCGCCCGCCTGGTTTGAAATGTCGCCCTGTAGGTATATTTATCTTTTCATGTGCTTCGCTTTCTCCACCCCTCTCCCTGACGAACGCTTGCTTTGATACATCCGTTTTCGCCTGCCTCCCAGTCTGCAGCGGATCCCGACTTTACTACTACTACTACTGCCTGCCCAACGACACTGTCAATTATTACTGCCGCCACTTTCCAATACACTCTAACAGCAAGAGCCTGGTTTATATCAATCCAAATTTACTGCCGCGTCTCCTGCGGCTGTTGCGATTTGAAATCCTCAAACTTCTTTCTCGGGTTCTATCGCGAACGCATAACTAGTGTCAGTAAGGAGGTACTCTAACATACGATATCTACGACATCGAACGCACCGCACAGAAACGACCTCACTACATAAGACGAACACCGCATAGAAAAAGCTGCTTCATACCAAATCACCCTCTATGGCGGCGCATCTACCTGCTTTCAATTTCAACCCTTTGACCCCCGTCACGCCCCCGCCCGAGCATCTCTCATTCCGAAAGCCCGCACTTTCTCTATCAGCTCAACTAAAACGCAAGGCCGCCAACATCACCAACGACCATGTCCCGGCCACGATGAAGAAGGAAGAATCACCAAGAACCACTCCGCCCATGGGTGCCCCGCCCAAGCCGACTTCGATTTCCAACACGAGTGCCGCAGACCCGACGAGCCAGCCGCCCATGAATCCCCAATACGCGGCCATGGTCTCACGCATCGCTACCTACTATCAACAAAGGTGTCAAGCCATCTCTAACGCGCAGCAGCAGAGATGTCAGGCCTGGGCGAACATGCACAAGCAAAAGTGTCAAGAGATGATGCAGGCGGCCATGTTAGTGGTGGCGTGGTATGTCCGCGACCGGGTCCAGCGGAGACGCCGAAAGCAAAAACGGCAATTTCGGACGGGGTTAAGAGCTCGGAGCACCCGGTCCCGCGTTGTCAAGGGCGAAGGGGTCCGGCGCTGGGTCATGAACTTGCCTGCGGGTCTGTCATCGCCGCCCGTCCAGGGGCCCGACGACCTCGCTGACCAGGACGAGGCCCACTTCTCCATGGATAGAGAGGTGCCGCCAGACAAGGACGCTAAGCTGTTTGAGATGGCCGACAGCATGATCAGGAGCCAGTACCGTAAGGTCGAGGTGCCCATCCTCGGCGTGCTCGGTTTTGAGGAGGACAGTGGGAGCGAGAGCGAGGCAGATGTCTATGACTATCCCATGAAGGACGAATTCGAAGAGGACGAGGCTGAAGACTGCGATGATGACGAAGACGATTTGGACCTAGATGACGAAGATGAAGAGGAGGAGGCCGGGTCCGAGGCTGTCCACCGTGGTACAGGAACGGGTACGGGAAGCCGGGGCAAGGACTCTGGCTTGTCATCTTGACGGCATTTTGGGGCGCGCTTTTGCTATGCTTTGTGTGGTTCCCTCCACCTTTTTGATACTCTTCTCCTACCTTATTCTGCGGCGTTCAACGGTGGGACATGGACGATGATGTGATGATTGGATTAATTACCCTCGGCGACCTACATACCTCACTTCCTGGCTACTTCTGCAGTATATATACACATATCTGGCACCATGCCGCTATGAAACAAGACAAACATGGTTCTTTTCTCTTTTTTTCTTCTTCTTCTTTTTTGTGAAAACTCGAGTTCATCTCATTACACACACTGTTAATCCATAAGTTAATCCATAAACTCAACAGGAAAGAGCGAGTTGCGAACGTCACCCCGAGCTCAGATTTCTCAAGTGAGATGGTGACGACCTTAATGGATGATCATACGTTTGGAGCTCTAAAAACATGAGATTTTTAGCTTTCCAGGGGAAGGGAGGGGGAGGGGGAGCAAACAAAGATCTTCGCTTACCTGCACCCTCATGACCCCTCACCCCATCACACTGACTGTTTTGCACTATTCTGTCGTTGTTCCGTCTGTTGACCCTTTCTGATGCCATCCATGTCAAAGGAGCTCATGACTGCTGAAGACTATAGCTGGCGGTCATCCGCCTGCAGTTCGTGTGACATGTGTAATGCAGCTGCATTTCATGCTGCTGCACAGCCCCCCCAGAGATCCACCGGGACTGTAGACAGGCACTCGGTCTAGGGATAACCGATATTTACTGAATCATGAACAGCGCTGGTGTAACCACGATCACGTACTGAACTTACAACGTCATTTTACTCGTAAGGTGCGTGGCACTGCAATTCTTTCGACTTGCATCGGGCTTCATCAACTACTGTCTTGACCAATGAAAGAGCCAGATTGCGGATGTGGATGGTCGTGGCTCCCGATAATATTGAAATTAAGCAAAGGCAACACATACGTCTCGTCAAGGGCAGTTGCGAGCATCAAGTCATGCCGGACAAGTTCGATGGCGGCCGCTCCAAAGAGACTCACACCACAGGTGCTCTGGCTAGCTGAACCCCGACTGCATCAACCACCCCATGTTCATCCTTAGTCGACATCTCGCACTACCTGAGCTTCCAGCATCGGTTCGCCAAAAATTTCGTCCTCGTTCCTTTCTCACCACCACCTGTATATCGTTTCTATCATCAACTACCTCCTGTGACATTATCCATACTGGCTGGTTTCGGTACAGTTATCCAAGTAAAGCCCTAATACCAAGGCCTTTAACAACACCACCACCTGCTTGTCTCAGTCACCGCAATCAGCATCATCGAGTCGACAAGATGAGGTAAGACAGGCGTTCGAGGTGATGGTTGATCCTCCATCCCCCCCCCGGCGTCCCGGCCAATCGAGGAGATCGCCCACACCTCCTCCTAGACCCAACCTCCCCGCACTTCTGTTGCACCGACATGTCCCCGCACGCTCCCACTGGCTGCGTTTCAGCGCCCGCCTATCTCTACCGCAGGGGTGTTCCCGTGCTCTACCTTAGCTCCCCCCAAAGAGCTTCGAGTCCGTCTCTGCTTTCAGACAATCCCGAGGTCAAAGCTAACGAGAACACCTCTGTTTCGTAGTGATCACAAACCCAAAACCCTTAATCGACATCTCACCGACGCTCTCCAAGCTGCCGAGAAAGTCGACAACGCATCTCCAAAACCCTCGCGGCTACATCATCACTTATCGGAGCTCCATCGTAATCGTCGACTAAACAATCGATCAGCTCCACCCGGTCCTCTCAATCCATCGAAACAGTCTGGACAGCCACTGCTCGATAGCTTGACAGGACACCCCATTATGGGTGGCGGAAGAGAAATCAAGAGCAAGAGCTCATACCCAACTCTCGCTTCCCGTCCTGTGGGACAATGGATCTCCAACATCTACAAGGAGAGAATTAACCAATTCTACTCCAGCGGACAATGGGAGAAGCACAACCTCCTGGCGTGCGTTACCCTCCCCCCGCCCCCCACCGACGCCCCGTAGTAAACCTGGGGAGCATCCCGCTAACTTGCACCATAGAATGATGACGGAGGGCACCGCATCGGGCGAGCCTCACGTTAAGCTATCCGTTTGGGACGCACCCGACACCACCCGCCCAACCTTTGAGGACGCTGTCTCGCACGAATTCAAAAAGACCGAGGTTGGCGCCTGGTTTGGCCCCTCTTGGTCCACCCATTGGTTCAAGGTTGTCTTGACCGTCCCGAAAGAGCTGCGTGACAAGGACCTTCTTGAGCTCCGCTGGGATGCCAACAATGAGGGTCTCATCTGGACTGAGGATGGCAAGCCGCTCCAGGGTCTTACTGGTGGCGGCGAGCGGACCGAATGGATTCTGCCAAAGGAGTTCAGGGACGGAAAAGAGCATACCATTTACATCGAGATGGCCTGCAATGGCATGTTTGGAAACGCCCCCGGCGGAGACGGGATCCAGCCGCCGGACCCTAACAAGTATTTCCGCCTTGGTCAAGCTGAAATTGTTGCTGTCAACCCCGAGGCACGAGCACTCTACATTGACATTTGGATCATTGGCGATGCTGCGCGTGAGTTTCCTCAGGACTCGTGGGAACAACACAAGGCTCTCAAGGTTGCTACTGATGTGATCGATGCTTTTGAGCTTGGCAACAAGGACTCCATTCTGAAGTGCCGAAAAATCGCACAGGAATACCTTGGTTCGAACGTCGACTCTCACAAGGTCTACAGCACCGACAAGGAGCCTCAAGTCTATGGAATCGGGCATTGCCACATCGACAGCTGCTGGCTCTGGCCTTGGGCCGAGACAAAGCGCAAGGTCGTCAGATCCTGGTCTAATCAGTGCGACCTGATGGACCGCTACCCTGAGTTGAACTTTGCTTGCTCGCAAGCTCAGCAGTACAAGTGGTTGAAGGAAATCTATCCCTATGCTTTTGACCGCGTCAAGACGAAGGTTAAGGAGGGCAGATTCCACCCCATTGGTGGTAGCTGGGTCGAACACGACACCAACATGCCTAGTGGCGAATCTCTCGTCCGGCAGTTCTTGTACGGCCAGCGATTTTTCGAAAGCAACTTCGGCGAGCGTTGCCAGACTTTCTGGCTGCCCGATACGTTTGGATACTCGGCCCAGCTTCCGCAGCTCTGCCGTCTTGCTGGCATGAACCGCTTCCTTACGCAAAAGCTCAGTTGGAACAACATCAACAAGTTCCCGCACACAACCTTCAACTGGGTTGCGCTTGACGGAAGCCAAGTCATCTGTCACATGCCGCCCTCGGAAACTTACACCGCTGAAGCCCACTTCGGTGACGTGAAGAGAAGCGTCAGCCAGCACAAGTCAATGGACCAGGATCACACGTCTTTGCTCGTATTTGGCAAGGGTGATGGTGGCGGAGGCCCAACCTGGCAGCACCTCGAAAAGCTGCGCAGATGCCGCGGCATATCCGATCAAGTCGGCATGTTGCCTAGAGTGCACATGGGTAACAGTGTCGACGATTTTTTCGACAAGCTTGAACCCAAGGCTACAGAATTCGTCACCTGGTATGGTGAGCTCTACTTTGAGCTTCATCGTGGTACATACACTACGCAAGCGAACAACAAGCTCAACAACCGCAAGTCCGAGGTTCTTCTGAGGGACGTTGAATGGCTTGCCACTATCGCGACACTCAGCGACGATGGCAAACATTACAAGTACCCAAAGAAGGAAATCGATGATATGTGGGAGGCCGTTCTGCTTTGCCAATTCCACGATTGCCTACCAGGCAGCTCTATCGAGATGTGCTACGATGATTCGGATGAGGTAAGTCACAGAGTGCAAGCACAAGATTACCAATGCTGACCTAGATAGCTCTACGACATGGTCTTCAAGACCGGAAAGAAGATCCTTGAGGACATCCATGGCGTGCTGGGAGTGTCTGCTACCACCAACGGCTGCATTAACGAGACCATGGCACTGAACACTCTCCCCTGGCACCGCAAAGAGGTTGTTGAGCTTTCCGCGACGGAAGCTGGCGTTGCGTGTGGTGAGGGCCAACTGCTGGCCATCCGTCCTCTTAAGGTCTCCAAGGAGGAGCCGGCAGTCACTGTCGAAGAAGTCAGCTCTGGCGTATTTGTGCTGCAGAACGATCAGCTTCGCGTCAAGGTCGAGGACGGAACCATAACTTCTCTATATGACCGTGTTGCCAACCGTGAGGTCATTGAGAAGGGTGGCAAGGCTAATCAGTATGTCATTTTTGACGACAAGCCACTCTACTGGCAAGCCTGGGATGTCGAAGTCTACCACCTCGACACCAGAAAGGAGCTTCGCTGTGGCAAGACTGCAATTTCCGAGCAGAAAGCGCATCGCGTCAGCTTGACCACCGAGGTCAAGATTAGCGAACGAAGCTCAATCAAGTCCACAATCACGCTTTCAGCCGCCTTGAAGGGGGTCCAGTCATGGGTCGAGTGTCACGCTGAAGTCGACTGGCACGAGTCTATGAAGTTCTTGAAGGTCGAGTTCCCCGTTGACGTCAGAAACACAGAGGCGTCCTACGAGACAGCGTATGGTCTCGTGAAGCGGCCCACTCACTACAACACAAGGTGAGTCTTCTCTTTTGATACCCCGAAGACAACCTCTAACGTATCACAGCTGGGACATGGCCAAATTCGAAGTCTGCTGCCACCGTTTTGCTGATCTTTCCGAGCACAACTACGGCGTTTCCATTCTGAACGACAGCAAGTACGGTTTCGCAACCGTCGGTAATCTGCAGCGCCTGTCTCTTCTGCGGTCACCCAAGGCCCCTGATGCCCATGCTGATATGGGAACCCACCAAATTCGCTGGGCGATTTTCCCTCATGAGGGGCCACTGGGTTCTTCGACTATCCGGGCAGCTTATGCCTTCAACAGCCCTCTGAAGCTCATGTCGGCGCCCGGCACTGTACAGGCATCCCTCAACAAGAGCCCTGTCAAGCTTACCGGGGATAGCTCTCTCATCCTTGACACTGTGAAGCGGGGCGAAGACGACGAGGACGTCACTCGCGGTGAGCTTCCGAAGCGCAAGGGGCGCAACGTCATCTTGCGTGTGTATGACAGTCTCGGTGGCCAAAGCCGGGGTGTTATTGAGACCACCTGGGACGTCAAGCGCGTCTTCAAGAGCAACCTGCTGGAAGACGACATTGAGGAAATCAAGATCGAGAGCGGAAAGTTCCCGGTTACGCTGCGCCCCTTCGAAATCGCAACCTACCGCCTGGAGTTGTAGGATGCGAATCTGGGCAATTGCGGTCTTGACTACGATTGTACCACAGACGAAGCCGACGTTGAGGAACCAGCTACGTCGGAGAATGAGGACGGTTTTGGATTTTGAGACTCAAAATGAATCACGATGGAAACAAGGCGAAGGATCAAATACGCCTCTTCGTAGGCGTTTTCGGACATGTGAATACCTGTGTAAAAATAACAAATAAATGAAAACAAAAAAACCCTCAGAATGGCTCTCTAGTTCCTTTCCCTACATGCGCCGCCCCTAAACGCCGTCGTTACTAGAAGCCTTGCAGATTCCCTAGGAACAGCGGGAAAGATCGACATCATTACACAGTACATAAACCCAAGCATTTCCACCGTGATCAAGTACCTCCCTCCCCCTTTATGCACTCACAGAGACCCATCTTGAGGCAACTCCTCGATGACGCCTTCGACAATGTCAATGAGCTCGTTGATATCCGGGCGCTCGGCCGGCTCGACTTTGAGACACTTGCGGACAACGTCGCGGATGGACTCGCTGATCTTGACCTCACCGGCGCTTGAGGCGCCCGGGTCGGCGGCGGCGGCGGCGGCCTGGCCCCTCATGCCGCCGCTGGTACCCGTGCGCTTGATGCCCTCGTCGGGGAAGCGCCAGTCGCCGCCGAGGACGCACATGCTGAGGGAGCCGCCCGTCTCGTCGGAGCGGGCTTCGAAGGGGGACTTACCGACGAGACAGGCGTAAAGGGTACAGCCGAGGGACCAGATGTCGACCTTTGTGTCAATTACAGTGCCGGTTTGGACGTCAAAGAGCTCCGGGGCGCGGTAGGGCATCGTACTGTGCTCGGCGGCCGTGTCCTGCGTCGCGATGGCGAGGGAGTGTGAGGTAATGGGGATCGGGGAGGGTGCGATGGAGCCGAGGTCCATGAGGATCGGGTTCGAGCCCGAGTCGTCGATCATGATGTTTCCTTAGGAAGGGCATGTTAGTCCGGTCCGTTTGGCGTTTGGTGGGGAGGGGACCTACCTGGCTTGATGTCCCGATGCGCGTACGACTTGACGTCGCCGGACCCGGGCGTCTCGCCCTCCATCAGCGGCCTCTGCTGCTCGTTCTCGTCCTCATCGTCGGCGCCTGTGGCGGCGGCCATGCTCGCGACGCGCTTGCCGCCCTTGTTCTTCCCGCTCTTCTTCCTCTTGGGGCCGTTACCCTGGTCTTCCTCATCGCCGTTGCCCATCTCCATCCTCTCGATGCCGGGTTGCCCGCGCCCACCACCGCCGCCGCCGGTATAATGGTGCATCTCCCTGAGCGCCTTGCAGACGCCCAGGAACAGGAGCATGAGCCTGCGCTCGGGGAAGGCGGTGTGGTTGACGAGGTTAGCGTTGATGAGGTCCTGGAGGTTGCCGCGACGGTAGTAGGGCAACAGGACGTAGACGGTCTTGGAGCCGGGCTCGCCGCCGCGCTCGGTGGCAATGGCATGGTCGATGCTGTGGATGATGCCGGGAGACCGGGCGAAGAGGCGATAGGCGTCAACCTCCTTCATAGCCTGGGCGACGGATTCGGCGCCGAAGGGGCAGCGGATCTTCTTGAGGGCGAGCTCTTCCGAGGTCTGGGTGTCTTGGACGAGGTACACGTAGGAGAAGCCGCCCTGCGCAACGGTGCCGTTAGTTTGCGGTTTGTTTTTTTTGTCTAAAGAGCCCGCTTCCAGCACGAGAGATGGGGCCGCGTATTGGATCGGGACGTAGAAGAAGAAGAACAAGAGGACTTACCTCGCCCAGAAGGCGGAGGATCTTGAAGTTGCGGTTGTTAATCTTGAGCGTCGGCGAGCCGGGGAAGCAGTTCAGGCAGTTCCCGAAGGAGTAGAGCACGTCGAGGAGCATTTGCGCCATACCGGGCCAACGGAATGCGACGGAAATGTCGATACGTGTGTGCGTGTGTTTGCGTGTGGGTTCCGCGACTTTTGACGCCGTGGTTGTCGGTGCTGTAGACAGCTCGCCGGGCGTCGCCGTATGCTGTCCGTCAGTTAAAAGTGGGTCGATACAATTGGCTTTCAGCGCTGTTGAATTGCTGACAATCGACACGTGGGTAATGTCCGGTCGTGGGTATCGCAGTGAAAACCTCGGCCTCGTTTGTTTGCGATTAGAAGTTGTGGTTGCAGCTGCGCGGGATACAGGACAGCTAGCTCTCCCACTTTGTTTCTCTGCCACCCCAGTAACCAAGTGGGCAGAAAGAAGCTGGCGCAGGTCCTCCACGTTCCAGCAAGTCCGAGGTGGGCGTGGCAGGTAGGTACCCTGGAAAAACAAGGATATGTGCTCTTCACGGAACAAGCCGGGATTGCCGTTCTTCGTATCCAAGTGGCCACTGGGAACGATTGGAGATGACGGGTAGAAGTCAAGGAGAATGGGCCGTCGTCCGCAATTGCGAGAAAGTGAATGTCGTAGGGCAAGCTTTTCCCAAGACAATAATAAAAACGAGCCGAAGGGGAGGAAACATCAGATCAACCGCTTGCTGCCCCTGCCTCGAGGCTGTGCTTTGCTGAGCTAAGGATCCGCGTAGGCAGAGACCATGAAACGCCACGGGGACCCCTCGGAGGTGGGGAACACCACGACTAGCTCCAGGTCCAGAAACGGCATTGAACGCTGATGTGCCTGCGGCCACCGGCGACGGGAAGACCCTTGCCGTCCAAATGCAGCCCGTCCCTAGCCTTCGGGGACTCGACCAAAATATGCATTCCTCAGCGAACTCTCTATCACATGTGATGCTTTATCGCACAGTTGTTCATGACTTCGCGTCTTTGTGACCATGTCGGAAACCCATGACTTAGGTCTACTATCATTAACTTATATAAACCCCTTGAGATGAATACCAAGGAGACCAAAAGAGCCGCTGCATCACACTCGGAGTGACTAGGAACCGAGTCCAGCGCGAAAAAAACCAACGCTGGGAAACAAGCTCTTCCTCGAACTGTGGTATCATCGCTGCAAATGCTATGACGAACGAAAACCTTCCATCGCTCTGACAACCCAGGAATCCAATACAAAACTGATCATTTTATGGTTTTACCTTCACAATAATTCAACACAAGACAAGGTTGCTGACGTGATAGCGTCTTATCCCTTGTACAGGCCCCTTCTCGCTGTTGTGACTTAAAGTCGATCCTCCTAGAATGCGTCTTCGAACGGACAATCGTAGCTCTCGTGACCGTCTCTTTCGCAAACGGCACACCACTTTGAGTTGTCTATCACACCTGTCTCCTTGCCAGCCACAGGGCCGGTCTCCATAGGGTTCGGGAGCATCTGGGTGTTGGACAGAGGAACCGTCGTCTTGGGCTTGACCGGTGATAGGGGGGCAGGCTTGTCTTCAGCAGAAACAGGTTGTATGTCCTCTTTGGTGGCATCCTTGATCGTCTTGATGGCGTCGCCATTGGTCTTGGTAGTCTCGGTGCCAAACATATTGGTGCAGGTCAGGATATCGTGGCCGCCCGTCTCGCAGATCTCGCACCAGAGAGTACTATTGTCGGTGACAGACGAGTAGGCATCACTCTCTGGCATAGTGTCTAATGTACGGACGCGCTTGTGCGTCGCTGTGGGGGGTTGAGCCTCGCTGTTACGCGTCAGAATGATCGTGTCCCGCGAATCGCGAAGCGACGAGCGTTGAGCACCACCGTTGGTGGCAGAGTCAGTTTGCAGGGTTGCAGCGCTCCCCCTACGGAGCAACTCTAGTTCCCGCTCGAGCTCCTCTTCACGCTGGGTTTTTTCCTTGACAACAGCACGGAGCTCTGCCAAGTCACGCTCCAGCTTGTCTCGAGCCAGGGCATTCTCGCGGACTGAAGGGTCTTCCGGCTTATCGGCGCCTTCACCAGGAACGGAATCCCGACTGAGGGAGTGGATGATCGCCTTCAGTCCCCGGATCTCATCTTCCTTCTGCTCGAGCTCCTTGGATCCAGAGAGACGGTCACCGCTTGGTGACCCTCTAGACCCATTCACCGCAGCCGAAGCCTTTTCGCGCTCACGGCGCAACTCGGTCCGCGTGCGCTCAACTTCGCCTCGAAGAAACTCGACCTCTCCTCTGGCTTCGGCTTCCCCACGCCGGGCATCTTCGAGGCCCTCTTCGAGTTCTTGAACCAGTTCCTCGAGCTGCTTCAACTGTCGAGCGACTGAGTCCACGTCATCAGTCCGGGATTCGAGCTCTCGGATTTCAAGCATAAGCTCGTCGATTCGTTTTTCGTAAACTCTTTCGGTCTCGGTACTAGCCATTTCCAAGGTGTCGATTGTGCTTCGGAAGTCTGCCCGATGCGCATCAAACTCGGCTGTGAGCATCGCAATCTTCTCGTTCTTCTCTTTGACCAATGCTCGAAGCTGCGCCGTGTCCTTATTGTCAAAGCTATTTCGTTTTGGTGCTCCCAGATCCGAATTCTCCATAAGGCTCTGCAGCTCGGTGAGACTGCTTTCCATCTCTGCCAGGGTGGCTGCCTGGTCTCTCAACTGCCTTTCGCGATCTTCCAGGTTTGCCTTCAGGCGCTCGATTTCGTCGTCATTTTGGGCTCGCGACGCAGCTCTCGACCCAGCCCCAGCCCGGGAAGGAGCTCTGAACTTGGAGTTGTATGAAGAGATCGAGTTCGTGCTTCCATTTGTCTGTGTTCGCTGCAAAGTATTCGACGGCATGGGCTCCTCGTCAAACATTGACGTTTGACCAAGGGCAGATGCACTGCGAGGTCCAAGACTTAATTTCGTATCCAGTCTTGGCGTCTTGCTAGGATCTCCAGCCGTCCCACGTACACTCTGAGCGAAGCGGTTGAGGGAAGGCGAGCTATGTTTGGAGGACACTTTGCCAGGAGTCACCAAAGACGGTCTCGGACCGGGCGTCATCTGCAGTTTTCGCACGGGCGACTCTGGCCGGACGGAGGGCCTGCTGATGGACTTCTTCAGCGCAGGACTGGGAGCCCGGCCTGGCCCGACAGATTTGCTCAGCATCGGTACCGAGGGAGTAGAAGGGGTATGATTCGTCGAGTTTTGTGTGCCGGGTTTAAGACCACTCGTCGTACTCGCCGTGGGGGTATGAGGGAACGAGCTGTAGGACGAGCCCGACGGCGAGTCCCTCCTGACGGCTTTATTGAGGGGAAGAAAGATGCCTGCGCCAGGGAGAGTCGTGGAGAAGTACGAGACACTATACAAAATCAGGGGCGGGTTCTGTCGTCAATTTGACTTTGGCAGAAAACTTACCCTTCCACCTCGCCAGAGTTCTTGCCCCTCTGTGCGAACTCGGGGTGCAACTCAACGCCAGCGAAAGTGCCCTTCTTCCCGTCCACCGACCCAATGAAGCGAACGGTGCCGAACATGTTCCCGGGAACTTCGACGACATCGCCAACGGCGAAGTCGTTCCCGACCTTACCGGGAGTAGCGGGTGGCATTTTGCGATCGGGTGACGACTCGGCTAGCACACTGTTGTAGGCGTAAGACTCGCTTACATCGGGAATGGAGGCGAGTGATTTGGGAGTCAAAGCGGCCAGGGAGGACTTCCGAGGCAGGGAGTGGTGGGACGGCGCGAGGCGCGAATGAGTGTTGTAGAGAGAGTTGAGACTAGGGGAAGAAGCAGTTGTAGAGGAGGCGAAGTTGCTAGTGTAGCTGGTAGCTTTCCGAAGAGTTCGCGGTGGGTGGCCGAGACTTCTATGGGTCGGCGCGTGAGCGGCGGTCGCTGTTGTTGTGGTGACGGACATGATGAACAGCCGGGTAAGTTTGGGTATTGAAGACAGTGCAATAAATTAGTGGATACCGCAGCTCGTATACAGGGACGCGGGCAGTAATGCAACCGCTAGATTGAGAGCTGGACGGCAACTCTACTGGAGCTTAGCTCTTTAGTAGGCGGCACAGGGTCAGGCCAGGTTGTCGTGGTTGCGCCTATTGTTACCCCGGGGCCCCACTGGTCGGTCGTCCACAACGCAAAGGTAGGTAGCGTAACGGGAGCTTAGCTCGCTCGCCTTGGCAGCAGTAGGAGCCACGCAGCAAATGAGATGCGTGATGAAGGTCCTGTTTGATGGCGGAACGAAATGATCTTTGCGAAGACCTCAGTATTCCGTGTGCGGGAGAAGGAACACAAATATGTGGCGGGAGGGAAGAACGCTCGGTTGATTGGGCGCGAAGGAGAGACAGTATTCGTACGCTATGCCGAAAGAGCACCACCGTGAGGTGTGATCGCCTGGGTCTTTGACCTTTCTGTAAGGTCGAGGATGGGTTGTCTGTGAGTTTGACATCCGCTGTAACTCTGCGTCTTTCAGTGACCTTGACAGATCCAGAAGCTCCGAGCAGCTTGGCTGAGTGGTTGGGAAGTGACCCGTGCCACGGAAACGGGTCGTTTGGATATGGCGTTGGCGATAGGAAAGCAGGACAAAGGAGTCCTGGGCGAAGGACGTGGCAAAGAAGAAAATAAAACAAAATCAGAGGTCCACAGAGGAGGAGGAGGAGGGGCTTTTTGTGACGATATGAGCCTCCTTTTCCCCTTGCTCGGCACGGCCGCTCTTGATGGGTTCTCCGACTTTGGCCACTTTATGGCTCAGCCTTTTGGGTAAGGATCCGTGGGCTAAATCCCATGCGCAGGGGTAGTGGCCGTTAAGGAAAGCGGGAAATGGGTTGGTGATCCGTCGGGTTGTGTACGTTGTAGCGTGGCCCTTGTGGTTGGTGGTTTTTTTTGGGGTAGCGCAGCGCGGCGCGAGGTATCAGTAATCTGGGGTGAAATGGGACGAGGGGTGAACGGACGGGTTGGTGTAGGGAAAGACAAGATCAAGCAAGACACATCTAGAACAAGAAGGCGGATAACAAGACCGTTGAATAAGTAAGTAGGCAGGCAGTAGAAGCTGGGCGATGGGTGGGCAGAGAAATGGGAGAGAGTCGCTGGCCCTGGAATGTCCGTCGCATTCATGACATTTATTCCATGAACCTCACTTTATGGTACCGCAACAGCTGGCAATGTTTACATGGATCCAGATCAAGTAAGAGTAGTGCTGCAGCCGCAGCTGCTTCGTCGCGGCGAATGTTAAAGAGACTTGCGCTGCAATTGGACCATCCAGCATGGATCTGCGCCGCTCCTTCCATCATTGACCGCAGATTTGAGCGAGGCAACCTTGAACGTCAAGGGGAAGACTCCTCCTCTGGTTGCCCCCCGAGTTCGTGCCCTCACGGTTGCCATGACGCTGTGGTCGCTTTGCATCGTTTAAGCCGTGGCCGGTTACCGCTGCATGCAGATAGCGGGTCTAAACTAGCCCAATCCCCAGGCAAAGACCGGGTGAGGCGGTGGGGGGTTCGTCTCCAGTTGACTGCCTGCATGCGACGTGTTCGTTGTCTTTGATGCTGGTATCGGCGGCAAAAGAACCACATATCTATCTACCTGCTGGACCCATTTATTTGGAATGCACCATCAGATAATCTTTACATGAGCCGTGGTGGACAATTACTGTCTGACTCCAAGGTCTACTAGTGGCGTAGCATCTGTGTAATTGGTTCGAAAGACCAGTCATGGTCCGATGTTGAGAAGGGGAAGGAGGTGGGCAGCAATTTTACTCTGGCTTCCTTTTCCCGGCCGTCCGTCTGCGCCGCCCAAATTTAGATAACGCCATTGAGTATTGATGGATTGGTTGGACCCAGATCGGATGAGGTGCTAGCCGGCCAGTAAGAAAGCGCACTTATTTACCGACAGTACGAGCGTTCCTTCTTGAGCCAACCCATGTTTGCCAGGCGATCAACCGTGATACTGCTGATATCTCTTCGGCACATGACATCTTGAACTCGCCCGTTTGTAGATTTCACGGCCGAGAATGGCAGTGAGCTATTGGGGGAGGGAGGTGAGATGGTCCCTGGGTACGCTCCCCCGGGCCATGGGTCCAGTGTGCACCCGCGTCGGTACCTGACGGGCTAGCCCTGTGGAGTGTACTGTGTGGATGACATGGTGTCTAGAATGCTGGTTATATGGCACGCCAAATGGAAGCTTATTATCATATCAGACGAAATAAGTCGCGCCAATCGACGAATGCTATTCGGCCTTCCATCCTTCAGGAACACCAGCTCAGTTCTTTACTTAGGTGGGTGCGTCGCAGAATCGCGCAATGATTGGCGATACTGGCGGCACTAGAAGCAGTGTATTTAACTTCCATGCCAATCACATATCTTTGTTACAAGTACTTGTCAGGGATGGCAACGTTGTGTCTCCATTGGAATGAAGTTGATCTTTATGCCACCACTGGACGGGCTTCCTACCTCCCGAAACAGTGATATGCTTACATAGTAGTAGACTCCGGGTCCTGTGCATCAACCCGTGCCTTTTCCACTTGCCTTGCACGCGCAACACCCAGCCGGCATTAACGTGTTGACTGGCGTTAACCTAATTGTAGGATGTTCTCTACTGCTCTTCCACGGATCATGCCAAACCAATTAAAGGCTTTCTCGTCCCTGTGCTGTACGGGCGCGTCCGTGTTGATCAGAATCTCGATGTAAAGCACAGCTGCGCATGTAGTCGATACCACATGGATCAACCTATCTGCTGCTTAATTCGTCTGTTGTCACAGCCACTGATCGTTCAGCTTGGCGAGTCGTGGCTCCTCTCGATGATATCCTCCCTTCCAATGGGTCGCGTGCCGTCGTTAAACACCATCGCCTCGCGGTGTTGGCGCCTAAGACGTTGTTCCTCGGCCGAGTGCTCCAGCGTACGAGGCATTTGCTCCACCGCCTGCAGTCCCTCATCTTCGCCATCCACGTTGTATAATGTGGAATGTAACACAACGCTGAAGCCAGAAAGATTTGGATCTGGGTTCACACTTGGGCTGGCTTTGTTGGAAATGAGATTACACGCGAGGATTGCCTTTGCTCCCTGCGTAGTGTGCGCGATCCTTGTGACAATATCAACGATGCGGTTGTTCTTGTGTTCCATGTAGTAGGTGAAGTTCTCCTGCCGCTCGGCGTCATTTTCTCCCCAATTTTGCTTAGCTAGCCACTTTTCCACGAACTTGGCCTTCACCAACATATCTGCGCCGTACTTAGTGATAAGCTCGAGGACGAACATGAGGCAGAACCGTTCAGCCATATCGCGGAGATAGTATTCGTCCCAGTATTTATCGTTCAATTTCGTTTTTTCCACGTCGGCTAGGCTCAACTCGAGGGACCTAACGAGGGCGGTGTATGCTCTCCAGGTGTGCAACTTCGAGAGACCCTCTGCGAAGTCTAGACGTCAGTCAGCTCTTCCGCTCATCAAGTTGAACGCCAATTCCTACCATTAGTTTGTCCCGTCAATGTTGCCAGAGCACGGAGGTTCGTCATGCGAGTGTCGTAGTCTGGCCGCGTGATACCATAGAGCAAATGTCGGACAGTGTCGGAATCATTGACAGCGCGATCGCAGAGTATCTTGATAGCAACGTCACGGATGGAGAAGTTTGGATGACATAGCAGCTTGTCGAGAGTCTCGAGACCGAGCGCATCCTCGGTCTCTTGGGTGATGTATTGCGTCTTCGGCGGCGTGATCTTGACTTCGTTGTCGTCGCGAATATACGTTAGCATCTGGGTCATCATAGTGATCATGCCGAACGTAGCGGCACCGATGCCCACGAGGATGACGCGCTCATCGCGAAGAAATGACACCAGAGTCATGTTGTCTGAAGATGAAGCGAAGAGTATTGAACCATGATCAAATACCAGGTTTTCAGCATTGAATGAAGTAAGGCTAAGGAAAAGCAAGTTTTGGGATTGGCACCAAAAAGCGTGGGCAGCTCACACGTACTAGCAATCGAGCTCGAGCCATGACGACTAACTGATTTTGCCTTGCGCCACCGCCCTGCCATCCCCACCACCATGATAAGATAAGAAACTTTGTGCTTCGTTCCGCTCAAAAAATTTGGGCAGGCGAATGCACTATTTCCTATCAGCAGCGTCCACAACACCGAGTCCCAGGCACACACGACAAGATGGCCGGCTCGCAGCTCAAGCGACTCAAATCTTCCCTTAGGGAGCAAGGAATTGTTGGTCCTCAAAAGTCTAAGAAGCAGAAACGCCAATTCGCGCAAGATGAAAAGGCCAAAACCGACAAGCGTCTGCAGAGAGGTGCGGCCCTCAGCCAGATCAGGGAACAATTCAACCCCTTCGACCTCAAGCATAATCCCCGAGGCCCCAAGTTCGAAATCACGACCAACAGGCCTCAGAATGGGGCCGCGGCAAAAGGCATCCATGGCCGTCCGACCGAGGCCAAGTCTTTGGGCGAGCAGAGGGTGAGGATGCCCTGTTGTGTCTTTGCAGAACGCGATGCTAACGAACGCAACAGCGCCGAGAGACTTTGCTAGTTGAGATGCAGAAGCGGAACAAGGTCGGTGGAATACTGGATCGTCGATTCGGTGAAAACGACCCGTCTTTAGCCGAGGAGGAGAAGATGCTCGAACGTTTCGCCCGTGAAAAGCAGAGAACGCACAAGAAGACGTCACTCTTCGATCTTGAAGAGACCGAGCCGCTCGGCGAGTTGACACATATGGGCCAAACTCTCAATTTCGAACACCACGACGACATGGCAGATGACTTCGAAGAAGACGATCTCGGGGAAGATGGCGACAGCGACTCCTCTTTGACCGAGAAGAAGAGGCTCAAACGCCTCCGCAACGCTGGACTTGGTGATGACGACGAAGCAACTGCCGATGAGCCTGAGCGGAAAAAGTCGAAAAAGGAAGTTATGGAAGAGGTTATTGCGAAGTCGAAGATGCACAAATACGAACGCCAAGTCGCGAAGGACGAGGACGAGGACCTTCGGATGGAACTGGACAAGGAGCTACCGAATCTCCACGCTCTCCTGACGTCTCACGGCAAGTCTGATGCGCAGAAGAAAGAGGAGGCAAGCAGATTGATTGCTGGAGTTGACAAGTCTACTTTCGAGAAGGAATTTGACTTGCGTCTCAAGAAGCTCGTGCAGGATCGCCGAGCAGCCCCCACGGAGCGCACAAAGACCGATGAGGAAATGGCGGCGGAAGAATCGAAGAGACTAAAGGAGCTGGAGGAGAAGCGCTTGAAGAGAATGAGAGGCGAGTCAGTCTCTGACGATGAATCTTCGGATGAGGAGATGGAGGATCAGACCCTCGAAGAGCCTGCTTTCCAGTTCATCCCTGAAGAAGAGGACGAAGATTTTGGTCTCGGAAAAGGTATCAAAACCAAAACTCGTCCCACTGCGACTGAACTGGGTTTCGATGACGAGGATGACTTCCTTATCGAGGACGACTTGATTGCCAGCGGGTCGGACCTGGAACCCATCGAGAGCGAAGAGGAGCAATCGGACGAGGAGGAAGAGTATCAGGGGGACGATTCCGAGGACGACGAGTTTACAAAGGGACTGCTTACTGAGGAGGAGACGAAGAGCTCTCTATTTGCGAATGCGGGCGGAAAAGGGGGGCAAGAGGTCGATAGCTCCGATCTGCCTTACACATTTCCATGTCCACAAAGTTTCGAGGAGCTGCTGGCACTATCGCAGAAATACCCTAGCGAAAAGTTGCCCACCATCGTCCAACGTATTCGAGCTTTGTATCACCCGAAGCTTGACAGCAAGAACAAGGAGAAACTCGGAAACTTTGCTCGCGCACTTGTGGACATGGTCGGTAACGGCCCTCGCAATGAGAGCAGTCCGTCTTTCCAAGTATTGGAGAGCCTGGTTCGACACATCCACTCTTTGGCCAAGATGTTCCCAATCGATATTGCAAACCAGTATCGGTCTCACTTGGAGGAAATCAGCCAGCAACGGCCTCTGGCTGTCCACAATGGAGACCTGACGCTGCTGACCGCGATTGCATCGACATTCCCGACGTCGGATCATTTTCACCAAGTTGCGACTCCCGCAATGCTTACCATCGGCCGTTACCTCGGCGGCAAGATCCCGCAAACGCTCAGCGACTACGCCATCGGCATCTACCTGTCGACTCTGGCGGTTCAGTACCAGCAGTTCTCGAAGCGATACGTGCCCGAAGTCATGAATTTCGCCCTCAACACCCTGTGCGCGATAGCTCCCTCGGCGGTTCCGAAGGTCTCCGGTAACTTCCCTATCCACGAACCCGCACCGGGCATTCGTGTCTCGAATGCGCGGAAGACAGAACTCCGACGGCTTTCGCCGGCTGACTGTGCCATCGCGGAGGTATCTGGCGCTGAGGCCGAGTCCAAGAAGACTGCTCTGCTCTGCACGACTCTTCAACTCCTCGACGCTGCAGCTGACATCTGGGCCGCAAAGCCATCGTTCCCCGAGACCTTTCAGCCCGCATTCGATATCCTTGCGCACTTGGGCAGCACATCAATCCGCTCCAAGCTGCCCGAAGCGCTGGGCGAGCAGCTTGACAAGTCCAAGCTCAAGCTGGAACGGATGCTAAAGATCGCACAGCTCTCGCGAAGACCGCTCGAGCTGCACCACCACCGTCCGTTGGCCATCAAGACGTACATCCCCAAGTTTGAGGACTCGTACGACCCGAACAAGCATTACGACCCGGATCGCGAGCGTGCGGAGATGGCCAAGCTAAAGAAGGAGCATAAGAAGGAGCGCAAGGGCGCCATGAGAGAGCTGAGGAAGGACGCCCAGTTCATGGCCCGCGAGAATCTGCGCTTGAAGAAGGCGAAGGACGAGGCGTACGAAAAGAAGTACAAGCGGCTCGTGGCGGAGATTCAGAACGAGGAGGGCAGGGAGGCCAACGCGTACGAGAGGGAAAAGGAGGGCAGGAAGAAGGCCAGACATCGCTAGATGGCCTGCGCTTGCAGTGTTTGTTTTATGGCATAGTATCAAAAAGTTTGTTGGTGCTTTTCGGCATGGTAATTTCCTTTTGTATTCAATACCAGCATATACAAGTGTGGATGAGTTTAGAGCCCATTTGAGGATCCTCCTATAGAAAATTATGAAGAGATGCGCCCGATCCAGCTTTACATTGTTGCTCATGCAAAATTATCAACTTGATTGCACCCCTAAGTAACTGAAGTTCATGTTGTAAGCACAGCTCGCCTGGACGAAGGGTGGTGCGTATCTAGGTAGGGTGGACCCGTAAGAAACCGCCATCGCATCCATGATTCAGACAGTGTTCCTCACAGCCAACCGCAGCTGACGTGGGGTTCCACCACCACTCGGCCCCAGAGCTCAGGCACGATACGCCAACAACTCCTGTTAACATTGGCCTTCACTTCACAATTACTAGACTGGTTGATAATTCTCCATGATAGCAGCTGATACGCACGTACAAAGACATTAATCTCTGGTTGTGAGTCCAATATTCTCCAGTTGGGCGCGAACAACAGCCTCCTGCGATTTGCTTGCATATTCATAACAGCTGAGGGGCACCTTGATTTTCTACGCCAATTCCAACACGCTTATACGGACTTACTTATTGCGTGGCATATAACCCAACTAAAACCTGCCACTTTTCCTTCTTCCTAAATAATACTGAGCCTGGCACAATAAATAGGCAGCCGTCGGAAAACGCCACATACGCAGGAAAAGACCCGCCAGCCATGGATCCAAAACAATCAGCAGCCTCGGACGAGGAGGACGACTACATGAACATGACCTTTGAAGAGCCCCCGGCCGCCAAGAAAACCCAACCGGAAACTTCCCTCCAGCGGCGTCAGCGTCTCAAGCGCGAGGGCGAGATCCGCGGGCGCGTCAAGTCCAAGGAGGAGCTCGCGGCCGAGGAGGCGGAGGCGCGCGAGAAGGCCCTCTCGCGGTCGCTCCTCGAGGACGCGGCCGCCAAGAAGAGCAAGGGCCTCGCGATGATGGCCAAGATGGGCTTCAAAGGCGGCGCGCTTGGCGCCGCGGGCGAAGGCGCGCGCACGGAGCCGATCGCCGTCGAGATCAAGGAGGACAGGGGCGGCATCGGGATGGAGAGCGAGAGGAAGCGCAAGATGCGGGAGGCGGCGGAGCGGATTGAGGAGGAGGTCAGGGAGGGCAAGAGGGTCAAGGTCGACCCGCTGGAGTACCGGGACCGGGTAAGGCAGGAGAGGGAGGCGGCGAGGGTGCAGGCGCAGGTCTTTGCGGCACAGAGGGTCGCGGAGAGGATGGCGGACGAGAAAGATGCCGAGGGTGGCTCGCAGGTCGTCGTCGTCGTCGTGGACAGCGACAAGGAGGCGGGCACCAAGAAAGAAGGGGGGAAGAAGCCGGCTCCCGGCGCAGCAGCGAGACCACTCAAGTCCATCAACGTCCTCTGGCGGGGTCTGGCGCGGCACCGGGAAGAGAAAGAACGGGATCGGCGGATGCGATATGACCTGGAGCAGAGCCTTTCGCGGCTGCCGACGTACGAGGATGACCAGGAGGACGAGGACGACCGCACGGCGCTGGGGAAGAAGCGCACGGTCTACGTCACGGCGGAGGACCTGGACGAGGAGGATCCCGAGCTGGACGAGTTCAACGAGCTGGAGGACGCCGAGAAGCTGATGCGGCTCGTCGAGTACCTGAGAAAGGAGCATCGGTACTGTTTCTGGTGCAAGTTTACTTATCCAGACGACGAGATGGAGGGATGCCCCGGCGTCACAGAGGAAGATCACGATTAGTTAAGGATGGATGTATAGTGTTTTGGTAGTAGAAGGTCAGCTGGTCACATACTTAGGACGGGGAACAAGATAGTTCTTAGTTGTGATGGGTGTCATTATAGTTGTAAAATATCTAGATATATTCGATACAGGGTGGAGCTGCGGCCTCTAGGCCTTTCCCGCCAAAACATCGTACACGCCCATTTCTTTGGCCACCTCTGCCATGTGGCTCTGTGGGACAGGACCAACTGCCTCCATATACACCGTCTGCATGTAATGCGAGAGCTCGTCCCCGCGCTGCTTAGGCGTCATCTCATCCAGCGTCGTCGACCGACCGAGTAGTTTCTGCCGATTCTCGATGTGTGCGTCGATCCTCCGCTTCACGAGACGGAGCTTCTGTCTCGCCTGAGCGGTCTCCCACGAGAGACTGGTGGTTTCGAGCAGCATCTCGAGGGCCAGCACCTCGGGGGGCGTGAATTTGAAGACGTCCTTGAGAGCCTGCAGCGCGGTGACGATGCCCAGGTTGTCCTTGAGCCGGCGGAACGTGTGCAGAATCTTCCGCGCGAGCTGGCCGTCGAGGCCGTCGCCCTCGAAGACGGATGAGAAACGGACCATTTCCGCAAAGGTCTCGCGCGCAAGCCTGACTTCGTTGGCGAGCTCCTCGCCGGTGACGTTGTGCAGCCTGTTCGCGCCCAGCATCTTCCACAACGCCATAAACGTGTACGGGTCCGGCTTTACCTGGCGCTCGTACACCAGCGCTCGGTAGAGCTCTCGTGCCTCGGAGACGTTGCCATTCTGAGAGTATGACTCCATCAGCTGGTTCATCATGAACGCGTCTGGGCTGATCTCTGCTTCTCTAAAAGCGTCCCAGAGCTTGTCCATCTCGCCCTGCAAGCGTCGAACGCGGTAGTTTTCGGCGAGCAGAGAGAACGTCTCGAGCGTGGCCTTCGGCATTGCGCCAAGCTTGCTATTCTTGGAGACTTCGACAATGCGAACCGGCCGTTCCATGGAGGACAAACGACCACGGTTGCGGACAAATTCGATGCGGGCGTTGATCATGTCCCATGCCAGCTTGTCCGCCCTTTCCACATCATCAGCGCCGCCGGACCTTTGCCAAGCGCCAATGAGCCCATTCACCTGGATAGCGGCTGCCTCGATGCCCTTAGAGCGCATGAAGTTGAAGACGCTATACGCTCCATCCAGGTCGCCGGCACCAATGAGTCGCTTCAGCCACTTGCCAAAGAAAAACTTATTGCCGATCTGGGATGGCAAGCGTTGACGTCCCTTCAGCTCCACTGTCCCGGAGCTCATCATGTCGACAAATGCTTGCAGTGCCGCCTCCGTTTGGCTTGTCGTCAAAAAGAAGGAGATGACTTGGTCGTAGTCCTCGAGCCCCATGGATGTGCCGAGTAGGTCTCTCATACGCCGGTACGCGTCCCATGCCTTCGTTCTCGCTTCGTTCGTAGGATTTGCCGCGCAGCTCCTGATGTAAGGCATCAAGATGCGTGGGTCAAGTTGACGTTCCAGCAACTTGTTAACCGCACGCTCTGCTTGAGCCAGATCCCCCTGTTGACAAAACATACGTACTCCAAGCTCCCAGAAGTCCTGGAATGTCTCGGCACCGTTGTCACCGAGGGTCGATCTACATCGCTTCCAGTTGTCGATGGCCTTGGCCTCCCACCCGTCTAGGAACATGGCTTCCACAGTCACCAGCTGCTGTGGCGGGCTCAAGGCTACCTTCGCCTCACTCATGTCCCTTGCCAGCAGCGACACATAAGTGAGCCGGCTAGGATTGTGTTCCTTGTTCACTGACAGGATCTCCCAGAGAAGGTTCCACACTTCTGGAGGAACATGCGCCCATGCCCTTGCTAGAGATTGCCGCGCTGCACTGTACGCCTTCCACACCGGTTGGATATTTTTCGCATGGACACCCTCACCTCTTCGTATTTCCTTGGTCGTTCGTGAGAGGAGGGCGTTCAGTCGTGTGATACGCTTTCGCTGGTTGAAGCTCCATACGTTTTCGGGGATCTGCGGAATCGGGGGGTGCTTCTTTCGTTTCGAGGGGTCCTCGCGAGCCGTGGCCTCGATGACATCCATGGTCGCTACAGGGTTCGAATCATCGAATTCGCTGACATCAAATCCCGCTGCGTCAAGCTGCCTTTCCAAGTCTTTGATGTAATCGTCCAGTTTCGCCTTCATCTCCTCGGTGCTGTTGGCCCCTCCCAGTTTTCCTTCAAAATCCTTTGCGATCGACTCGACGTCACTGATTCCGAATGCCCCCAAACCACCTTCTTCTTGAAGTCGGAATAGCATGCGCCGCATGTCAGACGCCACTTCTACTTTGAGTTCCTCCTCCATCTCAGCCACTCCGCTCATGGCGTCTGTGAACGCATCCTCGCTCCCAAGCTGCTCGATCTTGCCTGTTTGGCTCTTTTCGAAGAACTTCAAGATCGGTTCACCAGTTCGTTTTTGTGTCAGCTCTTTTAGAAGTGAAGCAGCTGCTTTGTTGGAATCGGTATCGTCTCGAGGGGGTTGCGTAGAAGAGACGGTGTTTTCTGTTCTCTGAAGGCCGGAACGAGGACGAGCTCCAAGCTGGGCCACCCGGGAGCTATGCCGTATAGCCCATGATTGCGGGGCCGAAGACCCAAGTATTGACCGGCAAGACTGGCAAATGAATGTGTTTCGACATGCTAAGTCGCGGAATAAGGATCTACGAGACATAAGGAAAGTCGTAGTTGGTTAACGTGAAGAAGAACAAGGGACGTGTGGCTTTCGGCGCAATAGAAGCTCCTAGTAAAGAAACAGGTCAGATTTTTTGATGGACCCTGAACCCAAATGCCATTGCACTCGCACCTAGGCGTCTCACAGCACGCGTTAATGTAGCTTATCTTATCTTGGCCCCATATTTACGATATACCGCCTGCCGTCTGCAGCAAAGCCGGCCGCCACACAGAGGCAGAAAAAGATAATTTTCTAGATCCCACCTTCGTCTTCGCTCTTTGGTCTAGGACATTGGCAGTACCGCAAAACGACGGCACGATGGCCTCCGCTCCCGATTACCTGCGGTTCACCGGACATAGATCCTTCGCCCAGCGATTGATCATCTCAACCCTCACTGGCCGGCCTGTGCACATCTCCAAAATTCGCAGCTCATCGCCGACAAATCCAGGTCTCGCGCCGCATGAGATCTCGTTCCTCCGCTTGCTTGAAGCCGTTACCAATGGCAGCTCCATGCAGATTTCGTACACAGGTACGACAGTTACGTACCATCCTGGCCTGATAACCGGTACCATGGCTGGATTCGGCGCATCCGACGGCGACGTCATCGAACATAGCTTGCCGCCGAACAACACCCGCGGTGTTACTTACTTCCTCCTTCCAATCTGCCTCCTCGCGCCATTCTCGAAGGCCCATGTCAATATCCGATTCACAGGTCCGGGCGTTATTACTTCGGCGACCGAGACGGGTGACATTTCCGTCGACTCCTTCCGCACAGCCATCCTGCCCCTTTTTGGTCTTTTCGGAATACCACCAGCGCGAATTGAGCTGAGAGTGCTCTCGCGATCTTGCCCCGGGAAGGGTGGCAGAGGAGGCGGCGGTGTCGTGGAACTTAGATTCGCAAGCCAAGTCCGACTTCCGAAAACCCTTCACCTCAACCGAAACCCCGGAAAGATAAGGAGGATACGCGGAGTCGCATACTGCACTGGAGTCTCGGCGTCCAATAACAGCCGGATGATCCATTCAGCTAGAGAGGTGCTGAACGCGCTGGTTTCGGACATACACATTGCGGCGCAATACGATACTGCACCGCTGGTCACCGCTGCCGACAAGTCGAAGACACGGACAGGTATCGGTTTTGGTCTTAGCTTGGTCGCCGAGTCAAGCTCTGTCGGTGTGCTCTACTCTGCCGACGTCGTTGCTCCCCCGGTGGGTGGTGTCGTTCCCGAAGATATTGGCAAGAACTGCGCCTACCAGTTGCTGGAGACCATCGCGCAAGGAGGCTGCGTCACCAAAACATCTGCCAGCACAGTGTTGACACTGATGGCAATGGGATCCGAAGACGTGGGAAGATTGAGAATAGGACGGGATGTCATCGGCACAGAAGAAATGGTAGGGCTTGCGCGGGACCTGCGGACGTTTGGCGCGAGCAGTTGGGGTTTGAGAGATGTGGAAGACGATGACTCAGGCGACATACTTGTTACGGTAAAGGGAAGCGGCGTTGGTAATGTTGGTCGTAAGATTGCTTAATATATCAGGGTGCGCAACGAAACTAGAATCGCTGCATGGACATCGTGTTACCGTTCGCGCTATCTCTGACTCCTCTGATTGCGTTCTAACTGGGGCATCCTTCTCATCGCCGAAAGCCTCGTCAATGCCGCTGTATAGCCTAGCGTTTGGAGCGAATGGCCTGCCGCCCCCCAATAGTCTGTAGTGGCATGCCTGATAGTATGAGATATGTGAAACTCTCCCACAATACCGTTTCCCGAACTGAGGACATCGAACAAATGCATTCCACTAGCTGCGTGAAGGGACGAGCGGCGTCGCGAAGATTGACTTTGTTCAGCATCTTGCTCATGTTCGCCTTCGCCACTAGGCTGCAGAGGCTGCAGCTCCACACTGTTTAGGTCTTCCGTTTCCAAGCCAGGACCATCCCTCAGCACCCCTCGTTCCTCAGCATCGTGGTCTTGAGTCGAGGCCATTCCAATTGTCTCTTGTAGCGCTGGTGGTAATCGGAATAGTATAGGTCGCACAGTGGGGCGCAGTTTCTCTCGCTCGGAATGGATAGCCAGCATCAAACACTGGATTACCAGTATGATGCAATCGAGCGCGAGAAGTATAAACCTGGAGGTCGGCGGCGTTTGCCCGATAAAGTCCACAATCACGCCTCCATGAAGATATCCGCGGGCAGCTTCACCAGCTGTGGGTAGCGATGTGAAGATGTGCAGTAGGATGCAGATGAGGTTCGGAACGAATACCGAAATAACCTGTGACCGTGCCGCCTCCATAGTCAGCGGATAGTCGTCAGGCTTAGGTGTAAGCCAATGATGTTGACCATAGACGCGGACGGCGAAGCGGAGAATGGAACATCTATGCCAATGGTCAGCGTATCTGCATCGAGAGCTGGGCATGGAGAAGACCTACTCCATGTAGTATAGAGTGCAAAGCTCCGCGTAGACCAGAGCGTCCAGGTTCCGTAGCAACTGGGTCATGAAGTCAAATTTCCTTGCGAGGCCTGGGTTGATTTTCTGATGCTTCCGCCGCCGCTGCCTCCTCCTAGTGCTCCTGGTGTCCCCATCGTCGGGCTGCTGCGACAGCTCCGGAATTCCTCTGCCATCCTGTTGTTCATCCTCGAGAGGGACCGATCGGCCTGGCAGGGTGTCTGTCCCGGCATCATCGACCATAGCTCGTTGGCCTCATTGGTGTCGGCGGAGAATCCTGCAGCGTGGCGGTGAGCGACGCTTCATACTCCAAAAATCTGGGTTGCGGAAGCTCGAGCACAGATACTACTAGCTTTCAAAATGGAAACATGTGTGAGGATGTTCTCAGCCGTTGGAACTTGATGCGGACAGTTGTGGATAAGCGACACCGAATCCAGCTGCAGGGATGCCGTGAGTGACGCCACTACCTAGGGACAAGCTGCTCTTGGGAGAAGCTGCACGTACGGTACCTGTACACTTGACCAGCCCCTTTGACTGCAGCTTCTGACAGGCTCATTAAGCGCAAGCCAACCTTTTCTTTTTCGGAAGAAGGATAATCATTGATACGAGGACCCCTCCTTCTGTCCCGCGTAGGGTCCACACTCCCCTCCGATTCGACTTGTCCCAGCCAAATTTCTGCCACGAGTTCCCGCCTAATTTACAATTGCCCCTCTGACTCAACGAGCCGAACACTTACAATTCGACGTGCAAGCCACATTCTCAAGACATCAGCGCACACAACCATGGCGACGGCGAGCAACGGTCCTTCTGGAGACCTCACATCCCAGATCCTTCTTGCTCTGTCCAAGAAGGATCCCATCCTGTCTGCCGAGCATTTCCCCGAGTTCCAGTTCGTTGACATCAAGGCGGCGTTGGACCGACTCGCCAGTCGTTCCATGGTGAAATACGAATCAATTGACCGAGAGGAAGCAGTTCTTGAAGCAGAGGGCGAGCAAATCGCGGAGCATGGAAGCCATGAAGCTCGCGTCTTTGAGGCTGTCCGCAAAGCAATGGAGGGGCTGACGGTGCAGGAGCTTGAGGCTGCCGTGGGCGACAAAAACGTAACGAAGGTCGGTCAGGGCAAGGCCTTCAAGGAGAAATGGATCAAGAAGGGCAGCGACGGCAAGCTTGTTGCATCTGTGAGTCTGAGTCTCAGAATAAATGCCTTGGCAAATACTGACTAGTTGAACGCAGGCCGAATCGATACAAGACGTTACCCAAGCCCAGCTCCAGCAGATCCGGAAGACAGGCACTCACGACCAGAAGATCATCACCGAATTGAAGAAGCGCAAGCTCATCAAGACACAGAAGGTCATCACCTTCAAGATCCAAAAGGGGCCCGAGTTCGCCCTGGAAATCAAGAAGGAAGAGACCGACCTTACGGCTGACATGATTGCATCTGGTTCATGGAAGACAGCCAATTTCAAGCCGTACAACTTCAAGGCTCTTGGAGCTGACCAGAACGCCGGCGCGCTGCACCCCCTCAACAAGGTCCGTCACGAGTTCCGTCAAATCTTCTTTGAGATGGGTTTCGAGGAGATGCCCACCAGCAAGTTCGTCGAATCTGGTTTCTGGAACTTCGACGCCTTGTTCGTTCCCCAGCAACACCCGGCAAGAGACCTTCAGGATACCTTTTACATCTCAGATCCCAAGGTGGCGGACAAGCCTGGTCCTGAGTCGGCGGATGACAAGAAGGACTACGAGACATACTGGGAGAACGTCAAGCAGGTCCATCAGGACGGCAAATTTGGCTCGATCGGTTACCGTTACCCGTGGGCTGCGGACGAAGCCCAGAGACTTGTTCTCCGCACACATACAACGGCCATCTCGACGGCAATCCTCCACCAACTGGCTTCCAAGAAGGGTCCGGACGGCAGGCCTCCCCCAGCCCGGTACTTCTCTATCGACAGAGTATTCCGTAACGAAAGTGTCGATGCTACGCATTTGGCCGAGTTCCACCAGGTTGAGGGTGTTATTGCAGACTACGGCCTGACGCTGGGCGGTTTGATGGAGTTCATGGAGATCTTTTTCAACAAGATGGGCATCACGGACATTAAGTTCAAGCCAGCGTACAACCCCTACACCGAGCCGAGTATGGAGATTTTCAGCTTTCACAAGGGCTTGAACAAGCTCGTTGAAATCGGCAACAGTGGTATGTTCAGACCGGAGATGCTTGAGGCCATGGGCTTGCCCAAGGACATGAGAGTGTATGGTTGGGGCTTGAGCTTGGAGAGACCGACCATGATCAAGTACGGCATCTCCAACATTCGCGAGCTCTTAGGACACAAGGTGGATTTGAACTTCATCGAGAGGAACCCGGCGGTGAGATTAGAGAAGAATTAGATGAAACGGCATGGGAAGTAGAAAAGAAAAAAGAAAAAGGGATATGACTTACATGAGATGAGCTTGGGCTAGCATAATGTTGGCGAATGGAATACCAATCACGTTTTGAAGGGTCATATTGCATAAGTGCATTCGCTTCTTTTTTCCTTATTTTTTTCTCTTCTGCCAATGTTTATTGACGTGCCAATACTAAAATGGCTCAGATGCCCCACACAAAACTTTACGTAGCTGGCTTTTCTCTTAAATGAGCTGCCATTGCCTAGCAAAGGCTGCCGATGATCCTCATGATAAGTTTGCGCTTCGCCCATCGGTGTCATCGGCACCATTACCGATTCGGCCTCACCGGAGTTCTCCAGCGGCATTCCCTAGGGCTGCTTGGTGGCATTGGCCAATGGATAAGTGCGAAGTCCACAACTGCCCCCAGGCATATGACGGGGCATATGACGGGGCAAATGCCAACTATAGCGGGGCATATACAAACGTCAGATCGTAGCCCAAAAGAAAAAAGAAGCTCGGACCCTCAAACAGGTGCGTGCAGTGGATAGGTAGGTTGGAGAACGCGGAGAGTCAGAAATGACACTGGAGTTGCAGGAGATGCAGACCGTGAGTCACTTGATCGTCCTAGCTGGGGACTTGAGTTACAGGAGTCACAGCACAGAGAACAGCCTCCCTCCAATGACCCCATCCCCATCCCAAATGAGCAAAAGAGGCTGTGACTCAGTGTGTACTGTGCAGCGTCCAAGCTGCTGGCAAACTCAGGTATCTTGGCACTGGTCTGGGCACAACAGGAGGGAAAGACTTGCTCGGGGCACCGTTACACTTCAGTAGGATGCGGTGCTGAGAGTTTTACAATGCTATTCTTACCCCTCGTTGAACTCTGTTATACTGGGGTTGTAAGAATTTTTCGCCAGAGACCATTTGACGTGCCTGGATGTCCGTGTGTGTGTGTGTGTGTGTGACTGCGACGACGCGGAAACCTGCGATAACGGCGGGAAGTGGTCCCTGGACTGCAAACGGGTCCCTAAGAAGAGAGACGTTTATGAGTTAGCGTTGCGAGTCGTTGGGCACCCCGATCGGCCAATTCAACAACGAAAAATTTCCTTATCTTATCACACTTTGGAACCGCCTTTTGTCGCTGAAGACGAGAACTTTACCATCCTCTTCCCTCCCCACAATCTTAGCAAAGCGAAGGAAAAGAGTCACAACCCTTCAGACCCGGCGGCCATTATAACGCTCTTTTCTCCTGGTCCTGAAACCATTCAATTGGCTCTGACCTCGAGCATTCCCTCTCCTTCTCACAGGTTTTAGTTGAATTGGCACCTTGAGACCATCATAATGCCGTCGGCCATGTCAAGTTCTTTGGCAGGTCGAGCTCCGGCCGTCCTCCGACATGGTCGACGAGTCCCGACAGCTCTGACCGGCCGGAACTTCACCCTCGCTGCTTCCAACGGTCTGTCCAGGGCCCAACTTCAGAGCAGCAGCGCAAAGCTGCTTCAGAAGCGCCTCTTTTCCGCGAGCGCGCTTCGTTCCAGTGCCGTGCAATCGGCGCCGAACCCCAAGGCTTATCTTGAGAGCGGTGTGATCAAGTCTTCTGTCGGTGTCGACGTCAAGAAGGTACTTGTCATTGGCAGTGGTGGTCTCGCCATTGGTCAGGCTGGAGAGTTCGACTATTCAGGTTTGTTTCACTCCTTAACTACCTTCTCTCTGCGCATGTGTGCGCAGAGAAAAGTGAGTCACAGACATCAAGGAGCCCCTGGCTAACAAGATTCGCCATGAAGGATCGCAAGCTCTGAAGGCTCTGAAAGAGGAGGGCGTCAAGTCCGTCCTCATCAACCCGAACATTGCCACCATCCAGACCAACCACTCGCTCGCCGACGAGGTATACTACCTGCCCGTCACCCCGGAATACGTGACGTACGTTATCGAGAAAGAGAAGCCCGATGGCATCTTCCTCTCCTTTGGTGGCCAGACCGCCCTGAATCTCGGTGTCCAGATGCAGCGCATGGGTCTGTTTGAAAAGTACGGCGTCAAGGTCCTTGGAACCAGTGTTAAGACCCTTGAGACGAGTGAGGACCGCGACCTTTTTGCTCGCGCCCTCGACGAGATTGACATCCCCATCGCCAAGTCGATCGCTGTTGGAACCGTCGAGGAGGCTCTCGACGCCGCCGAGAAGGTCGGATATCCCATCATCGTCCGTGCCGCCTACGCGCTCGGTGGTTTGGGATCCGGTTTCGCAAACAACGAGGAGGAGCTCCGCAACATGGCTGCCCGCTCCCTCACCCTGTCTCCCCAAATCTTGGTTGAGAAGTCTCTGAAGGGCTGGAAGGAGCTCGAATACGAGGTCGTCCGTGACGCGAACAACAACTGTATTACTGTTTGCAACATGGAGAACTTCGACCCCTTGGGCATCCACACTGGAGACAGTATCGTCGTTGCTCCCAGCCAAACCCTGAGCGATGAGGAGTATCACATGCTGCGATCCGCCGCCATCAAGATCGTTCGCCATCTTGGTGTTGTGGGAGAGTGCAACGTTCAGTACGCGCTCCAGCCCGACGGCCTCGACTACCGTGTCATCGAGGTCAATGCCCGTCTTTCTCGTTCTTCTGCTTTGGCGTCCAAGGCCACCGGATACCCTCTTGCGTACACCGCAGCCAAGATCGGCCTTGGTTACAGCCTCCCCGAGCTCCCCAATGCCGTCACTAAGACCACGACCGCAAACTTCGAGCCTTCCCTTGACTACATCGTCACCAAGATTCCCCGCTGGGATCTTTCCAAGTTCCAGCACGTCAAGCGCGACATCGGCAGTGCCATGAAGTCTGTTGGTGAGGTTATGGCTATTGGACGTACCTTTGAAGAGTCCTTCCAGAAGGCTATTCGCCAGGTTGACCCCAAGTTCGTTGGCTTCCAGGGCGACAAGTTTGATGACCTGGACTTTGAGCTCCAGAACCCTACTGACCGCCGTTGGCTCGCTGTTGGTCAGGCTATGCTCCACGAGAACTACTCTGTGGACAAGGTTCACGAGTTGACCAAGATTGACAAGTGGTTCTTGTACAAGTTGCAGAACCTGGTGGACTGCACCCGCGAGCTCGAGCAGGCTGGTGGCCTTGAGGCCCTCAAGAAGGACCAAGTCCTCAAGGCTAA